TTATGACACCTCATCTGTCAATCATAAGTCTCAATTACTAACGTGGGTTTAGAGTTTTCGAGTCAAATTCAATCAATGCATGAAGACTGGACCACTCAATTTACCAGTTACGGGCAAAGACATTTGAAATAAAACTAGCATTTACAAAATAGTTAAATTCAAATTCAAATGTATGTGCATGAAGATGGAGAGAGACTTGGGAAAGATGCAGACCAAGAGAGTGACTGCTTCAGTCTTCAGCACGATATGAAAAACTCGTGGGTTTTTTTTTTTTTTTTTTATAGAGAACTTTAATGAAAAATTATCGGTAATGTTCACTTTAACGAAAAACCATATTTTTACACTAAAAAGTTAATTATGGTACTATTCACTTTACCCTTTATTTTGTCCTTATTATTAAAACTCAAAATTTTCAAGTCATTTTCATTAGTTTTCATTTTTTTATATGGCAACGTTAAACCTAGAAAAAATTGGTAAATACAATTTTGATATTTTCTCAAAGTCTAAAGGCATTTTAGACTTTCTAAATAAAAAAATAGGAATAGTTAGGAATTGAAAAAGTTTTATTAAAGGGAGCCAAATACTTCTTGTGTTTTCACCTGGTAGCACATTTAGAGCAAGTCCAACCCAAGACAATAGGCTGGTGTAAAGTCCAAAAATTGAGTCGGCACCCCCAAAAAACACTCCAACCGAGCCTAATAGGCTGGCACCCAGGCAAAGCCAGTCTCTAGGCCGGCCGAGAATGTGTTGAGCCAAGGCTCGACCTACATGACGCCAGGCTTCTGTTGAACACGCTGTCTCCCATTGCCCTCACGAATGCCACAAGCCACTTCGTTTTCCTGTACTCCATCCACAACAGTGCCATCTGGATCTTGTCCGGGTCCTGCTTCGGAAACCCGACGGCCACGAACACCTTGTTGAGGTGGTCCAGGTTGAGCTCCGCGATCGTGCGGTGAAGGTTGAAGCCCCGGGTGTCGAGGTCTTGGTCAGAGATTGAGTATTGGTTGGTAGTTAGGGAGCGGCGCAACATGGTGAGGTTTTGCGAGGGAGTGGAAGCGGTGGCGGTGCTTCTGAGGTGAAGACAGGGGAGGGGAGCGATCATGTTTGGGAAGAGGTGAAGTGATAAGTTGGATAAATAAAATGTCAGAAATTAATAATATTTTTTTATAAAGTCATAAATTCAAAATCAAATTATTATTATTTTATTATTTAATAATAAAAATTAATAATATTTTAATAAAATTGACTAGGCTATTTAGTTTTAGAGGTGGAGATGCATTTGGTCAATTAAACTGTTTATGAAGTCTATCACTGTTCACTGAGTGGATTAAATGGGATGGGTGCCAGTGCATTTTTTAGGGGTAGACTTGCTCTTAGGAGGAGGTGTTTCTTTAGAACCCACTCCAATTGCTTCTATTTTTAACTAAAAACACTTGCAAATTGTTGGCCAAACAACCGTTTTCCAAAATGAAAACGCTTTTATGACTTATTTGGAAGTGTGTTTAAACTGATTGAAACTGTTTTTAGAGAAAATATTTTTATATTCAAAAGCACTTGAAGTGCTTTTACAAGATTTACTTGCATTTTTACCAAAAATTGACTCTAAAAATATTTTTACGAAAATCACTTTCAGCCAACTAAAAAACACTTTAAAAAAAATCTTTAGTCATTAAAAAGCACTTTTAATTTTTAACTATCCAAAGCACAAGCCAGCAAACCCTTAATTTTTAACCCCTATATATTGACCAACTAGGGTAACTTCTCATCCTTTGTCGTCCCAATTGCCGCTGCGCCCTTTTCACCCTCCTACATCGCTTCTTTCACCTCACGGTCCCCGCAGTTTCCTCTTGAGGTAACAAAATAATGAGTAATGTTAAGAAAATTAAATTTGTAAATTAAATTAGTAAACCAAATGAGGTATCATCAATAGAAAAAAAAGTACGTTTATTAACAATTAAGTAATAATTCAATTACTAACTTCCATGTTATTTAGTCTGCAAATTTAACTTTCCTATCATTGCTCTAAAATAATTATCCATTTTACTTTATTATTTATGCTCTTTTAACTGTTGTCGCACAAACCGCACCACTAGAAGGCTAGAAGCAGCTCGTTAATAAAAAGTAAATTTAAATAATTAAAGAAACACTAGCAGAAAAAGAAGCCCTGACCTTCTCTACTTTCTAGCTTCTAGAACCTTCTTTTGTCCGTGTGTTCTTTCCAGACCGTTAAACCCTAACCCTAGAGATATTTTAGGTTTCGGATCTAGGGTTTTTGAGGTCTGGTGGTGACTGGAGCTTGGATTTTAGTTTCATTTGTTGACTAATTTTTTTTTTTTTTTTGAAATTTTAACGAAACACTTCTGGTACTATTTATTTTAAACGAAAATTACATTTTTACCTTTTTCATGTATTATTCACTACTCATTTATTTTTCATTTTTCATTAAAACTAAATTTTTTTAGAACTTTTCGTTAATTTTTTTTTTTTTTTTTTGTCAATGAACTGCCATTAACAATTTTATACTGTTCTGTTTCAGATTCTTGACTTTTTTGGATGAACATGGCAAAGAGGTCATTTTACTTCAAATTTAATTTTACTTTTTTATTTTGTTTTGTCATTGAATGTTGTTGTTTTAGTATATGATTGTTTTGGACTTGTGATGTTACTCTGCATTTTTTTTGCCATTTAAGTCAATGCATTCTCTGAAAAAATAGAGGATTAAGTGAGATTAGTTTTCTAGTGTTAGTCTAAAAGATGTTAGAACTTCACATATTAGATTATGATTGTCGTAAACTGGTGATGCTACTCTGTTTTTTTATTTTTTTGTTTTGCACTTTGAGTATATGGGTTCTCCGAAAATAGAGGATTAGGCGAGATTAGTTATTCAATGTTAGTCTAAAGGATGCCGGAGCGCCACATTTTGATTATACGTGTGAACCTTGAGATGCTACTCTGCATGGCATTTAAGTATATGCATTGTTTGAAAAATAGAGGATTACGCGAGATTACTTCTTCAGAGTTAAAAGTAAATGCTATTGGCCTTAACTTCTGCTTTGGTTGGCTTGGGTCGCAGGGGCAGAAGGCTGACTAGCAAACGAGGGTATGTTCTTTGCCAGGTTTAGATGCAGCTGGTTTTATAGTTGAATGCCATTGATTTAGATTACGAGTGTTGTGAACTCGCAATGTTCCTCTGGTTTTTTTGCCAATGAAGTATGTGTTGTTCGAAAAAGTTTACGATTTACAGGTTTGTATTGTTGTTTTCCCAAAGTAAATGAGGATTTGATGAGGTTAGTTCTTTTGTGTTAGTCGAAAAGAATCCGGAACACACCACAGTTTTATATTCTCATTTAACTTGTGATGTTCCTCTGTTATAGCATATATTTGATGAGACTGTGTTTTTAAATAAGTTCTGTTCTTTACTAGGCTGTTTGGATGCAATTTGATTACATTTTCCGTTCAATCTGCAACTGATTTTCCTATGCCTATTGCCGCAATGATACCAACCCCATGGCGCTGGAGGCAGGGGAGAATGCAAGTCTGCAACGCGAGATGAAGTTGTTTATGGCTACACTAATTGCCATGCCAACCTTCTATGCTGGACTTTACCCTTCACGCGCTCTTGTTAAGAACCAGTTCCTTTTCTAACTCTTTGAAGTCTTCGACGCCGCAGGGTTTTTCATCTCCATTTGGATGATGAAAGGGTTCCCCGATCAAGTTTACATTGAAGCCGCTCCTCCCTTTACTGTGCCTTGTTTACATACTAGGCATTGCGAATATGTTTTCTTGCTCCTGCTGCACCTGCAGGTTATGGATGTGACGATGTAATTCGGTCCGAAACATGGCGACTCTGTTGTCTAACTGGTGTTTTCAGGCACCCGAAGTTTATGAATGTGATGTAATTCTGTAGAAACATGGTACCTTGTTGTGTAACTGATGTTTTCGAACACCCGAAGTTTATGATGTTAATTAACTGGTGTTTTCGGGCACCTGAAGTTTATGTAGTGGATTTGCAAGATTTGTGACTACTTGTTTAACTGCTGTATTTGAATACAGTTTCATAAATAGAGCAGATGTGATTTAGTTCCTTTCGTGAATGAAAAGTTTTGATGTAACAGTTTTGATAAGGGGGATGCACATATATCCCTCCATTTACGAATAACATATCTTGAGCATATAAACTAAATGATATCAAGTAAATGAACGGTTTATTATGAATATATTACTTGGTACTTACACCGTTGATTTATTCTACACATTTGAATGACTAAGATGTAAACCTGTGATGCTACTCCTCTTTTTGTTTTTGCCATTTAAGTATATGTGTTTTTCAAGAAATAGAGAATTAGGGCAGATTAGTTCTTCAATGTTACTCTAAAGGACGCTGGAACGCCACATATTTAGATTATGATTGTTGTGAGTATATGCATTATGCATTCTCCGAAGTATAAAGGATTAGGCGAGATTAGTTCTTCGGTGTTAGAATAAAAGGTCGCGGAACACCACTAGGTTTATGTTCTGATGATATGGTTGCCATGGCATTGGCACCTGAGACAAAAGAGGCTGAAGCGCATTCAACTGAGCAAGGCGGGACGGTGAGCACTATGCAACACTAATTGCCTCGACAACCTTCTATGCTGGACTTCACTCCTTCAAAATCTCTTGTCGAGAACCAGTTCCTTTTCCGACTCTTTGAAGCGACCAACACCGTTGTGTTTTTCATCTCCATTTGGATGAAGAAAACCCTCAACAAGGGTTCCTCGATCGAGCTTTGCATGAACCTGATCCTCTTTTTACTGTGCATTATCTACATGTTAGGTCTTGCAATGGTGTTTTATTGCAGCTTAAGTTTATGAATGTGATGATGTAACTCTGTAGGAAGCATGGTGACTTTGTTGTGTAACTGGTGTTTTCAGGCACCTGAAGTTTCTGAGTGAAGATGTAATTCTGTAGGAAGCATGTAACTGGTGTTTTCGGGCAGCCAAAGTTGATGAATGCGATGACATAATTCTGTAGGAAGCATGGTGATTTTTGTTGTGTAACTGGTGTTTTCTTGAACCTTAAGTATATATGAGTGCTTGTTTAACTGCTGTATTTGAATACAGTTTCCACCTGCTTTCTGTGAATTGGTACTTTATTTTATTTTTTGAGAGAGATTAATATTCCATCTTGAATGTTTATCTCTTACAACTTTAGGGGAATAATTTCCCTTTTTCTTTTTTTTTTTCCCTTTTTCGGTTCTCTTTTGATCCTCCAATTCGAAGGTCAAAAATGAACATGAGGTTATAGAGTGAGAAAAATAAAAAATAGGGTGTGGAAATCACTTCCTCAAATTCACTACGAATTCAAACTTTGTGCATAAGTGAAAAATACTTTTTTTTTTCTGATATGTTCGAGTGACATTCTAATTAACGTAATCTAAATTATGAAAAAATGAGAAGCAAACTGTTGTCACTAATTTGAGTATTTGACTACGCAAAAGTATCCGTCAGTGAATAATTTTAGCAAGGTTACACTTTTTTGTCTTCCAAGTTGCAAGACTTTCTCAGTTTTCCCGAGAAATTTGTGCCTGCTTGCTGTAGCTAGCTGTTTTGGTCAAGTTGCTCTATTTCCATCCAGTTTAATAATGCATGTCACATACTTCTTGTTGGTGCGCCAAGTTTCGAGCGTTTCATACCTTTATTATATCCTACCTATATACAATAAAATACCCGAGCAAATTAACAATCCTCTTATACATAGGGGTGTAATATCCACACACTCATTTTTACTTCTCTCACACCTTTTCAATTTTTGACCGTCGGATCTGATGAATTGAAGAAGATCAAAGGACAGAAATTAACAAAGGATGTGAGAGAAGTAAAAAGGGGTATGTGGAGAGCACATCCCTATAAATATAGAAAGTTTACAACAAAATTATGATGTTTGTGAATACATTTTTATTATAAATGATCCATGAAATTGACCCTCACTATTACGATGGTTCCTGAAATTAAAAAGCAATAAATGTAGTCCTAAGAGGGGGTGTGGAAATAGTTTTCAATCAACAATAGACGCACCTCGTTTGTAACCTCATTATCTCAAGGCAGACATTGTCGTTATTTGCATTACCAGACCACCAGGGAACCGCCGAACATGCTCTCCAAGATTAAGATTGTGAGGATGTTGATCGCCTAAATGTTAATGGTAATATCCCAGAAGTCGTGGCCAATCGGCCAAGCCATCACCAAAAGTGATCTCAATCCAGGTTCAATTTGGTGATGGGTGTCGAATGTATAAAGATGGGTGTATTGAGAATTTTTTTTTAGAGACTAGATAGCGAAGGAGGTAGAGAAATGTGGACTGTGATCGGATGTGATTATAGGACTGGGCTTTTGGGTTGACAATTTTTTTATTAACTATTAAATTATTAAGCCTATTTATAATTTTTTTAATTTAATTAGACTTATGTGACCCATTTATGTGTCACTTCAATACATAACAGAATTTTTGACAGAATTGTGACGGAATGACTATATTAATTTGAGACTTTACTTGCGGAACTACATTAATCAATCTTCAATTTCAAAGACCATTTTGATGTCGCAAGTCAATTTCAAAGACCATTTGTGAAAAAAACGACTTATAGGGCCCATTTATGTGCTACATCAGCACTTAACAAACTTTTTAACAGAATTGTAACAAAAAAAAACCACATTGATTTACGACATCTATTTTCAAGAACTACATTAATTAATTTTCAATTTCAAGGACCATCTTTTAAACAAAACTATCAAGTGATTTATAAAGACTAGAATATGTTTCTAATGTTTGTGCCTACATTTCTCTTCTAGGTTGGAAGAACGATATCGATCGATCTACAGTACTATTCTCAATTTCGTCGACGTCAAGGCACCTCCTTCACAAAAGATAGACTTCGATATTGATGATGATGTCTTTCATGTAATACACCTCTCTAAACGCCTTAATTAGGTTCTCTCTACATCCCTCGTTACGTGATAAATGGTGTGACAAAATACTTATTTCCCCTCCTCGACGTCACCACGTACCTCCCCCTTAAACCTAACCACTACAAAGATGCTCAAGGGTTAATACAAACCTTGCTAACAATATTAACTCCATGCACGTACTACGCGTGCCCTATATAGTTTGCTTTATATGAATTCTCAGCTGTCAATTCATTACTTCCAACCAACCCAATCTTTACACTGCAATATATATCGATCCTGACCAATCCAGAGTTAAGCGTAACAATGGCTGCAGCCTCTTCATCGTCGATGATTTTTACATGTCGACTGATGATTTACTTGATTGTTATTGTTAGTAATTACAGTCTTGGTCCTCAAATGGTTCAAGTAGCAGAGGGTAGTCGAGCATTCTTTGTTTTCGGTGATTCACTGGTCGACAATGGCAACAACAACTATCTGATATCGATTGCTCGAGCCGACTCTTACCCTTATGGAATCGATTTTCCGACTCACCGTCCCACCGGCCGTTTCTCTAATGGCCTCATCATCCCGGACCTTATCAGTTAAGTATATACAGTTATTAACTCTGCATGCATGCAGATAAATATGCTTAATTTGGCCTCAATTAATTTATGTGTACGTACCATGTTAACGCGATCACTTAATTCATCTATTATTTGTTAATTAACAGCTAATTATTTAACATGATCATGATAATTAAGGTCAGAAAATTGGCTCAAGAGAACCCCCAATGCCATACTTGAGTCCACAGCTTAACGGACGACGGCTACTTGTTGGTGCAAACTTCGCTTCCGCCGGAGTTGGAATTCTCAATGAAACTGGCGCTCAGTTTGTAAGTCACTACACACTAATAGTAGTATTAACTCGTACTATAACACATGAATTGGTTATGTCATGTAGCGCTCAGTTTGTAAGTCACTACACACTAATAGTAGTATTAACTCAGTACTATAACACATGAATTGGTTATGACATGTAGCCCTATTACAGTACCGCAAAATAATTACTCAAAAATGATAAGCTCATTGAGATAATTTGATTAGTCTGCACTGCGGCCATGCAGCTAGATATACTCAGAATGTTTAGACAACTGAACTACTTCAAAGAATACCAGCAAAGAGTGCAAGCCCTGGTCGGAAAGCAGCAGACCAGAAGACTCATAAGCCAATCACTTGTCCTCATCACCGTCGGTGGCAACGATTTCGTCAACAACTACTACTCAGCCTCTTCCATTTCTCAATCTCGCAACCTCCCCCTCCCTACTTACGTCAAGCTTCTCATCTCTGAGTACCGAAAAACTCTCATGGTAATTAATATTAATCATTGCACCAATACACGATAAATTCGTTTGTGTGACTGTTATACTGTCACATAATCTTATTAATGCTTGTATTATAATATACGGATGCATTGACGTAACACCACATGACTGGTGACAATCACACAGAAAAATTACTCAATATAAGAGAAGTTTAATTAGTTAACTTGGCAGAATTTATATCAACTCGGAGCACGTAGAGTTCTGGTTACTGGTACAGGACCGATGGGATGTGCTCCGGCAGAGTTGGCGGCTAGAAGCACGAATGGAGGATGCTCGGCTGAACTTCTACGAGCTGCTGCCCTGTACAACCCACAACTCACTCAAATGTTGGCCGGACTCAACAAGAAACTTGGCAAAGATGTATTCATATCTGCCAACACTAGGCAAATGCATGCAGATTTCATCAACAACCCCCAAGCATTTGGTACTAATTCAGGAATTTAATTGGTTTTCGTCTTTAAATTATGATATATTGACTGCTTTTGAAATGACTAGAAGTACCTTCTGATAACTAAAAGCGCGTCTAACTGCAAAAGTTGAAAATGCTTATGGAGAAACACATGTTAGGTGCTTATTCATGAAGCTTCTTAAGGAAGCACTTTTTAAGTTGTTTTTTTACGCAACACTAGGATTTTAACAAAAATATCAACATTTTTCTAATAAAGCACTTCTAGCAAAAGAATTTTTGCTCATAAATGAATTTCTACATAAGCAATCTCAAATGAAAAAAACAGGCTCAAACAAGTGCTTAATAAAAAGCAACAGTAGAGACTGATACTAATCTAGTCATATTATTGCACATATATCTATTTATAACTACAAGCCTCCTTACATTCGAGGCATATTAACTCTGTCATTCACTCATATTATAACGCATGGTTGTGTGCTCACTGCAGGCTTTACCACATCGAAGGTAGCATGTTGTGGGCAAGGACCCTACAATGGACAAGGTCTCTGCACATTTCTGTCCAATTTGTGCCCAAACAGAAACCTGTATGCGTTTTGGGATGCCTTTCATCCATCTGAAAAGGCTAATAGAATGTTTGCAGAGATGATCACCACAGGCTCAACTAACTATATGAGCCCCATGAACCTCAGTACTATCCTGGCCTTGGACTCCACCACCTGACCTGAAAGAATTAATATGTTTTTCTAATTTTCTTTGGACAATTTAAGTCATTGTGTAGTTTAACAATTATACTTACAATAATTCAGGTTGCTTTGTTCTCTTTGGTCAAATGTCTCAATTTCAATATTTCGTAATAATTCAGATGGTGCCATACATACAAGAAGTTCAATTTAGAATCGTTAATTTGTACATTTTAGAATTTAATCCGATTCGTTGGGATCAAGGTGTAAGACCAATGAAGGAATTTTGCTTCCATCAAACCCAATCCAGTCAAAAATTTTGGTAGAAATGAATGTAATACCGCAATGAAAAGATTTAAAATAAGCAAATCTGAGTTATGTCAATTAATTAAAATAATGTGCCTTTCTTTTGCATGTTGCATGCATTTGAGTTATAATCTCTCTTCCTTATTTTAGAATAGTTAACTTGGGTTTGGGACATAAAGATTTAGAACATAGAAGATTAGAAAATATATCAAACAAATTCAAATGATTTTTGTTGTTTGAACAAGTGTTTGTCTCCACTTGAATGTGGTCTAATAATTTGGGTTCAAAATTTACCCTCTCCTAAATTATTGTAAAATTTCGAACCCTCATCTTATCCTTAATAATAATAATAATAATAATAATAATAATATATGGTTATTTTTGCAAAATTGATATGATTAAATTGATCTAAAAAATAGAAAGAATGTTAATGCTATCCACAAACTTCATTGTAGCCTTCCACACACCTTAATTTCCGACTTTCGAATCGAATGAATGGAAATGATCAAAGAACATGATCAACAGAAGTGGTGTAAACGGTAAGAATAAGTGTATGATAGCACCACATATTATAAGCGTTCGACATATAATAATGCAGTTGGTAGACCTTATTTAGATTTGTAATTGTAAATTAAGTCAATTGGTGAAGATTGTGTACCCATCTTTTTTTTTTTTTTTTAAGGAGGACGATTGGTAGCAAACCGTAGTTATCCACTCATTTTGGGGATCGTAAAGACTCATAGAGACATTTCAGTCTCTTTCTGGTCAAAAGTCTGGTTTCCACACCATTAGTAGGTTTCAAACCCGAAACCTCTAATTTTTAGTTTGAAAGAAGTCTATCAATCTATCATTTACTATTGAATCGTACCCATCTCATTTGAATTCCCGTTTCGTTAACTAGAGTCTAGAATAAAAACCCTTAGCAATAAAAATAAAATAAAAAGAGTTGAAAAAAAAAATAGAAAATAAAATTCGAAGGACAAAAACTAGAAAACAGTTAAAACCCTGGAAAAAGGAAATGAAAAAAACAGTTAAACCCCTCCCGCTCAGCCGCTCGTCACTCCCTCACTCACTGTCAGAAACAAAAGCACCCGCCTTTACACCTTATCCACTACCGTATGCCCTCCAAATGTCCGCCTTCCTCCTCCCCTCCTCCGTCACTCCCTTCCCCGCCTTACCCCGCAACTTCAAATGCCCCAACGACGCCGTTTCCCTCATCGTACGCGCCTCGGCAGTCTCCGCCCCCGAGAAGCGAGTTAGAAGGAAGCGGAGGCAGACCAAGGGCGACGACGACGACTCCTCTTCTTCTTCCCCTTCCTCCTCCGCAGCCGAGAAGAACCTCCGCTTCGCTTTCATGGAGGAGCTCATGGTCCGGGCTCGCAATCGCGACACCAATGGAGTCTCTGATGTCATTTACGACATGGTCGCCGCCGGCCTCTCCCCCGGCCCTCGCTCCTTCCACGGCTTGATCGTAGCTCACGCTCTCAACGGAGACGCCGAGGGGGCGGTATGTACAATACTTGTTCTTCAAAATTTGATTTTTCAATTTTAATTTCCACTACTTTGTTGAGATAATGTTGTTTCCATTGTCGCTTGATGTGAATTTTAGATGCAATCACTGAGAAGGGAATTGAGTACGGGGCTTCGGCCTCTCCACGAAACGTTCATTGCGCTGATTCGGCTGTTTGGATCAAAAGGTCGAGCTATAAGGGGATTAGAAATTCTTGCTGCCATGGAGAAATTGCAATACGACATTCGCCAAGCTTGGCTTCTTCTTGTTGGTAAACTAATGAATTGCACATTATTTAGGGGTTGGGATTGCTTCTGGAAGGGATAAAAGTGCTTTGTGATGATTAAAAACGCTTTTGAGTCTCTGAATACGTTTGGTTAGAAAACTTTTGGGTCGTAGAAGCACTTTCTGAGGAAGCTTGTGGTTTAGAAAGTACTTCTGCAAAAGCACTTCCAAGTGTTTTCCACAAAGCTCTTAAATTTTTAATAAGAATTTCTACACTTTTATCATAAAATCATTTCTAGTAGAAGTGCTTATGACCAGAAGCAGTCCCAACGAGGCCCTTATTATCTGTTCCTTAAGATGTGGAGATTTCTTATCTGTGTATGTGAACAGAGGAGCTCGTTCGGACCCGCCATTTAGAAGATGCCAACAAAGTGTTCTTGAAGGGTGCCAAAGGTGGGCTCAGAGCAACTGATGAGGTCTATGATCTTCTTATTGTGGAGGATTGTAAAGCTGGGGATCATTCTAATGCATTGGATATTGCCTATGAAATGGAGGCTGCAGGGCGGATGGCAACAACCTTTCATTTCAATTGTCTTCTTAGTGTGCAGGTGACTCTTTTTTTTCTGGATTGTGTTATCTTCGATGTTGTATTTCTACGTTGTACAGTTCCAGGCAAGATTTGAAATTACATTAGGGATAGCAGTTGATTAAAGTGTCACACATTTTGCTAGTGAATTACTGCAAGCATCTTCTGACCTAGTTGTTTATAATTATAGTTCGTTTTCCAGTCTTATTCATGTAATTTTTTTCCTTTTGAATGTATAGGCTACTTGCGGAATTCCTGAAATAGCGTTTGCTACGTTTGAGAACATGGAGTATGGAGATGGTTCGTTTCTTTATGTTTTGAAATCTCTTGTTTGTGGCTTATGAATCTTGCTTTTGATTTTGGTAATACCTTATGGCCTTTCTCGAATCAGTGATCACTTCAGTTAGTTGTCTTTTGAGTATTCTGGTTTCAGCGTAACATGTGGTTTAATATATTTGTGGATTGTGAAATTGAGTTGTACATTTCTGGACGCAGAGTTATAATTGTTTGTTCAAGTTTAATACTTCTCGGAAGCCTTTGTTTTTTAGGTTTTTCAGGGTTTAATCTTACAGTTTTTTTTACAAAACAGAACACATGAAACCTGATACAGAGACATATAATTGGGTGATCCAAGCATATACCAGAGCTGAATCTTATGACAGGTAGCGTCTGTAGCCATAATAATTCCTGCTACGTTTCCTTAAGAATTATGAATATTTTTTGCCTAGCTTATGTAGTGAACGTAAAAAAAACTTTAGATATGATGAATATGAATATGATAAGTATAGAACGAGCTCGGCCCTCTTTACTATGTATTCGTGCTTAGATGTCAATGTGCTGATTCATAGCATATAGTTCTCTATGCGAAGTGCATTATTTGAGAGATTTAAATTTTACTTTTAAAATCATTTCTATGTTTTTATAATACTTTTATCTAATTTTATGGAATTTTGACAACTTTGGAGCTCAAGGCTTTAATTCAATATGTTCTTTACAATGGTATTCGTCATTACCTTGGGGTTTTAATATGATATGTAGAGTACAAGATGTTGCTGAGTTACTTGGCATGATGGTTGAAGACCACAAGCGTTTGCAGCCCAATATGAAAACCCATGCGTAAGCATTTTCTTTTTGCATTATACTGTTATGCCTTGATGGTCAGATTAAACCAGCATCTTATGTTTACATTGAATCTTACTTCTATCATTTTCGCTTTCTTTTCTTTCGAAATGTATTTTTGTACCTTGATGTTCAGGTTGTTAGTTGAGTGCTTTACCAAGTACTGTGTAGTTCGAGAGGCAATACGGCATTTTCATGCCCTCATAAGATTTGAAGGAGGAACAAAAGCTTTACATAATGAAGGAAACTTTGGGGACCCCCTGTCTTTGTATCTTCGAGCCTTATGTCGAGAAGGTATACCTATTTTACATTTTGTATTCTGAACAAGAGTAATCTCATTTCTTCTCGCTCTGTGTACCTAATACTTAGAGATATAAGTTGCTGCAACCATTTATCACTGTATTGTATGTAGCCTGCACTTGGTCAATGACCAAAATTTTCAAAGTAATAGTTTCTTTTCAGCTCTTTCATTTGTATATCAAACAAGTTAAGGGCAATATATTAACAGAAGCAATCAATTTCTTTATGGTTCATGTGATGTTAAGGAATTGCGGAAGTACAAGAATTATGAAAGCTGAAGCTTTTACTCCGAATATTGGATTCTATATTTTCTGAAATTTAGGCAAGCAAATAAATAATGAAGCTTTTCTGAGATTCACTCTCTTGATTTGCGGTCAGTAACCTATCATATATTGTAGCATGTTGGCATTGACGTCTTGGTCCACCTGTTAGGTTCTATCAACGTTTTGTAATTTTTTGGCCCACTGTATGGATCTTTCATTATTAGTATTGAATATAACTTATTGACTTGATTGATGATCTGTTCGTCTTCAGGAAGAATGGTCGAGTTGCTAGAAGCTTTAGAAGCTATGGCTGCGGACAACCAAACAATTCCACCACGAGCTATGATTTTGAGTAGAAAGTACCGGACACTGGTGAGCTCATGGATTGAACCTTTGCAAGAGGAAGCCGAACTTGGACATGAGATAGATTACATGGCCAGGTTGGTGGCTCCATATGTGTTAATAGTTACAGCGGTTGTTATGTGCAAGTATTAATTTTAATTTTGCACTTTAGAAGTTATCAACACAAAAATAAACAATATAGATGAATACGGCCCCCTTTTTTTACAAGAGAATCATGAGGTAGAACCAAGCTTGACTTATACCGGACTCCCAAAGTTTAAATTCTTGGGCATGTATATCAAGTTAACAAACACATCACATGATGTTAAATTGTTGTATCAGGTACATTGCAGAGGGTGGGCTTACCGGTGAGCGCAAGCGATGGGTGCCTCGAAGAGGGAAAACTCCACTAGATCCTGATGTTGATGGGTTTATATATTCAAACCCTATTGAAACCTCATTCAAGCAAAGATGTCTTGAGGAGTGGAAGATACACCACAGAAAGCTTTTGAGAACGCTACGAAATGAAGGAGTTGCAGCTTTAGGAGATGACGCCTCTGAGTCAGATTATGTTAGAGTTGAGATGAGGTTAAGGAAAATTATAAAGGGCCCTGACACGAATGTTTTAAAGCCCAAAGCTGCTAGTAAGATGGTAGTATCTGAATTGAAGGAAGAACTAGAAGCACAAGGTCTGCCAACTGATGGTACCAGAAATGTTCTCTACCAGCGTGTCCAAAAAGCAAGGAGAATAAACCGCTCTCGTGGCCGACCCCTCTGGGTTCCTCCTGTGGAGGAGGAAGAAGAAGAGGTCTATCTAATTTTTTATTCTTCTTGCTTCTTATGTTGGGGGGTTGCATACTCTGAAAGCAATGCTTCCCCCTTTTGGCTGCACTTGAAACTTCACTCTAAACTGATCAAATTTGAATGTGTTTCATCTTACAGGTTGATGAAGAGCTTGACGAACTAATCTCACGTATCAAGCTAGAAGAAGGAAATACAGAGTTCTGGAAGCGCCGTTTCATGGGAGAAGGCTTCGGTACTGATCAAGAAAAGGCTCTAGATGTTTCGGATAGTGCCACTGTTGATGATGTTGCAAAAGATGTGGAGAATGACGAAGCTGACGATGATGATGACGAAGATGATGATAATGAGGATGATGATGATGACGACAACGATGAGGAGGAGGAGGAAGAAGAGGAGGTAGAGGCAGAGGTAGAGGTTGAACAAGCTGAGAGACAGGACGTAGAAAGAGTTAAGGAAAAAGAAATTGAAGCCAAGAAACCTCTTCAAATGATTGGAGTGCAGTTGTTGAAAGATTCTGACCAAACAAGTACGACATCTAAAAAAGCAAGGAGAAGATCTCGAATGTCAGCTGAGGTACGACATTGTAGTTTTACTTTGTGTTTCACATAATTTTTTGATCGGGATATGAAGGATATGGGCAACTCATCAACTTAATTTTTCTAAATCTTTGAATTTCCTTCTGGTTTTTGATACGAAAGTGGAAAGTTTAATGACTGTTCTGGACTATCAGTTCATTTTGCATTTACAATATCAGTTTTAGTCAGCCCTCACGTAATATTTATACGATGCACATTGCTTATGGACGTGTATGCAAGTATATAATATCTGTCGAGTGCACCATAATTTAATTCTAGGGCTCAAAGTTCTACCTTAGAAAGGTAATTTAAAGATATATCTAAACACGTTTTGTGTACGGATGCAGGATGATAATGACGATGACTGGTTTCCTGAGGACATATTCGAGGCATTTAAGGAGCTGAGGAAAAGGAAAGTTTTTGACGAATCTGACATGTACACGCTAGCTGATGCTTGGGGTTGGACGTGGGAAAAAGAATTGAAGAACAGAGCTCCTAGAAGATGGTCACAGGAATGGGAAGTTGAGCTGGCGATTAAAATTATGACAAAGGCAAGTTCTTATATTCATACTCCACTCTTCACCTGCAATGCTGTTTTTCGTTTTCTCCCAACGTTCTCATTAACTGTCACTTGATCCCCTCATAACACTTGTAACTTAAGCAAAAGCAGAAACAGCGGTTATTTCCTTTGGCTATCTGAAATAGGTACTGCATTTCATTTCAGGTGATGGAATTGGGCGGAACGCCCACCATTGGTGATTGTGCCATGATTTTGCGTGCAGCAGTAAGGGCTCCTTTGCCGTCAGCTTTCTTGAAGATCTTACAGACGACGCATAGTCTTGGTTATGTATTCGGCAGGTAAGACCACGTTTCGTAATTTGAGTAAGACACATCCATCCGCACAAATGGAAGCTTTGTCAAAGCTGATTTGATCTCATGTATTCGAGGTTTCGTGTTTACATCATGTTTTCTTCTCTTCCATGGCAGTCCTCTTTACGATGAAATCATCTTGCTGTGTCTTGATCTCGGGGAGCTAGATGCAGCCGTTGCAATTGTTGCAGACATGGAGACGACCGGAATCACAGTCCCAGACGAGACATTGGACACGGTGATTTCTGCTAAGCGGACCACCTGATAGTACTGTCAACGATAGTTGCAATGCAAGGGTTAAAATTTGTTAACAGTTTTCCCTTGCTGTGTAACTAGAACTAAATTTTGCCCTTGTTTAAATGTTTTTAAAAGCAGCTTCTTAAAAAAGTTGGGGCCTCACTTGTGTTTTGTAAATGAAAAAAAAAATGTTTTTCAAAATCACGGGTTCAAAACAGCCAAAAGCTGAAACAGCTCAACACATGCTTCTAAAAAATTGAAGGCAGGTAAATAGTACCAATTAATAAAACTTTCTTTTAATCGCATAAAATCATACATTCTTTGATGAGGCATCCTTTGGGTGGTGTATCCATGTCGGGTGCCTTGCTCCCAAGTCCCAAGTTTGAATCCCTATTCTAATAGATTATAATAGCTAAGAATATCGTATTATCAAAAAAAAATGACAGGTTTTTTTTTTTAAAGATGACAAGTCCAAACCCCGTTTAGTGGGTTCGGGCGGCCCCTCTTGGGCCTGGAGACCAAATGATGACCCCTAAACAAACTGCCATCACGCGACCCTAAAAAAATGTAACAGTTCAAAGCTGAGAGAATTCATACCTGATAAATGCTTGCGCACCATGCGCGGCAATTCCGTACAAAATAATTTCAACAAAAACGTGTGGCAGTGGGAAGGGTGATCGTCAGCAATGACGTATATATATTGTGAACCATGTCCAACTCATATAAACGGTCAAATGTGACGGTTTATTTTCAAGATTTTGTCACCTTTTTTATTTATTGCCTGCGAATTAGTAATAAAATAATCCAAAATAATTAAAAAGAAAAGCCAACCCAAATATAACTTGGATAGGCTTAAAAGTATATACCTAATGTTAGGTAAAGATAGACATCACTTGTACCATATTTCCATTAAATGTAGGACTGTCAATGTATATAAGTTTCATCTTTATTAGAAAAATTATATAAATAAATGGTAAGAATAACATTTTTGCTTTACGAAAGATTTTTCTTACACATGTTTTTTTACAAGTGGATGGTTGAAAAATCTCAACCATTCTTTTTCGTGTCTTGATGTGCACCAGAGCAAAGCTCGGTTAAACAATAGCTACAATGTCTTCTTGTTTTTCAATTTTTAGCTAAGTTAAAGTTAAAGAAGACTTTTTTGGCATTAGTGAATCACATGATAGTGGTAAAAAAAGGTCTGAAAATCTATGCAAATCTTTTTGGCATCCAGAAGGTTGGACTTCCATGATCAATCCACAAACTAATCCTTTTTTTATTTGTGAAAAAAAGGTTAAGAAGATTAATAGTTAAATAAACTTATTTATTAAATTTGAGTATACTAATCGTCACATCGTGTTTATGTTCTTCCTCCTTCACACTCATTTTACTCTTTACTTAGTTATATTTGAATTATTTTAGGAATTGTAGTCAACGCTATACATACATACATACATACATATATACATATATGTGTGTGTGTATATATATATATATATATATATATATCGGTCCATCAATGTTATTGTTATTATTTTAAGAAATAATTTTTAACCTAAACTAAAAATTACAAATAGGTGAATTCGAACTTTGATATAGAAATAGAGCAACTTCATGAACAGATTCACCGTTACATAGCATCACAGTCCAATAGCAAGGTCGTCTCTGAGATTTCGAGGTCGTCTAAATCATCACTTGTCAGGACTATTCGGAGTGAGTTTCTTGGCTTGGACCCCTCCTTAAGATAGTATTAAAAAATGTAAAACAATGTATTGATGTTAGAAAAAAATCACTTAATCAAAATAAACTTTAGCACTCACCAATTGCAAGTTTACAAATGTCATTAATTATAAGTAAAAAAGCTACAAACATAACATTCACTAGATAATCAAAAGCAATTCAATCTTAAACAACCAAACATGACAAAAAAAACAAAACAAAAAAAAGACATTCAAAACTCGAACTTTAAAGTTCACTTGAATATATTATAACCTTATTATATAATAAAATTGGAAAACTATTATTTTTTAAGGTGTTATTATTGACAATCAGAATATATCATTATACTAGAATTTTTTATATTGACTGATACTAAGGATACTAAATTTGTAGACACACTTTTGTAAATTAAATGATATGTAAATTGATGATTGTATTATTACTTAAGCATTAATAAATGCGATCATTTTCTATTGGTGACTCATCATTTAGTTCACAATTTTAGTGTCCCTAACATTACCCTTTTATATTTAGAAACGAAAAAAAATTACTCTTATAAGGAATGCACAATGAGATTTTAAAGTACTAACAAAAACAATTTTCTAAATATATAAAATTATTACATAACATTATAAGGCAAAAATTTTGGGGGCCCCTTCAAATTTAGGGCATTATGTGACTGCATCTTTCGCTCCTTCCCAACATTGTCTTTATCTAGTAGTATAATATCATGTAAAGAAAAACTTAGAAATAATATTATATTACTGGACGACTCACTTCACGTTGACATCCGCAGTCTTGATCACTCATAGCAAAAGAAAAACAAACAAATTGCTTAATCATCTTCAAAAATATAAAGCACATACACTTTCCAATCCAAAACAAGTACGGAAAAACTACGTGTTAGCCCAAACGAAAATACAGAAACAAAACAAAAGTTATGGTGGAAAAAGGCGTACGAAGACCGAAAGGGGTAGTGCTGTATATGTTGAGGTGGCTGTCAATCATATATATAATTAGAAGTTTAATTAGAGCTTAATTATCTTAAGCAAGTTATGAAGATGAGGTCAAGTTTGACTTGCTCAAAACTAGATCACGGCAACCAACCATTTACTAATAAGACTCAAGAGTCTCCTATGTGTTTTTTTTTTTTTTTAATGTATTGATACTGGAAACGCTTTTATTAGAAGTATATTAACTTTTTAATAAAGGGTAAACTGTTTATTAAAAGAAGCACAATTTCTTAACTTATAATTCATTTGGAAGTGTTTTTAAAATAATTGAAAAAATATTTGTAAAATGATTGAAATCGTTTTTAAAAAACACATAATTGATCCTTCTCACATGAAGTACTTCAAGTATTTTTGCAAGATTTACTTGCATTTTTACTAATGCTTAGCTCCAAAAATATTTTAACAAAAAAACTTTCAATTATTTTAAAACAATTTCAAACAAGCCATTATCCTGTTAAACGCTATTGAAAGCATCTGTAGTTATCTGATTAGGCAATCCATTGTGTAGTTTAACCGAAGTCTCCATCTCTTAATGTAAAAATATCAATGTATTAAAAAAAAAAAAAAAAAAAACAGGCACACTTCATGTATTTTATGATAGTACAATAGCAGCAGAATAATACAAAACTGAAACAATCTCAGTTGGCCTTCGAGAAACACTAAAATATTATGGAAGAGGAGTGAGAGAGGAGAAAGCTTATGCATGCTTTGTCGGCCATTTCTGCATCTCACTCTCTCTCTTTCTCTCTTTATCTCCCCTCCGCATTCACACTAAGTGGATATTCTGAATCATTCTGTAGGGTGACAAAACGAATGAACACTTGGCTTTTTATCTTCTTTTAGATTATCTTTAGATAGAAAGTTGGCAATTCACTGCACCTGATTACTTATTATTTACTCAAAGAAAAATTTAGAGGAAGTCAAGCTCAACCTTTCCAATAATGCACCACTCTCTCTTTTCAACCATAAACATCCAATGAATTTTCCCAGAAAATTTTATTTTCTTGGGAAAGTGGAGAGTATTTCTTTCTGCTTTCTTGAGTTTTCGTTGCTTCTCTTTGATGGGATTCCTTTTTTTTTTTTCCTCTATTGGTCATCAACTCCAGGTATGTAAAATCATTGTCCTTATCTAGTTCCCTACGAGTTATCAAAAACCCTTGTATCCTTCTCAAACCTGAATCTTTTCTTTTGTGATCACCCTTCATATTTGTTGTGTCAACTTCTCGAATTCTAGTTTGCGTCGAAAAAATCATGGAATTGTTGATGAGAAAGTGATGTTGTGAGTGCTGAAACCCTGCAAACTTAGGGTTATTGTTTTCAATTCCATTTGGTGGTGATGGTGAAAATGTCATATGGTTTGTTGATTACTATAACTGTTCTTGTTGTTGCCCTTATGGTTTTCGAATCCGAGGGGATCAACGATGAGGGTCGATATCTGCTGGAAGTAAAGAGCAAGTTAGTTGATAGATTTGATCATCTTGGTAGTTGGAATTCCAATGATTTCACACCTTGTGGATGGAGAGGTGTGAATTGCAGCAACGGATACAATCCGGTGGTGGTGTCTCTTGACTTGAACTCCATGAATCTTTCAGGTTATTTGTCTCCGAGCATTGGTGGATTGGTTCACCTGAACTATCTTAATCTTTCTTTCAATGAACTGACTCGGATTTTACCTAAAGACATCGGAAATTGTTCGAGTTTGGAGGTTCTAGCTTTGAATAACAATAAGTTTATAGGTCAAATTCCGAAAGCAATAGCTAGACTTTCAAGTTTACGAGTACTGAATGTCTGCAACAATAGATTATCAGGGCCTCTCCATGAAGAAATTGGAAATCTTTCATCCCTGTCCCAGCTGATTGCGTACTCTAACAATCTTAGCGGAATTCTGCCGCTCTCTCTTGGAAATCTCAAAAGATTGACGACTTTCAGGGTGGGGGAGAACTTGATATCCGGAAGCTTGCCTGCAGAGATAGGTGGATGTGTGAGCTTGGAGTATCTTGGTCTAGCGCAAAATCAGTTGACCGGAGAAATGCCTAAGGAGCTCGGGATGCTTGAGAATCTGTTAACTTTAATTCTTTGGGGTAACAAGCTTTCCGGGGTTATTCCAAAGGAGCTTGGCAATTGTACAAATTTGGAAATTCTTGCCCTGTATGAGAACAAGCTTGTGGGAGAGATTCCGAAGGAGCTTGGAAACATTGTGTATCTGGAGAAGTTGTATATTTACAGAAATATGTTGAATGGGACAGTTCCAAGGGAGATTGGCAATCTTGCTCTAGCAACAGAGATTGATCTTTCGGAGAACTTATTGTCGGGAGAGATACCAGTTGAGCTCAGTAAGATAGCGGGATTGCAATTGCTTTATCTTTTCCAGAACCAATTCACAGGTGTTATTCCAGATGAGTTCACAAGTCTTACAAACCTGACTAAGTTCGACCTCTCTATTAATTTTTTAACAGGTTCAATTCCTACCGGATTCCAGTACTTGACTGAACTGATCATGCTGCAATTGTTCAACAATTCGCTGAGTGGCGTAATCCCTCAAGGCCTTGGAGTGTATAGCCCGCTTTGGGTGGTTGACTTGTCTGAAAACTTCCTGACAGGGGAAGTTCCTCGTCATCTCTGCAGAAATTCCAACATGATATTGTTAAATTTGGGGTCTAACAGGCTCACCGGGAATATACCAAACGGCATCACAAGCTGCAAGTCATTGGTACAGCTTCGTCTAGTTGGAAACAACCTCACGGGGACTTTTCCATCCGAAATGTGCAAATTGGTTAACCTTTCTACAGTGGTGTTGAATCAGAACAAGTTCAGTGGCGCCATTCCTCCGGAAATTGGTAACTGCAGAACTTTGCAAACGCTGCACCTTTCGGACAACTACTTCACATCAGAGTTGCCTAGAGAGATTGGTAGCCTCCCGCAGTTGGTGATCTTTAATGTCTCATCAAATTCTCTTTCTGGAAGGATACCACCTGAATTTTTCAATTGTAAAACACTTCAACGGCTTGATCTTAGCAATAACAACTTTTCAGATGCATTGCCAAGTGAGATAGGAACACTTTCTCAGTTGGAGCTTCTCAAGCTTTCTGAAAACAATCTTTCTGGGAACATACCAGTTGCGCTGGGAAACCTCGTGCGTTTGACTGAGTTACAAATGGGTGGCAACTCATTTTCTGGTGGCATCCCAGCTGAGTTGGGTGCCCTTTCGAGCCTGCAGATTGCGTTAAATCTCAGTTTTAACAACCTCTCTGGCGAGATACCTCTTCAACTTGGGAATCTTATCTTACTGGAATTCCTTCTACTCAATAACAACAATTTGACCGGTGAAATTCCAGGTTCTTTCGAGAATCTTTTGAGTCTACTTGGCTGCAACTTGTCGTACAATGCCTTGACAGGGCCTATTCCTCAGTTACGGCTCTTTCAGAATACAACTGTTGACAGCTTTGTTGGGAATAAAGGACTCTGTGGCGGTCCTCTTGGTGAATGCAAAACACCAACATCTTCACTCTCTTTTACTCCGGATATGGTGAAGATAAACCCCCGCTTGGGTAAAATCATTGCTATCATTGCAGCAGCTATTGGTGGTGCTTTTCTCATTTTGATTGCAATCCTTGTATATGTCAAGAGACGTCCCACAAGCGTAGTTGCTTCATTGCAAGAAAAATCATTCACTTCGCCGGTTTTGGATATGTACTTTTGCCCAAAGGCTGCAGGGTTCACTTTCCAAGACTTGGTTGCGGCAACTGAAAATTTTGATGAGAGCTATGCAATTGGAAGAGGAGCTTGTGGGACCGTGTACAAAGCAGTCTTACCGAGGGGTCATATAGTTGCTGTTAAGAAGGTAGTATCCAACAGGGAGGGGAGCAATGTGGATAACAGTTTCCATGCTGAAATTTTAACTTTAGGAAAAATCAGGCATCGAAATATTGTAAAGCTATACGGCTTCTGCTACCACCAGGGTTCCAATCTTCTGCTTTACGAGTACATGGCAAGAGGCAGCTTGGGAGAATTGCTTCATGGAACATCTTGTAGTCTTGATTGGATAACGAGGTTCATGATTGCTCTTGGGGCTGCTCAGGGTCTCTCTTACTTGCATCATGATTGCAAACCGAAGATCTTTCACCGTGATATAAAGTCCAATAACATTCTTCTTGATGATAAGTTTGAAGCTCGTGTTGGGGATTTCGGGTTGGCAAAGGTGATCGACATGCCACACTCTGAGACTATGTCTGCAGTTGCAGGTTCTTATGGATATATTGCCCCTGGTAAGCTATCTTTTAACTAATCTTAATACAATACTGCTCGGAAGATCAATTTGATATAACCCCCGAACGCTGTCTGTTACAGTTAGGATGATTAATGCTATAGATACTGATACATAATCTTTTGATTCCAGAGTATGCATACACTTTGAAGGTCACAGAAAAATGTGACATCTACAGCTACGGAGTAGTCCTTCTGGAGCTGCTGACTGGAAGAACGCCCGTACAGTCGATAGAGGAAGGTGGTGACCTGGTAACGTGGGTAAGAAACTATTTTCTGCACCATTCTTTGTCTTCAGGATTACTCGATGCTCGATTAGATTTACAAGATGAAGGTACTGTCTCTCACATGATTAATGTCTTGAAAATTGCTTTGATGTGCACAAGTATGTCCCCTTTCGACCGCCCGACCATGAGAGAAGTCGTTTCCATGCTTATTGGGTCAAATGAGTGGGAAGGACACCTTGAAAGTGATTCATCAAATCATGATACCAATTCCATGGATAATACTGAACCTTAATTCCAATTAATCCTAAGTTTTCTGGTGATTTTGGTTTAGCCAGGATGAGTTTTTCACTTTTAATTCTCAATTATATATACTCATCCCTGTATTATTTAAACAAATACAATAAGCTTCTCCCTGTGCATACACCCTATGGCTTCTCTTCTCGATCCATTTACGTGGATAACATGTTCCGTTTTTCATACGGGAAGCAGTCTATATCTGTTATGATCTATATTTGATGAACTTTATACAGTTTTTGATTCATTGTTTGCTCTGTTATTCAAGTACAATACATATTGTTTCTCGAACACTCAAAATGTCGTTGACAACTATCAAGCATCTCTTCTCTTGCTGGATCTAATAAACCCGCCTTGCAGCTCAGTGTACGAGAGTGCTCTGATACCTGCAACTATAGCTTCATCATCAGATGATCTAGACTTACAATTTCTAGCTAGATCAATTAAAACGGACTCCAAAACATCCCTCAGCATTTTTCAGACACCACTCAAAGCAATCGAAATGGCGCCTAATTTGATCCTTGTTATAAACTTTTCTTACCAAAGGTGGCCACAACTTTAGATGATGATCTAGTACTGCAAAATATATCAGTAGTTGGAGCAAGCTCTGCCACTAATTCCTTGATATCTTGTTCCAATCCAGTAGTATCCTCCCTAAACCTTGACAATATCCCCACCTCGGATCAACAAGCGCTCTTTTGTCGAAATCAGGGTTCTATACTCCTTGACTCTGCCTAATACTCCCGTCATTAAGGTGATCGGAGGTGGTTTGATCATGATGAACATGCTTAGCATTGTCATCAGTGCCATAGTTCGTCGAAAAAACACAACTTTTGAGCCAATTTACTAGGCCTTTCATGTTCACATTTTCTTTGATTTGCATCCGCCTAATTGATCCGGATTGCATGATGTATATCCGAGGCTTAGCTGCCTTGATTGAAAGGGTTAGTTTCTCTCTTCTACTACTAGCTAGATAGGGTTAAGATTTGTCGGAAACAATAGATAGCTAGGCTTCATGTGTGTGTGTGTGTGTGTGTGTGTGTGTGTATTCCCAATTGATGACTTGGCAGCCAAGTTACTTCCTCTTTGGGGTACTTCTTTTTGCTCACTTGTCTTGATTAGCGGTTTTTGGTGGTTGATCTGGAGAGGTTTTTCAGTGTGTCGAGAAGACGGTCAGTACACCAAGTTTCATAATACAAGTAGTTGGATATTTGGAAAAAAAAAAAAAAGAAAAAAAAAATTCAACTACTTATATTATAACACTTGGTGCACCAGGCCATATTTCTGGCGTACTGAAAATTTTCTTGTTGATTTGGTAGTACTCTTGTTTAATTTTAACATAATCATCATTACATGTAAAGATATTAATTAATTGTTAATTGTAGTTTAGTCTAATCATCATTAATTCATTATATCCAATATTTACCTAGTTCATCATTTAATTCTACACTCGAGGTTCTCGCTTGATTCCACCTTCTTTAATATCGCTTGTATAAAAATATTCAGGTAAAAGAAAGTGGAATAGTACTCTGTTCAAACTTTGAGGTAGTGTTTTTTTAATCATCAAGTAATCAAAACATGTTCATCCTTGATATAATTTTGTACAATATCATTTTGTGGCTAATTAGCAGAGTTAAAAAAAGTAGTAATTCACTTTACAGTTCTGCAATTCACTAAATCGTGTATGGGCAAACTAATAAATCTAAGACAATTGTTTATTTTTGTCGAAAGAACATATAATTTTGTTAAATGGCATCATACAAGTTACAACAAACATCATAATAAAAATTGGAATAGACAAGAAGCACATTCAACAATAAGACAAAATATAAAAGGAAAATCATAACCCTAATCCCTATCAAGCAGAATGCCGCCACCGCCGCAACCACTTCGTCGTCAGCTACAACAGCAGCCACCCTAAGAACACCAACTCCGTGTTGAATTCAACGAAGGTTTCGTAGCACAAAAGTTTTCAAACCACAACAAGAAAGTATCCCCGGCACAACCATATTTCGCCACCAAAACCGTCGCACAAGAGGAGAAGAGCCACCAGCACGATCCAACTAGACCCAAATCCAGGATAATTGTTGCGCCAAGCATCTAAACCATATATTAATTAAGGGTAACAGACATTGCCAACATGGTATAGTAAAAGAGAGTAGAAAATCCCAATTATCAAATTTTAAATGAATCCTTATCGGAGATTAGAAAGTTTTTTTTATAATTAATTAATCCAGGTGAATTTAGGATCAAACTAAAATTAATATTGTCCTTGTAGGTTTAGGAAATAGTTGGTGCTTCTTCCTTGATCGATAAGGAAGGGGTCTTGTTTCCTTATAAAAACCCTAAACCACACTACTTCTGTTACTTGCGTCCCAAATATTCAAGTAGCATTCGTCTCTGCTATCTCCATTTCATCTTCTCTCACAAACCCTAATCCCAATTAAGAAGTGGTGATCTTTTGAGTTCCAAGAAACCGAAAATGGCGACGAAGATTACGTTGGATTATGTGCGAAAGCTTCAAGTTGAGTCTTTTACAAAGATGTTGGCGGAGGTGAAAGCGGTCGCGAAAAACCGAGACGAAGAACTTTCTATGCTCGAACAGAAAGTTTTGCTTGATCTCTTTCAAAACAAAGGCAAGAAATCCACAGAATTGAAGAAGCGGAAAGCTGCTTCTGCTTCTAACAATCAGAAAATCAAGAAGCATAATTCCGGAAGCAGCAGCCAGAGCATGCAAGATGAGTACATATATTATAAGGATTGTGATGAAGAAGATCATGGAAAGAAAGCGAGGACGAAGAAGCAGAAGACGGCCAAGAAAGCGGAGAGCGTGAAACTATCGGCTTCTTCAATTCCTCTTCCACCGCCGGAGTTGCCTAAAGAATTCAAGGAAAAGATTGAATCAATGCATGGTTTCCAAGTGCAATTGATGATCCAGAAGCAACTTTTCAAGACCGATTTGAGCTATGGTCATGACCGTCTCTCGATGCCAAGGAACCAAGTGGTTAATAAGCACTTTCTCGGCGAACACGAGAAAAGATTGGAGAAAGGCAGAGTGGTGAAAGTGAAAGTAATAGATTCATGCTTAAAGGAGCGTAAATTATGGTTGGCCAAGTGGTTTACTCATACCCAAAGCAGCTTTTCGTATGTCCTAGGCAGGGGTTGGAGAACAATTTTGAAGGACGAGGAGGTTGGGCTTAATGAAAATGATGTAATTCAGGTGTGGTCGTTCCGATATATCGATCCCAATCCTGATATCAAAAAAGAAGGTCTCGGATTCGCACTTGTTAAGATTAGAGGTGATGGGAAAAAAGACTTCAATGCTAGTACTAGTATCGAGAGGCAGCAAGTAATGGAATCCGCAATTACCAAGAAAAATGTTAATTGTAGTACAAGTACTGACAGGCAGGAAGCTATCAAGAATGATGAGATGGAAACAGATGCCAATGTTAGTACGGGCACCGAGAGGCCGGAACCTGTTGACTTGGCGATGATCAAGAAAGAAGACAGGAAAAAAGATAGTATTTGCAGTACCGCCAGCGAGGAGGCTATTGAATCATCTACGGCCAAGAACAAGAGCCTGCAGGCAGCGGTTAAAGCCACGAAGCATGTCAGCCTAAACCTCAAGTTTAGAAATGTAACTTTTAGACAAATTAAGACTTGTGTTTCTGTTGTGTAAAACGATCCTCCGTCTTCATTGAGGGTTACTTTTGTTCATAGTTTTATGGAAGATTAGATAGTTTATGTTATTATTCTTATGTATTTTTTCTACCGTATGTGATTCTTAACATTTGAAGAGTATATATGTTTAAGTTACGGGCTAGTTTCATTTAAGGTCATGTTACTTACCAGCAACTAAACCTCCTGTGCATATATTAATTTGTGCTGTAATGCAATCTTCGGAGACGGAAAAAAGAATGTAGCTAGGTTGGTAGGATCAGTTGTATTCAGATGTACAATGACCTTTTCTCTAGTACTTGTATGGCCATCTACTCCGTTGATTCTTGGTTTCTCCCGAAAACAGTGAGATTCTATATGCCGCGTGATCAAGTGATCAATAAGAACCTTCTTGGCCAAGACGATGAAAGGTTGAACAACGGAGTAATATATGTGAGAGTGGTAGATCCATGCTTAATGGTGCATGACGATTTAGGGTTGACCAAGTGGGTTACTCAAACCAAAAGCAGCTTTAGCTTTGCCTTAGAACTCAATTTCTACGAATAAGGAGGTTTTTTTGAGTTAACAATCCCGATCTTGGCAACCAAGAATCTCTCGGCTTGGCAGTGGTTAAGCTTAAAGAAAATGTTAATGGTGGTGCTAGTACTACTGATAGGCAAGAAGCTGCTGAATCATCGATGATGAAGAAAGATGAGGAGGGGAAAAAAGATACAAACGGTTGTAGTAGTAGTCGTCGTGCTAGTGCCAGCCAGGAAGTAATCGAATCATCCACGAACAAGAAGTAGAAACGCAACACTTGTGAAAACTGAGACTGCTGTTTCTGTTTTGTAGATCCTTTAACTTTTAATGAAGGATTTTTTTTTTTTTGTTCATATTTTTATAGAAGATTATATTTGACGGTTCGATATGTGATTCTTAAGTACTGTTTTGTTGTATGTTATACTCTCAATTTATTGATGGATAGATGATTTTCTGGTTGTGTTTATGATGGAACGATGAAATTTCATATTATAAGGATTGATTTTGTATTAGTTTTTCTGTAGATTAAATCATAACATGTTGGTAAGTTCTTGATCTCATGTTATTTTCATGGAGATCGATATCCATTTTCCAATATATCGATGAAAAATGAAAGCGTTTGACGTTAGCTCTACAAACCACAAAGTGAGCTCTCCTCTACCGCTTGCAGTCCCTGAAGTGGTGCTGCTGCTATGTCCGTACATTATACTCCAATGATTCTTGGCTCGGCATGGCCGATAGCAGTTAGTTTCCGCCACTTCCTAGCCATTTCAACGGGCTTCTTTGCTCCGATTGTGAGTCGAGGGAATGTGGTGGCTCCGGTTGTGAGACGAGGGAATGTGGTGATTGTGTGCTTGCTAGTTGTGGCTATTGTTGGTTATGCATCCATAAAAACTTGCTGTAGAGACACAATCAGCAGATTAGGGGATCATATTACATTAGGGGTGATATATCTTTTATTTTTCTGCTAATTAATATGGATTTACAAGTTAATCCATGCTACTTAAATGGAGAACCATGTGGGCAGTTACTAAATCACTAGTTAATCAATAAGAACACTAAAATTAGATTTAGTTCCTCTTGTAGAGTTTGTCTTGACATTTTTACAGGGGAAGGAACATTGTGAACCACTAAAAGTAAAGATTGGTTAAATTTTCATCAACATATATACAATTGGATATATGAAATAATACTTATTCGGAAATATTTTTGGTACAGCCGTCCATGGCACGTCATCCATCCTCCAAAGGTACATACAAGATGAATGTTCTGTATTCAGGTTTACCAAAATGGACCCGTATGAGACACGAATTTAGGGTGTTTTCATTGTCTTGCGAGAACAGATGACATAACAAGGACAACTATACTCAAGAATCTCTCTTTATTTCTCGTGTAAGTATCAAATATAAAATACAAAACAATTAGTATAGTGTATTCTCAATCTCTAACTCAATTACAAAATCTAACTTACACCAGTTTGGTTAATTACTTGGCAGTCAAGTTACTTGCTTTTTGGCTTATCTTACTTGTTTGTGCTTAGATACTAATTAATTTTGCTGTCAGTCAGTTTGTCAAAATTAACAGACTTCAAAATATTCACTCCTCCTAGTTGTAATAGGCAAGTAAAAATCCCACACCATTTAGGGCAGTGTGAACCACAAAGTAAAGATTAATTAAAATTACATCTAACTTATAATATACTAATTGGATATATGGATTTTGTTTATTCGAGAAATTTTAAGCATAGCTGTCCATGTTATCTATTCGCCAAAGGCGCACACAAATGGATCAACGCTCTGCATTCGGGTTCATCAAAATGGACCCATGTGGGACTCAAAACGAAAATTTGCATTATCTTGCACGAACAAATGACGTGAGACGAACAATTATACCTAAGAATTTTTTTAAGTATTATGCGTAAGTATTTAACATAAAATCAGAAAATTGTATGGTGCATTCTACATATTAGATTATCAACAGCACGTTTATTAATTACTTGGAAGTCAAGTTACTATCTTTTCTCCATCTCTCGTACTTGCTTTTGCTCAGTTACTAACTTAACGTTGCAGTGAGTCTGACTCCAAAACATCCACTCCCTGAAGGAAAAGGAAAGAAAAAAAATTGACTCCTCCTAGTTGCAATAGGAAATCTGGATCCTCGCTTGATCCTCTTTGTGAGGATCCTGGGGAAACGTCAATCTTGTCCATTCATCGTATATCGTGCGGTCATAAATTATTTTAAATATTTTTATTTAAAATTAAACACAAACAGTACTTAACAAAAACGAAAATTTTCATTATCTTGCACGAACAGATGACATGAGATGAACAATTATACCTAAGAACTTTTTATTATTATTATGCGTAAGTATTTAACATAAAATCAGAAAATTGTATGGTGCATTCTACATATTAGATTATCAACAGCACGTTTATTAATTACTTGGAAGTCAAGTTACTATTTTTTCTCCATCTCTCGTACTTGCTTTTGCTCAGTTAATAACTTATGTTGCAGTGAGTCTGACTCCAAAACATCCACTCCTTGAAGGAAAAGGAAAGAAAAAAAATTGACTCCTCCTAGTTGCAATAGGAAATCCTGATCCTCGCTTGATCCTCTTTGTGAGGATCCTGGGGAAACGTTAATCTTGTCCGTTCATCGTACATCGTACGATCATAAATTATTTTAAATATTTTTATTTAAAATTAAACACAAACAGTACTTAACAAAAACTAACAGCACGATTTAGGATAAACGGACATATTCACGGATCTTCTGGATTCTCATCCGGAGAGGATCCTGTTGGTGCAATAGGACATGAAAAATCCGACACCATTTAGGAAATTACAGCCACCCTTTACATTACTTAATAGATCGTTCGGTTTTCTACACAAGAATTTGGCAAGAATTTACCTATGGATCAAACACTGTACGAGGCTTCTCATGCAGGAAACATGCTACTGTTCTCGCGCCGAAACACAAATGGCGGTGGCGGCCAGCGTGACGTTTGCTTCCTTAACAAAACCTGCTTCGCCGAATTAAGAAACCAGGGCGGCTTCACTCCGATGCACATAGCGTCTGCAAACGGATACTTGGACATTGTGAAGGAGAATCTTTGCCGCTTTGGAGCGGCAGTCTGCCATCTCAGAGGAGGAAAACGCGACTTGACTCCTCTTCATTGCGCTGCCATCTGCGGCCGCGTTGAAATACTGAAAGAAATCATCTCCGCTTGTCCTGAGAGCCTTGAAGACGTAACCTTAAGCGGAGAGACCGCCTTTCACCTTGCTGCTAAAAACAACCAAGTCGAAGCGATTCATGTTTTGGTGGAACTGACGGTCGACTCAGCAATGATCACGGTAGACATGAAGAGGAAGATCCTTAACATGAAGAACGTAACGGGGAATTCAGCTCTTCACGTCGCCATCACTGAACGGCGGCATGAGGTGGTGAGATGCTTGGTTGGCAGTGCAGTTACGGAATTAAATGATGTGAACGAGTCTGGTCTCACGGCTCTTGATCTGGTGCTGCGTCTCCCCAAGATTAGTAAATCATCGTACGCCGAGGATAAGAAAACGGAGGGTGTTCTTCGCAGCGGGGGAGCTTTGAGAGGGCGAGACTTGGCGGCAGTTAACTGGCTTTACATGCCATCAAAGGCAGAGGCCCGCCGTTTCGGGTTGCGAAAAAGAGTGACGCGGCTGGGTCAAGTCTCGATCGTTTATTGATTAAGAATGCTAATGAGCTTGACTTGCTAATTGAACTAGTTTAAGGATATTATGATTTGTCTAATACACTACTGTTATGAGTTTTCTCGGTTAATTAACTTAGGGGTGTGCTATCCACACACCTTATTTTACTTCTCACACACTCCTTGATAATTTTTGTCCGTTGATATTCTTCAATTCATCCAATCCGACGGCCAAAAATTAAAAAGGTATGTGAGAAGTAAAACGGGGTGTGTGAATATCACACCCCTTAACTCATCCTTTTTATGATTAATGTAATGGCCGGTAAAGATATAGAGACCAAAATTTTAAATTAAATTTTGTAAATCAAATGATATGGTTATTGATGATTAAATTGTTATTAAGTGTTAATTAACGTGTTTATTCCCTATTGATGACAAATTATTTGGTTCACAAATTTGATTTAGAAATTTGGTTTCCCTGACTTTATCCTAATGTAATTATCTAGAACGTCCACATGGCAGCTGCACCCACTCAAATAAGTGACTAGATTTGGATGAGGGAATTGGTTTTCTATGTGACGTTACTCGTGGGGAGACAAGTATTATTCTAAGAAGATATATAAATCTATTCAAATAATTGACTAGATTTCGATGATCAAATGATTTCTGATTAATTAATTAATTTATTTATTTTTATATAAATGATTTTCAAATGAAGATTTCTAAAGGGTAGTGTTATCCACACAACCTTTTTTTACCTCTCATACATCCCATGTTGATTTATGTCCTTTGATTTTTTTTTCAATTCATTCGATCCGATGACTAAAAATTAAAAAAGATGGATGGATACACCACCTATTATAAATTGAACGATTCAAATTTTAAGTTTATATGGTAAAGATAAATTAATCAAAATGATAGAATATGTGGATTCCTCCATGCTGGGAACACAAGTACCATCCTAAGATTAAAGTTTATATATGTGTGTGGGTGTGTGTGTGTGTGTGTTTGTGAATAAATTAATAATACTTGTAACTACCGATCGAGTGGATGCACATAATCACCCCGTGCAAATAACGTACGTTCACCAAACAAATTTTATATAATCTTCATTTGAAAATCATTCATAAAAAAATCATTTGAATTAAATATTGCTTAGTTATCTACATGTATGAAAAAATTGAGAGTGTATATGTCAAGTAACATACTCATGCATTTATTTGATATAAGTGCTATTAGAGCGGCCGACCAAATAGGTACACTGTCATCTAGACATTATGTGTCCCTTATACAATATAATGTGGAGAAAATTTGATGTATAACATTGTAACATTGGTACAAGTTGCTCCGATTGTAGTGTAGGCTTGGGTCATTGGATTGCAGTTTGCTTGGAGTTCCCTCCCTTCTGATGGCTGTTAGGACTGACCCGACTATACTTTTCTTGTTATTGGTCCAATGGACTCTGGCTGAATCGGATTCAAATGACCCAATGACTAATGTTAAAAAGGCCCAATGGAGGCTTGTCAGTAACCCCTCTCTCTCTTTATGAAAAAAAAAAGATTGATAAGAAGCCATTTTTCCATGTGTTATAAATTTTTTTTCCGTGTGGTTAGCAAGTAAAAAATGTAGGAAGTCGGATGTGGATTACTTCAAGTCGGTGCTCTAAAAATATCCGTTTAGGTACTAAGTGGTTGGTCATTGATCCGATTATTATTATTTTTTTCTTTTAAACAAATGATATTATTTACACTAAGAGATAGAAGTGAGTTTAATCTCACAATAGACTAGCAGTAATGTAGCCTAATGGAGGCTTGTTAGTAACTCTCTCTCTCTCTCTCTCTCTCTCTCTCTCTCTCTCTCTCTCTCTCTCTCTCTCTCTCTCTCTCTCTCTCTCTCTCTCTCTCTCTCTCTGAAAAAAAAAGGGTGATAAGAATCCATTTTTCCGTGTAGCCCAATGGAGGCTTGTTAGTAACTCTCTCTCTCTCTCTCTCTTTATGAAAAAAGAAAAAGGTTGATAAGAATCCATTTTTCCATGTGTTATAAATTTTTTTCCATGTGATTCGCAAGTAAAAAATGTAGGAAGTTGGATGCGGGTTACTTCAGGTCGGTGCTCTAAAAATATCCGTTTAGACACTAGGTGGTTGGTTATTGACCCGATTATTATTATTATTATTATTTAAACAAATGATATTATTTACACTAAAGGGTAGGAGTGAGTTTAGTTTTACAATGAGTTAATAGTAATGTGAACCAATGAGGCTTGTCAGTAACTTCCCCTCTCTCTCTCTCTCTCTCTCTCTCTATGAAAAAAAAAAAAAAGTTGATAAGAAGCCATTTTTCCATGTGTTATAATTTTTTTTCCATGTAATTCGCAAGTAAAAAATGTAGGAAGTTGGATGCGGGTTACTTCAAATCGATGCTCTAAAAATATCCGTTTAGGCATTAGGCGGTTGGTCATTGATCCGATTATTATTATTTTATTCTTTTAAACAAATGATATTATTTACACTAAGGGTGGGAGTAAGTTTAATCTCACAATGAGCTAATACTAATGTGATTCAAATTCTTAGAAGTTTAAAAATTAAGAAATAAGGTTACTTTAAGTCATTACTCTAAAGAATATCTGCCTAGGCACTAGACGGTTGACTACCACCTTAATTAATCCTTAGACGTTTGAAATCTAAGAAAGGGAGTCTAGACCCTTTTAAATCGTAACTCTCATTTAGACAGAAAATATATAACTTTCATTTTACATTTTATTTTTTCAATAAATTATAAGAGACACGTTGAATACTTGAATAAACACTCATTATATTTTTATATATAAATATACATTTATTTATTTTACTCTACTTGAATGGACATTGCGTCTCTTCCATTTACTATAATTAACCTTATTCAACTAGATTAGCTTACTAAACGATGTCGATATGTTTTTATACAAACGATATTATTTGAGAGAGTTCAAACACTAAATGATGTTGATATGTTCTTTTACAAACGATATTGTTTGAGAGAGTTCAAACACAAATCCTCCAATACATATAATCTGAAGGTAAAAAAAATACATGTTTTAATATCTATTATTTATATAATGACTCGTGATTTATTTCCGAACGTACTAGTAATGTTTCAGGTGAACCATTTAATCCCGAAGTAATTAAATGTACGCGCTTTTGCATTCATTAGTCAGCCTAAGATTACGTGTCCAAAACACGTTTTAAGTTTTTCTTCCTTTTTTGGGTGAAAAATTCCGAATAAGTTCATTGAATCTTAAGAAAACCGCCACGACATCCAAATTCCAATCCCAAATCTCAATCACTTCCCCGCATCCGACGGCCCAGATCGCTAGCGCCCTCAGCCCCACTTCTCCACCATTTATTTAAACCCCTCTTTCTGTCGCGTTGTGCTCTGTTCTCCGCACCAAAAAAGCACCGAAAAACAAAAAGCGCTTCCAACAAAAGCCGCTTCTTGCAAACTTCAGAACTCCAAAAAAAAAAAAAAAAAAAAAAAAAAAAATCAGAAGCCAAGGGGCAGAGCCGGACAGCTCGAGAGAGAGTTGCGGGCAGTCCGATCGCAGTTGGATGGTAGTGATCGGGGGCGGGTGAGGAGGAGGTTCGCCACGATGATCACGGTTCAGGGAGAGGCTCGTCAGCCGCCGGCGGTGGTCGGAGCTTCTAGGGCTCACTTCGGCGTCGCTCGCGATGACTCCTTTGGGATCAAGCCGGAGCCGTCGTCGCTCTGCTTGGTCCCTTTCAAGCCTCATCACGATGCTCGTGAAGGTTCCATTTTCTGATCCCAATTTTGTCTAATTTCTTTTTTTTGTTTTAATCGGAATATGAACTTCCAAATTGTTTTTTAATCAAAGTTTGAAACTTCGGTTGCAATTTTGGGGTTGTTTTAATCGATGTTGCTGTGTAGGTGATTAATTTTTAGCTAAAAATTTGATGGAAAAGCTAAATTTCGAATTTTAGGGTTAGGGTTTTCATCAATTATTCCAGGTTGGGAGGCGTCGGAGGTGCTCGTTTGGTAAATTATTTGAATTTCTGATAGTTGAGGCTAATTGATGAATTATTCGATTATGTAGTCGATGAAGACGCACATTTGACTGTTGCTCATCAAATGTACAAGGCTGGAAACTATAAGGAGGCACTAGAGCATAGCAAAATCGTGTATGAGAAAAACCCGATTCGCACCGACAATCTCCTGCTTTTGGGTGCAATCTATTATCAGGTTCAATTTTAATTCACCAAACTAATCTCTTTTTCTTTCGCTGGTTTTTCTCCATTCTATTGGTGTTGGGAACCTGAAATTAATTAATTTTATGTGTGCTTTATTCCGTTCCAGTTGCATGACTTTGATATGTGTATCGCCAAAAATGAAGAAGCCCTTCGAATTGAGCCCCATTTTGCTGAGTGTTATGGGAACATGGCTAATGCTTGGAAGGTAATGTCATGAACGCATAGTTGCCTACTTTCACCCATTTTTTCTTGTTGAATAATTGTCCATAATGTTGAGTTGGTTTGTTCTTTTTGCAGGAAAAAGGAAATAATGACCTTGCTATTCGCTATTATTTGGTTGCCATTGAGGTTCGTATACTATTTTATACTGTTTTCTGACTATGCTTGTATTTCCTCAAGCCTTAGAAAGGGATTAAAATGGATGTTGAGTTTTCTTTCAGTTTGTAATTTATAGTGTCAAATTACCCTGGTTTGGTTCTTAAACTTTTTGGATGTCCTTTGTTTATAAAGTTTAAGTTGTTCTGCTTCAGTTTGAATGGTTTAGGTGCCCTTGTCTTCTCATTCTCTTGTGTAGTTTGTTGATCTTAGTTTTTCTTGGCTGCAGCTTCGTCCCAACTTCTGTGATGCATGGTCAAACTTAGCTAGTGCATACATGCGGAAGGGAAGACATGAAGAAGCGGCACAGTGTTGTCGCCAGGCACTTGCATTAAATCCCCATTTGGTAGGCTTCTATCTTCTTTGTTTTTGACTTACAACAGGATGTTCTTGTTGTTCTTTTGTCCGATCCAAGGTTCTACGCTATTTTACTTTCAATGTTATCTGCAAGCTAACTACAGTGGGAAATTGGTAATTTGGTATACAGGTTGATGCCCATAGTAATCTTGGAAATCTAATGAAGGCACGGGGATTGGTGCAAGAGGTAAGTCTTAGAAAATAAATGTATTACCTTGCATTATGTTTTAGTTACCGTATATGTATTGGAAGCTAAAATCTAGATTGCGCTGTATAGGATTTAGGGCTGTTGTTTATTCTTTTCCCTAGCTTCCATACTGTTTGCCTAGACCTACTGTTGTATCACTTTGTGTTCTGATCCAGTACCAGTACAGAATGTGGTACTGAAAGTCTGAGCTACTGCTCTAGTTAATATCCACCTGGCCCAAACTTTTCCCCTGCCCAGATTTGTGGGGTTAAATAAATTTGGATTTCTCAACAGTGTACTGGAATGATAATTCTGTTCAACATTTAAATTCTGTAATGCATCTCAAGTAAAGTCACTGATGGAATAATTCATGTGTGGAACTGAATGTGAATTTACAGTTCAAACAGATATGAAGTTGTTGTCCCCAGGCCAGGGCTCAGATGATTCTTGTTGTTACTCCCATCCCCAAGACTGCAAATAGTCAGACTCTAACCTTTTGTGCAGGCATACAGTTGCTACCTTGAGGCTATACGTATACAACCACACTTCGCTATTGCATGGTCTAATCTTGCTGGTCTTTTCATGGAGTCTGGTGATCTTAATAGAGCCCTGCAGTACTATAAGGTATCATAAATTTTGTGTTCACCCATTAATCATCTTCTGACTTTGTGATGTACTGATTCTTTTACATCTTAGTACAATACATGATTGCCCTATTTAGAATTGTTCTTAAATTGTGTTCTTTTTCCATGGATACTTTTCTATCTCAGGAGGCTGTGAAACTCAAACCTTCTTTTCCAGATGCGTATCTCAACCTTGGGAATGTTTATAAGGTAAGCTGTCATGCCTAATGCCAGTAAGGTTGGGTAGGTGCAAGTGGCTGGACTTGTGTTGGAGAAAAACAAGCTATTTCTTTTGCCTTTTCCAGGCTTTGGGACTGCCTCAGGAGGCAATCGTGTGTTATCAGCGTGCTCTCCAGACAAGACCCAACTATGCAATGGCTTTCGGTGAGTAATATCTTACCATGTCTTGGCTTTTTCATCTTTTTATTTGTTCTTGACTTGTTAGATTAAGTGGTTCTTCCTTATGGTTATGAGAAATCTTTGTTTTTTGTCCCTACTAGTCTTTGTAGTAATATGGATATGGTTGACAGCTACTTTTTGTCTCAACGCTTAACGGTCTACGTGCATAATAACTTGTAATTTGGCATTATGGACTTGAAACATTTCCTTTAAGCAGAAAGAGAATGGTAAATATTCCTAAAATTATTGCACATGGATGAGTCAGTTGATGGCTACATTCGTCTTAACTGACTACTTTTATGCATCTCAGTGTAATAAATATTTGTAACTTAAAAGCTTTTTTTTTTTTTTTTTTTTTTTAACTTGTTTTGAACTCTGTTGAGGAATCCTCGTTTACTTTTCCATCTGTTCAGATATATTTTTTTTGTGGTAGCAGTTTCATGGATTTTCTTTGACCTTTATTGAATTGTTTGGCGCAGGAAATTTGGCTAGTTCGTATTATGAGCAAGGTCAACTGGATCTGGCAATCCTACATTATAAGCAAGCCATTTCCTGTGATGCAAGATTTTTGGAGGCTTACAATAATTTGGTTGGTTCTCATATATTTAATTTTATAAATTATGATTTTCGGATTTGTAATTGCAACTTACACCGACTTAATTTTTTTTTTTTTTTCCACCATTTGAAGGGCAATGCTCTGAAAGACATTGGCAGAGTGGATGAAGCAATTCAATGCTACAATGTAGGTTCAACCTGTGGTGTCAGGTTTGTTTGAATTGCATATGATCTTCCATTTTACATAACCTTTTGTGTTACTGCATGCAGCAATGCCTTACTTTACAACCTAACCATCCACAAGCGCTTACAAACCTTGGGAATATTTATATGGAATGGTATGCGATCTTGAAATACTTGTGAATTTTATTAATTTATTAATGTTGAAACAATTAGTTCGGGATTTTAACAATTAAAGTACTGTATATGTAGGAACATGGTGGCTGCTGCTGCTCAATATTATAAGGCCACATTGACCGTAACAACTGGATTGTCTGCTCCTTTTAATAATCTTGCCATCATCTATAAGCAACAGGTATTGCTTCTGTGATACCATTCTTAGGTTGTAGCAAGTTTGTTTTTCCCTCCCATGGGGTGTGGGTGTTTCTTTTGAACAAAAATAAAACTGCCATTTTTGGGGTTGGGATAGAGGGGGGAGGATGGTACTACAAAAAATTGCTCCTTCAAAGCTTCTGGAAAATGTGGACCTGTTTTTTTCCTCTTACTAAAATCCATGCAAACTTTATAAAGATGAAGATTCCGCACACCAAAAAGCTGTCATTTTAGGGGGAGGGCTGTAATAACCATATTTTCAGGAATAGGTGAAACCCTCACAAGAAAGGATTGGTTTCTAAGGTTAAGAGTAGAAATAAAATCTAAAAGCATCAAAAGAAGAATTGCTCTATCTTTTATTTATCATTTGTATTCTGCTCTAATTCTTTATTATGCATGCTTTCATCACAGGGGAACTATGCGGATGCAATTTCTTGCTACAATGAGGTTCTTCGCATTGATCCCTTGGCAGCTGATGGGCTTGTCAACAGGGGCAACACATACAAGGAGATTGGTAGAGTCAGTGAAGCAATTCAGGACTACATACATGCAATATCTGTCCGGCCAACTATGGCTGAAGCTCATGCAAACTTGGCTTCAGCTTACAAGGATAGGTATGGTACTCGTGTTTACATCAGGGAATTTCATCTTTGGGCTATAACAAACTCCAATCGAGTAAATTTTAGTAAAGTAGCTTGATGTTTCAGATGGATATGAAAACTATCACAGCCCTTGTGTGGAAGTGGAACTAACATTTCTTGAACTCATCTTGCAGTGGACGTGTCGAGGCTGCTATTAAGAGCTATAGTCAGGCATTGCATCTTCGAACTGATTTTCCAGAGGCAACTTGTAATCTTTTACATACATTACAGGTATTATCTTAATTTGATGGAAGTGAAGTGATTTTTTCGAACTTTTTAATGTATAGTTTTTTTTTTTTCCTCAGAAATTTGAATGAATCTAAACTCTGCATGTTGGTTTGCTCTTGGACACTGACACAAATGTGCACACACGTGCCTGTACACTTGAAAACTTTTGGAGTTATGTGGATGTATCCACGACCATGGAATTGGTTTTATTCTTGTTGATGACTCCATAAGTAGAAGTGAAAAATGAAAGCATTTATGCTGTAATCAAAAGTAGATATCTATGTTTCACCTCTACTTGTATGCCTTGTGTTGTTTGCAATGCAGCTGAGATTTTGAAATCTTTACATGTAAATTAATATGATTGTATATTCCAGTGTGTATGCAGTTGGGAGGATCGTGACAAAATGTTTTCTGAAGTGGAAGGCATAATCAGGAGGCAGATTAATGTCAGTCTTGATATATCCTCATTGTACTTCTTATTTTGTTAAAACTGATCATTTTCATTTCTAGTCTTGTTTCTATCGCTCATAACTTTGCTCAGAGTTACCTGAACGCTAATTGTTTATTATTTCAGATGTCTCTTCTGCCTAGTGTGCAACCTTTCCACGCAATAGCATATCCTATTGATCCAATTCTGGCACTTGAAATTAGGTAGAGCTGTATGTTCAGTGTTTTAGGCTTTAAGAAGCAATAGCACTAGCAGGAATTATTTTTCTTCTCATTCACAAGTTTGTTTTCTCTTTCGAAGTCGTAAATATGCTGCACACTGCTCCATAGTTGCATCCCGATTTGGACTTTCTCCCTTCAACCATCCTGCTCCTGTCCCCATAAGGCGTAATGGTGGACCTCAGAGACTAAGGGTTGGGTATGTTTTGAGAGGATATGCTTAAGACTAATCGCTTTATTTGCCATTCCTTTACTTCTCCTTAAATGTGTGAGGACCTTTCTTGATTTGCAGATATGTAAGCAGTGACTTCGGTAATCACCCTTTGTCACATCTTATGGGATCTGTGTTTGGGATGCATAACAAGGACAATGTTGAGGTTTGTACTTTTTGTACTCTCTTATTGGTTCTTTTTATGTTCTTTACTGCCTGTTAAACTTAGCATTATTATATAGGTTTTCTGTTATGCCTTGAGTCCAAATGATGGAACGGAATGGAGACAACGCATCCAGTCTGAAGTGGAGCACTTTACGGATGTCTCTTCTTTGTCATCAGATACGATTGCCAAAATGATTAATGAAGATAAGATACAAGTCTTAATTAACCTCAATGGCTATACAAAGGTATACTTCTTCTGTTGATTTCTGTTTCTCGTCCTCAAATAATCTTTGATAAACCTTATAGCAAGCAATAAGTAGACCTAGAAAATGTGCCTATTTGTGTGATACATTTTGTTAATATTTTCTTATAACTATGACTACATTTTTCTTATAATTATGATTGTACATCAACAAATTGTAGTTGTTTATTCTACACTCAGCTTCTAATGATGGCATTTGTAACATATATCTGTTGTTACTTGTTTAAATGACTTAATTACACATTTATCATGCAGGGGGCAAGAAATGAGATATTTGCTATGCAGCCAGCTCCCATTCAGGTTTCATACATGGGGTTCCCTGGTACCACGGGGGCAAATTATATCGATTATCTAGTCACTGATGAGGTTTGAATTGGGCCACCTTATGTCTTGGAGAGCACAATTTTGTTGGCTGTAGTTGTCTGATTTGCTGTGTCTTTGCTTTCAGTTCGTTTCACCTTTACGCTACGCACATATTTATTCTGAGAAAATTGTTCATCTCCCGCATTGCTACTTTGTGAATGATTATAAGCAGGTTGGTGTTAATAATCATATTACAGAAAGTTCTCTAGTCTGTTTTCTTATTTTATTCACTTGAGCAAAGTTACATGGCACCTGAATCACCATTCAATTTTGTGTTCAGAAAAATCAAGATGTGTTGGATCCAAGCTGCCGGCACAAGCGATCAGATTATGGGCTGCCCGAGGATAAATTTATATTTGCATGCTTCAATCAGTTGTACAAAATGGATCCTGAAATTTTTAATACTTGGTAATATCATCATATTCCTCCATGTTCATAGAAGCAATTCCTAAAGAACCAAAAATTATATTAGTGCATATTGTACATAATTCATCATCTCACTAGTCATTTCTATGTTTTCTAGGTGCAATATTCTTAAACGTGTACCCAACAGTGCACTTTGGCTCCTCAGATTCCCAGCTGCAGGCGAAACAAGACTTCGTAAATGTAAGTGCTACAATTTACTAATATACTCCCTTATATTAATTGATTGCATTCCCTTAAACCTCATTTTTGCAACCATTTCAGAATACCCAGTCCAAGTAAAAGAAATAACACAGCCTTTGATGTTTCAGTCTGAATTTAAAACCATTTAATAATGGGCCTTAACCTCTGGTTTCACCCAAAAAATTAAACCCGTTTGTGATATTTTTGTTATTTATTGGACTTTGTTCAGATGCTGTTGATCAAGGAGTCCAGCCAGACCAAATCATCTTCACGGATGTTGCTATGAAAGGTGAACATATCAGGCGGAGTGCGTTGGCAGATTTATTCCTTGACACGTAATCTTCTTTTCCCTTGATTCCTTTGAGAAATCTGAAGGCTCTCTTTCATTGTGTACTGGTCATAGTAAGCTAAAATATTGATTGTGGGAGTTTTTGTCTTTAGGCCTTTGTGCAATGCACATACGACAGGCACGGATATTCTATGGGCAGGTCTGCCGATGGTGACCCTTCCCCTTGAAAAGATGGCTACCAGGGTTGCTGGATCACTGTGTCTCGCCACTGGACTGGGAGATGAGATGATTGTTAGCAGGTATGCCTTTTTTATGGGCAACCTTCAGACTCTCTAGCGGCTTTGCAAGTATTTCATAAAATGATGTCTTTATCATCCACCGTTTTCAAAGAGCCCTTGTCACTTTGCGAAATACTTGTTTCTGAAGGCTTTGTTCTTGTCCTCTCACCTGACGCTTCTGTCGTACGTATACACGAGTGTAACAATTTTCCTTTCCTGTTTTGACTTCCTATAGCATGAAAGAGTATGAAGAGAGGGCAGTGTCTCTGGCGTTGAATCCTCCAAAGCTCCGTGCTCTTGCCACCAAGCTCAAGGCAGCCCGACTGACTTGTCCTCTGTTCGACACCGCACGCTGGGTGAGTTAAAGCAGCATGTCCTGCGCATTTATATCAGTTGTATTTTCAAATTCTTGTCGCATATGACTAACCGTTGGAATTAAAGAACTGGTAATAATCTCTTGAAACAACCTGTTGCAGGTGAGGAATCTGGAGAGGAGTTACTTCAAAATGTGGAATCTGCATTGCTCGGGCCAGAAGCCGCAGCATTTCAAAGTCACCGAGAACGATTTAGAGTTCCCCTACGACAGGTAGAAGGGCAAAGTTAGAGACGGGATTTGTAGATAGTTTAGGAGAGAAACAAAATAGGGAAGTTGCTTCAATGGATTAGGAGATCCATATAATTATTACCCAATATGTTAAATCCTGGACAAGTTTCGAGTCGGAGGAGAGATTAGCTCGACGTAGCAGTATTCAGTATGTCACTCTTTCCACTTGCTCCCCTCCGCACCATTCCCTCCATCTACCATATAATCTTGTGATTTGTACGTCTCTTATGTAATGGAGATGGTATACTTGTGTGCTGATTTATGTCTCCCACGTTAACCGTCGTATCATTAATGGTAATGTATTGGTTCCGTCCGCTCTTGTTCTTTTACATTTTCGATCGTAAACTACTCTTTCTGAGACGTTTTCCGTTTTCTTTCGGCTTGAACCGAAACTCTGCCGAAAATTAATTGCGATTTGCGGCCGCCTTGGCTCTCTTTGGCATTCAGTTTGCAAGCAAATTCTGTCCTACGTTTCTTATTTCACCTTTTATAAAATAAACGAACCAGAAGCATAATAATTTATCGTCTAAATTACACAAAATCTATGGATTGTATCATAATCTCATACTTTATCTTACAAATTGTAGCAATGTTAATCCTCTGCGAGTCAATTTTTCTATTAACTGTTGGCGTGGTATGCGCTTTGTTCATCGTATACCCCAATTGAGTACCAAAATGGCCATCGTTTCTTCCATGCGCTCTGTACATCGTACCCCGGGAAGCAGGTGCCTCATCCTTCTCCTCGAGCACAACCGGCAATGCACAATGCACATAGCCACCAGATCCTCAAAACTCCCAAAATCCGTCGTCTTCAACGCTCTATCGACACATCACGCGCCACGGAGAGAAACTTCCAATTGTTCAATCCTGTTAGCCATATCATGCTTCCCACAGTTCTTCAATCCATCAGTAACAAAATCAAAGCACCGCGAAATCGGCATCAACCCCATCTCAGTCATTTCCACCAAGTAATTCGCAGCCTCAACAAACCGCCCTCCGCGTCCAGCCATCGTTATCAACATGGTATACACCGGCCTGTTGGGAGGATGCCCCTTAACCTTCATCTCACTAAAGAAACAAAATGCATCATCAAACTGCCCCCTCCTGCACATTCCCTTAATTATAGAAGCATACAAGCTCGGAAACGGCTTATGCCCCTCTTCAATCGAGTTATGCAGAAGCCGAAACGCATCATCAATCCTCCCCACCTTCGAAACCGCCGGAATCAACACCTTGTAAGTGTTGATATCAGGACAGAGCCCCAAACCATTTGCTTCCCAATACAAATCAATGCAAAAATCAACCTCCCCACATTTACATATAGCCTCCATCAATGCATTAAAAGTAGAAACATCAGGCACAAATCCTTCCTTCACCATCTTCCTTACCATCCCTTTCGCAGCCTCGACGTAGCCAGCGTTGAGCAGCCCTTCGACGAGAAGATCGCGGCCGCGAACCGGCGGATTGAACCCTTTGCTGCTCATCTCCTCCAAGAACAATTGGGCCTCCCGCATTTTCCCATTGGAGCACCAAGCATTCACCAAAATCGAATACGTCTTCTTATCCGGAACAACCCCTTTTCGGATCATCCTCCTCACCAGAGCATAAGCCCCATGAAAGAGCTTCCCTTCGCAGAGGGCGAACAGCAGAGCGTTGTAAACTCCGGCGGATTGGGAGCACCGGAAGGTCTTCGGCGCCCGATTGAAAAGCTCCACCGCCTGATCCACCAGGCCGTGGCGGCCGTACTCTTCGATCACGAAGCAGAGGGTTTCTTCCGAGAGCGTTAATTCGTGGTGGGTCTGCATCGATTCGAGGAGCTTCCACATCGATTCGTACTTTTTGGCGCGAGCGAGGATCTTGGCGAGTTCTTCGAGCTCTAGGGTCGTGGGGTGGTAGGTGGGGTGGTGGGTCCGGGCCCAGTTGAAGAATCGGAGCGACTCGGTGCCGTGGGCGGAGCAGGCGCGGAGGACGCGGTAGACGAGGTCCGAGTCGACGGCGATTCGGAGCTTGTTGAGTGTCCGCTCCAGGTAGTGGTCGCGACGGACGATGTTGGAGATGTGATGGATGGCTGAGAAGTAGTCGTCTTTTGTCGGGACGACGCCGTTTGGAGGGGCGGCATTAAGGGCGGTGGTGAAGTGGCGGAGGATGCGGCGGAGTGGTTGCGGTCTGTGGAGGACCGGTGAGTTTTTGGCGGCGCCCAACATATGTTTCGCTGCTTCCAAAGAGGTTGCAAAATTGAGTGATTTTACTTTAAAGCGGAGTGAAGTGTGAATTCCCAATAATACCATTGGTAAATTCCGTATTTTGAAGGGTATAAGAGACATTATGTATTTAGTGGTATTCACGAAATTACCCCAATTGGTCCCCATTGTAGTTGAGGAAACGACGTCGTTTCTTATTCTTCTTCGTCTTCAACCTTCTGATTTTACATCTCGAAACGAAAGCAGAAGGCTTTCTCAGCTCTCGCTTCTTTCAGGCTGGAAAGAAGGAAGCAAACGACGTCGCTTTGGTTTCAGCATCGGGTAATTCCCTCTCCCTCTCTCCGTCGAACTTGTAAAGCTAAACGTTGCCGTTCCGATGGCGGTAAAACAAGCTAAGATTTGGTGGTTTAAAGATGGTTGTAGAAAATATTTACTGAGATTCTGGTTTTATTCATCAAATTATTTGGAATAAATAAATATATATACATGCATATGCATATATGTGTGTGTATATATGTTTGTATTCATGTATTATTGTATATATATTTCTCTTAGTATGGTGTGATTTGCTCTTTTAAATGCTTAAATCTTCAAAATTATTTAGTTCAGTTCTTTATCTGGAGATTATTTCTGTTTATATCATACGAATTTCGACCCATATGATATATACATATATATATATATATATATATATATTTATTATATGTGTTGTGTGTGCGCTCGCGTGTATATGCATGCTTATATGTTGGGAACTTCTGGCAGCTGATTTTGTACCGTATCATTGTATCAGATAAAATTGCAGGTGGAAATTTTGTGAATTTTTGAGCTGGACATTGGTTAGAATCCGCCATGAACCGTCCTCCTGCTCAATTTTCCCACCCACCCTTCACTTTCCATCCTTCAAGTCATAATCCTAACCCCGATTACTTCCACTCTGAGCCACAAAACACACCTCCCGGAATCCTCACTCATCCTCTGCCCCCTGATCTTTCAACCACAATCTCATCTCTCAATAGCCTCATTCGCGAGTCTAACAGGACCCTCGACTCACTCTCCGCTCTCCTCCCTCTCGAAAACTCAAGTTACCATAATTTACATAGTGGCCTTGTCGCCTGCCCTTTTAACCCCCACCACCGTGTGCACCCTGACTCTCTTTTCTCCCACTCCCTCCACTGCCCTTCCCATCCTCACCCTCTCCAGCTTGACACTCTCCCGCCTCGCAACTACACCAAAACCCTCAAATCGTCTGAGCAATCCCACATTGGAAAAAGTTTTCTTCAAACAGTTAATGGCTCAGAGGCTGACCTGTGCTTGTCGTTGGAGCAATACTTTGCGGATTTTGATTCCAATTTCTTCTACAATGATTGCCCTGGTGTCGTTAACTTTTCTGCTCTGGGTGGTGTTGACAGAATGTTCACACTTCCATTAATTTTGTCAGCTGAGTGTGCAAACTTTATTGATCCAGGAGAGAGAGAGGTTGCGGATTTTGACAACGAGTGGTGTAGAATTCTTCCATCTGAGTTGTGGGCTATTAAATCCGAAGTTGAGGGCTGGAATGAGTTTCCTTTTATGTACTCGTACTGTGTTCTTCGTGTCATTTTGGGGTTGGGTGTGGTTAGAGAATGTGATTTAGCCATATGGGTGATTGCAAATTCACCACAATATGGAGTTGTGATTGATGTGGCTATGAGGGATCATATACTTTTACTTTTCCAGTTGTGCTTGAAGGCGATTTTAAGGGAAGCTTTAAGTAAGGTAAAGAAAGGAGATCCAAAGAGTAAAAGTTTTGAGTGTCCCACTATGGTTCAAGCTTTGACGTGGCTGGCTTCTCAGCTTTCCATACTGTATGGTGCACAAAATGGGAAAGTTTTTGTCATAAGCGTCCTTAAGAAATGCATATCAGATGCTGCAATGGGCTCGTTAATTTTCCCATTGGAGCAACTGGTGACAGAGTCTCCTTCTTTAGAAGGGGGTTCATTGAATCTGGATGCCAATGGCAATGGTGTGAGGGATGCTGAAATTATGAAACCACTAAACACAGATGGTGAAGGGAATAGCATGATGAAGGAAAACATTATCGGTAGGGTGGTATTTGTGTCCCAGGTTGCAGCAGCCGTTGCAGCATTGCATGAAAGGTCCTTGCTAGAAGAAAAAATTAAAGCACAACGGGTTTCAAACACCCTTACTAGATATCAACGGTATGCACTATGCTCAATTTCATTTTTATGTTGAGCTTGCTTTCAGGTTTACTTTTAATATGTTGAAAATCTAGTTGAAGCATAACGGAGGGAGGTGAATAGAAACAAATGCTAAACACGGGAGTTTGTTAGAAGAAATATTATTAGTAACTGAAAAGGCCAGGGATCTGCCAGTGCTTCGGATCTTCATAGAAACCTTTGTAAAATAGCCAATACTTTGTTTTTGTTATTGTTGGCCATTTCTGCTGTTTGGAGCAAACTGTCCTTTTGCTAACATTTATTCCAACTGGGTTGTTAGTTGTTACACACATACAAGTCTTAGACTCTTATTCATATGGCTATTTGTCAGTTCCATATTTTGACATATCTGTTGTTTTTGGGATTGCTTATGAAATGCTAAGTTTTTCTTGTACTGTCTTTCTTTGTAGGGTGGTTGATCATGATTATGTATCACAAAGAGCTCATGAGGAACGGAAAAACCGAAGTCAGTATAAACCCATTATTGACCATGATGGGATTCATTGGGAGAAATCACGTGACCAGGTACCAGATAATATCATTGTTTCAAGATAACTTAGAAGACACATGATGCTTGTTTAAAGTGATTCAGCTTATCTTTCTGCTGGGAGTCTGGATTCTTTATTGCCATTTTAGATTAAGTAAAGGGTTCTCAGAGAGATCAAAAATAATTTCAACAGTGTAGAGAGTATCCTATCATGATTAAAGATCTTGTCTTTTCTAGCGATTATTGCATTTTAAAGTATGGTTTTAATTAGATGAAGAATAAACCTAGTAATAGCCTGAAATTCCTGAATTTGGTTCTTCTTTGTTGGTTGAACTCAAGGAAACAAACAAGACTAAGACTAGAGAAGAGTTATTGGCAGAAGAACGAGACTACAAAAGACGAAGAATGTCATATCGTGGTAAAAAGGTGAAGGGATCACCTTTGCAGGTATGGCGCAGTTCATATTTGTGGAATGTTTATTTCTTGTTGCTTATTTTATACTATGCATATCATTTTAGTTATTCTGGCTAGTATTATTTGTGGCTTTCTTGAGTTCTTACAAAAGAAAGACAAACAAAATATTGAAAAGGAAAAGAATTTTATGGGTAGACTCTAAGAAAACCTCATCAGAAGCCCTCGATGTTTGAAATTAAACCTAAATACAAAGAATTGTCTTAAAAGGATACATTTGCACTTCTCTACCTGCTAATATATGACATTGACATTGATACTGAAGATACCACACAATAACGCAGGGAGGGTACTGAGGCTGGTAAAACATCGAGAACATTTCTTTTGAGTGTACTTATAGAAACAATGGTAATCCTTGAGTGATCTATGTTTCAAGCTCGGTCGGTGGAGCTAAAAATAATTGATTTTAATATGTTGTGATTTATTGGACTGATGGTAGGAAAGTAGGAATAACTAAAGAAAATATTTTTTTTTTTCTCTGTTGAAGCATTTACGTCTGCAGTTTTTTGCCCTTTTTATTTTATTGGCATTTAATGTTTACTTCTATACTTTCTGAAGAAAATGAGGGATATTATAGAGGTATACATGGAGGAAATCAAGAAGGCTGGTGGGATTGAGTGCTTTGAGAAAGGAACTGAAGGGAAAGGGAGCATTCCATTGGAGCTACCATCAGCTCCTGACATCACCATGGATGCTGATAAGGCAACAAAAAGTAGTTATGAGTCAGCGGCAAGTACCCCGTATCGTAGCAGGAAACAGTCTCATTCTAGTGATGCTATTCATTCTGCAACAGCCAGGGATGCTTATACTAAGGCTCACGAAAAACCAAACCATAGTCTTGAGGGACGCCATGAATATCTAGAAGATCAGAGGAGTGTCAGTAGGGACAGGCGCGATACAGAAAATCATTCGAGAAGTCCAGAAAGTCGCCGAGATCATGGATGGTCACACGGACATACTCGCAATCGCAGGGAACGAGATGATCTGGAGGTGACAAAGACGAAGCATTATGAAACCAAAATGTCATCTTCTGGCATATCCAAGTTTCAAGATAGATCATCTTCTCAGTCAAGTTCTCATCTGAAATCAAAAGTTAGAAGGGATAGATACACATATGAGAATCACAGTTCAAACTCTATGGAACAAAATACGTTTGATGATAGATATGATCCTCTGGAGCCTCATGACTTATATGAAGACGATCTCTCTACTAACAGAAAGTATGCTAGAGCAGGCAGACATTCTGAAAAAGAGAAAATTTCCGACTACCATTAGAAATATGACTGCCATGTCGGTAAGTTATTCTTGATTTTTTTTTTTAATGTACTTATAGTATGCTCTCACTTGAATTTGAAAGTGACATTTCTTTTGTGACATTACTGACCAAATTTGCAGCCCAAAGTCATCAGGCTTCAGCAATTTTAACTTCACCTGTATCCTCCTTTGTATCCTTGACTGTTTTTTTATGAGCTGTTAAGGATTTAGATATTTGCAGTTGTCCTTGTTTCCTTGCTCATTCTCATTCTGAGTAGATAATAAGTTGATGGCAAATCATTACTCGTACTGGCATGGTTATTCCCATATTCCTTATGATTTTTTCCTCTCATTAGTCGACATGTTATCAGTTGAGATTGTTATTTACTGCATTCCTCTTGTCTGTATTTACGTCAGTTTCATTATGATAACCCTTGCAATAGTGAAGTCTCGCATTTAGCAATTGTTAGTCAAGTGAAGTGAGACAAAACACCACCACCTTGTTAAACTCCTCGTACATGTCAATCCTCTTTCTTTACACGCTAACCTCGCTCTGAATTTTCTTTTGGGCCAGACCTCTCTCTGACCAAACCAAATTAAGTACATTAACGATATCAATGAGCCAAGTTAAATCCTGTTAACCTCTCTCCGAGAAATCTAACTGATTGTCTCACCAATTACTTCCATGTTGTGCATGTATGTGCTGCATTTTTGTCTGAGGGAATCCGATTACCCAAGTGATATATTTTCTCCATTTCTTTGCACTTAAAGCTTCATGCATTAAAAAAAAAGAAAGAAAAGTACACATAACATAAATCCTTTCCAAAGACCGGCTGGGTCATTGTCTGACAGAGGGCCATGGTATCAGATCCCAATCTGCAAATAAGGGTAAACAGGTTTGTCGTTGGATTGCAAAGAATAGCATCATTATAAATCTCTCGGTCCTTGTAATTTCGATTGGGGAAGCTTTCAACTCCTCCTCCTTACCCCCCCGGTTCCTTTTTTTGTTACTTGCTTTCTACTCCGGTTTTGTAGTATACAGCATTGCATGTGATGTCATGGTTGAATTTTCTGATGCCCTTGTCTCTTTGCCTTGTAGATATGAAAAATGCCCCCAGCTTCTGCTAGAATGTACAAGTTCGTGAAAGGAACGTCTCTGTCCTCTGGTTATGTCAACATGGAGAGTGATGACGTTAGTGGATGAAGCACAGAACTGGTGCCTTGACCCTCGGTTGTATGCAATAGTTTTGTTTTGCTCATGGAATGCAGTTCTCCGATGAATTGTTTCGACGAGTTCATACAAATCGGAAGCAGTGCATGTCGGAAACCTGGCTTCTTCTGACCTTCATTGAAATATGTAGATGGAAGAAGAATGCTTGTTATGTACTCTTGGCATTTTTAATTTTGTAGAGATTATGTAAAATTTCTATTTAATTATATGTTTATTAGTAAATTTGTTAAGTTTATCCAGTTGGTACTTAAATTTAAATACAGTTTAGAAGTTCATGGGTGCATGGTTGGCCGTGTCAGCTCGGCCACCTTTACCAAGACACAAAATCATCCGTTCGGCCTATCTCAAGTGGTGGTAATGTTCATTATCTTATTATTATTGGATAGCCACGTGTCTTGGGAACAACTTCAATTATAGAGAGGCTTATTCTCCATGATAGCGTTTGACCATCCAGCTTGTCATGCTGCTATACTCAAGTTACTCTTTTCCTAATTGTACCGACTTCACACATTTGTGTCAGACTAGTTGATCTGTAAGTAGGGGTGGTTCGGTATGGGATACCATACCGAAACTAGTATCCCGAATCCCAAACCAAAATTTTTCGGGACGGGAATTTGAAGACCAATCCCAAACCAAATTTTTGGGAATCCCAAATTTCGGGAATCCCGAAATATTTTCGGGATTTTGGGACAAATCGGGAATCCCAAATTGAAATATGAAATTATGAATTGTTCTTCAAATATATAATTCAAGAACACATTCATGAACTAGGAATTTCATTTCATTCACACTACCATTTAATTGAACACTGGCATGCCTGACTGTTTTTATCATAGTCAAAATTCAAATTAATTAAACCATTTTTGCAATATGTTGAGAGACAAAAGAATCAAGCCTTCTAAAATCATCAGCCATAACAGCAGCAATAATAAAATCCACATGAATATCAAACAAAACATGAAAAATATGCAAGGTGTAGGGCATTCCAGGTTGCAGAGCATGAATTAGAAACTACTAGCATCAATTATAAAAGAATAATATATATAATAATTAATATTATATATTTTCGGTTCGGTATGGGATTCCCAAAATATCGAGAAGCCAATCCCAAATCCCATACCGAAATTTTGGGATCGGTTCGGGATAGCATCCCGAAAATTTTGGGAATTTCGGTTTGGGAAATTTTTGGTTTGGGATCGGGATTTTTTCGGTTCGGTTCGGGATTTTTGGGAATTTTTTCCACCCCTATCTGTAAGCTAGAAGAGTATACCTATTCTTTCACCTGAGTTCAAATTTATATTTGAATTTTAACGATAAGGACAAAATAAAGGGTAAAATTAATAGTACCATATTTGATTTTTTAATGTAAAAATGTGATTTTTCATTAAAGTGAACAGTATTATAGATTTTCGTTAAAATTCATTTAAAAAAATCTCGGAACAGTAAGTACTGTTGAGGTAGTTTAGACATGTGCCAGTTGAAAGGAATTTTGCGTGTCACACTCATTCCTTCTCTCTCTCCTCTCAGTCAGTCGCACACAGAAACCAAAACAAAAAGAAATCCAGGAAAACAGAGCATCTCTCTCTGTCTCTCTGTCTCGCCTTCCTCTGACAGACGAGACGATGCAGCTGCAGCAGCGGTCTACAATTCTCGACGTCCCATTCATCTGAGACGAATAATCAGAGCAACAGCAACCCCTGATCTCAATTTTTCTTCTTTCTTCCGCAAATGGCCAGGAAGGGTTTCGTCTCCGGGGAGGGAACTGTGACCGACGCCGATGCGTCCACGGCGGCGGAGAAGGCGAAGGCCGTGGAGATAAAGAAGCAGCTGGAGAGGCTGGTGAAGGCCATTGTCGACGAAGATGACTACAGGGTCGAGACAGCCGACGAGGCCATCAGAACCTTGGCTTCTTTGAAAGACTTGAAGTCCGAAAAGTCGTTCTCTTTCAAACTCGCTGAAGGCGGTAGCCATGGCGGCGGTGTTCTTGCGGGCGTTCCTAAAGAATTCAGATGTCCCATTTCCGGAGAGCTCATGGCCGACCCTGTTGTCTTGGCCACTGGAGAGGTATCAGGTTCACAAATTTACACCTTTTCCTTTCTGTATCTGTGAAGATTTTGAGGAATTCGTGACTAATTCGAATTTGCATGCAAGAATTTCGTGTTTTTAAGATTTGGGTTGTTCTTATATTGGGGATTTTCGTTTTTTCTTTCGCATCAAGATTGGTTCTTCATTTTTGGAGTTGGGATTTCAAGATTTTTTTTTGTTTTGTTTTCTGCGGTCATTTGTTGTGCAATTTCTTTGCAGTGAAACTGTTTGCTACTTTGTGTTTGATATGAAGAACCGTCGGAGTTTTAATAATCTTGTCAGTAATTTATGTTGTCATTCCTCCATTGTAATGGGAAAAGTCAAAAAATTGTTTGATCACGAGAGTAGTACTCCCAAAGGAAACTTCTGTAGTTTTTCTTTTGATATATGTGTTTGTATTGTGTGTATATATACATATGCACACACACATATGTATATTGTTCGTTTATCTCCACAAAATGCGACACACACATATGTATATTGTGCGCTTATCTCCGCGAAATGCTGGTATTGATCGAATAGGGAGTACTGCTTCAACTGAACTTCTGAGAGGAGCTGTGATTATAAAACCTCAATGAGTAATTTGTTCAATGAAAAAAGGAAACTTTATAAATAGAGGGATCGGTGAGGTTTTGCTATTCTTCACGGCATCACCAATTTTGGCAGGTACTGGCAAATTGCATGTACAAAGTAGGTATAGAAACAGTTACTTGCGTTTTGTTGCGTTTATGAATTATTTAGGATCAGATCACCGCTCCTGCAAATATGGTAGCATCGCTGGCATCCTCCTTGACCGTATGATCTAAGAATCCGTATATCTGTCAGATGTTTTGAGTTCACGACTTTTGTTAGTAGCACCTTGAATTCGTGCAGTTTCTAATGTTTTACATATCTTTATTGGATTACAGACTTTTGATCGACCATTCATTCAGAGGTGGTTGAACGAAGGCCACAGAACGTGCCCTCAAACAAACCAAGTCATCTCTCATACTGTCCTTACCCCTAATCACCTGGTTCGAGAAATGATTTCACAATGGTGCAGGGAGCGTGAAATTGAGCTTCCGAAACCTGTTCAGGATATTGATGAGCAACTTGTCACCAATGCAGACCGAGGATATCTGAATTCACTGCTTGAGAAGATGTCATCATCTCTATCTGATCAGAAAGCAGCAGCAAAAGAGCTTCGACTGCTAACAAAGCGAAGTTCATCATTTCGGGCACTTTTTGGCGAGTCTACTGAGACCATTCCGCAATTGCTCAACCCACTTTCACCAGGACAGGTTGATGCTCATCCTGATCTTCAAGAAGATCTGATCACCACACTACTAAACCTCTCAATTCATGACAATAACAAAAGATTAGTTGCAGAGAACGCTTCAGTCATCTGTCTGCTTATTGAATCCTTAATATCTGGAACCGTTCAAACAAGAAGCAATGCTGCCGCAACTTTCTTCACACTATCAGCAATTGACTCCAACAAGATTACTATTGGAGCATCGGGTGCTATCAAACCTTTGATTGACCTGTTAGATGAGGGGCATCCATTAGCAATGAAGGATGCTGCTTCGGCGGTATTCAGCCTGTGTACTGTCCTCGAAAATAAGGGAAGGGCCATCAATGCTGGAGCAGTCAGGGTGATTCTGAAGAAGATTATGGACCGTGTTTTAGTTGCCGAGTTGTTAGCTATACTTGCAATGCTCTCGAGCCATCAGAGAGCTGTTCAGGAAATGTGTGAGCTTGGCACTGTGCCTTGCTTGATTGGCATCACAAGGGAGAGTGACTGCGAGCGCAACAAGGAGAACTGTGTTGCAATCCTTTACGCTATCTGTTTTGCAGACCGGACCAAACTGAAAGAAATTAAGGAAGAGGAAATGGTTAATGGTACATTTTCTAGACTTGTACAAACCGGGACTTCGAGGGCAAAGAGAAAGGCCAGCGGAATTCTTGAAAGGCTGAATAGGACCGGTTCAATAACGCACACTGCTTGACAGAAATCGAACTTTTCTTCTCTTCTTTCTCCTCCGAGAAGATATTACCCTATCACACCCCATGTAAATGTCGTATATTTCGTACTATACTCCACCTGTACACAGAAAGAGCTCACAGATTTGTACACATTACTTGAAATTTTCCTAGGCAAAGTTTTGGTCCATAAGATTTGGTCCATTTCTAGACTTGTAATGGCCATCGGAATTTCACCTCTCTTTGATGGCAAAAGAAATCACAACTAGTACATTTTGTTTCTCCGTGTGTTTCCGGCTCATTTTCCGATTCTCGGATGGAATCGGTGGTATATCACACTGTTAGTATCTCTCTCGTCACATGTTATATTGTCGGGTTTGTGCCTCTTTGAAATGCCATCATAAATATAATAAGTTTCATTTGGATTTTGTGATTGAATGGTGATTAATTGAAGGGTCTCCATAGTTTCTTCCACCCTAATATTTTAAGTGTGTCAGCAGGCTGCATAATTTCCGATGTCATTTCTTTTTTAATACAATACTTAAGCACTGGATTAAGTCGTTAAACCATAATTATGTTCGATAACGACATGTTTAGTCGGCGCTAATGGGATTTACGAACTTTAATAATAATAAAAAAAGGAAAGAAAAATGAAAACCACAATTCACTACAAGCCAAGCCATTATAAACCCTGGAGGACAACTCACATCATGCAGCATTTGATGGTGCCATTTTCTGGTCCTACTCCTATCCCCTATCCACAAACATTCGTCAAGACTCGAGAATCTCTCAATAATTTTGTACCAAAAAGATACCCATGAGATTTGGAAGCCGTGGGTTTGGATTCGATAGCGTTGTCTAATTAGGGTAGTTCTCGGACCAAGTAAGATCGCATCGAATTAAGTGTGACCATCGGGTTGAGTGTGACTAAAATACAGAGAGTTTTCTTGTTTTGTAAAGTACCCTACAGATAAGGTAGTCGAAAACCATCTACGAACTGTCAAAACATCATTTCTTTTTTCGTTTCTATTATTTTTTGCTTTCGGTTGAGTGAGGGTGGTGGTGGGGCGAGCAACTTTCGGGGTTTGACAAGTAATACCATAGATCCCTTGTCACGTGTCTTTTTTTGCCTCCAAAGTATGGACTTTGGAAAATAACAGAAACCATGGACTCCTGCATGTCGAAAGTAAAAGTAAAAACAAGAAAATAGTGGTGCACGCAAAGAAACCATTCAAATTACTTTTTTATCCAGCAAGTAGCACGTATGCGCATGAGACGAGAAAATCTTGAGTGTGATTGGAAATATATCATTGTATGTGTACGTATTATGTGATTAGATTGCGATAAGTAAGATTTTATGTGAAAATATATTTCTAGTTAGAAGGTAGAACTTCACGTGGAAGACATGACATCATGGTTTATATAGTAGTCTGTAGTTCATAGTCAGATGACCAAGATAGAGAAGAAGGCTAAATTCGTATACAAAATAGGGTTTCTTCAAAGTTTCTCAAAGTTTCTTCAATTGCTCAACTACCAATAAGCTTTCCGTATATAGAAAAGTATTGCATGCTAAATGAAATTCTTACACACAACGAGAAATATATTTTATGAGTGTACATCATTCATTGTGTAAGAAGATATATCCCCGGTAACACTAAAGAATCTCTGCAGGTATTGGGTTCTTGAGGAAACAGGTTGAGTGAAGATTGTTTATACCAATGAGGATATATCATTGGTGACACTAGAGAATCTCTATAGGCCTTGAGCCCTTAAGGACAGGCTTCTATAAGGATGCAACAGTTGAAGGGTTAAACTCAGTACAATTCAATTGGGTAGAAGGGTATCTGGAACAGAAAGCCGAAGACAAGGAAAAGGAAGCCCGACTCTGTTTTGGGGCTCCATCTAAAGATGGGCAGCCACAGAAACATCAGACCCAAAGTGATCTCCAAAAGTCTACAAAACAGCAGAAAGTGAAGAAATATTCGTAAAGTGAAAATGTGAGTTAGATTAGTTAATCACGATAATAGTATGATCGTCAACTTAAATTCAATTTTAAATCCCGTTTTCTATTACAAAAATGGTTAAGAATATCTCTCTGTTAAGAGAAAGTCGCATGGACTAACAGCTACCAGCTGGAAGTGGCAATGATCAATGAGGGCCATGCCATGACTAATGATTATAAATCGAAGGGTTAACTGCATTTACATCATAAGGTTTGAGAGTCATTTGCAAAATCAGCCACAAGATTTCAATTTTTGCATTTACACCAAGTGATTCTTGAATTGGATCAATTTAATCTCTACGTTAATTTCATTGTCTAATTAGACGTTAGGTGGCCCTTTAAGCACATGTTGACTATCAATTTTATAAAAGAATTAAAAGAGCAAAGTAATAAACATTGAAATAAACAATCAATGAGTGCTTAAAATGTGGGTCAAGTCTATGTTGCATCAGTATGTAACGTCTAGTTAGACAATAAAATTATTGGATAGGTTAAATTGGCGCAATTTAGAAACCATGTGGTGTAAAATATAAAAATTAAAACCTCGTGGCTGCTTTGACAAATGACCCTCAAACGTTGTGGTCCAAAACTCAACTATCATATATCGATAAATTGTATTTATTTTCATTGTTTTATCAATTCAGTAATTGTATTTATTTTCATTGTTTTATGCCTTCTGATATGGTGATATCATATATTGGTGTTTTTGCTTGTCGAATCATTGTTTGTTAAATTCTTGATCACACGTCCAACTCTTTATTACTCTAATACTTGTCATATACCAAAGTACAATAGAATCTTCACTAGGTCTTGCTTCTATCAAGGGAGAAAAGTATTTGGCTTCTCCATTCAATATCAGAAATACAAGTACTACTACACCAAAAACTAGTTGGTTTATAAACTCGGATATTTTGCAACTTTTCATTTCTTAACTACAAAACATATAGATAACAAAGTTACAAATGAGAGGAAGATTAAATAAGAAAGTCACAAATGTGGCACTAACATCTAATCTTCATCTCAATCATAAACTTGGTTCCATCTTAGTTAGATACAAGTACAACAACTAACACACGTTGAAGAAAACAACACATAAAAATAACTAAGGCACCGAGTTTTTCTTGTCTACTAGGCATTCTAATTCCTATGAGTTTTGAGACCCCTTTTGCTTCACGAAGCACAAGCAGGCACCAAGCAAGCAAACATTCTCAGCATTTTCTTCTGCCAAAAAAAAAAAAAATCAAAACTAAACTTTAAAAATTAATCAAACGGGTAAGTAAAACAGTAAAGGTGACAAGACATTGACAGTCATTTCAAGTGCCCCCAAGGTGTAAAAAATTAAAGTAGAAAATCAAATCATTATGCATGATAGTTTTAAACCCTCCCTTATGCATGATCATGTGAAAATTGAATTTCACTACCATGTTGAAAATTGAAACCCTACAATGTCCCCAAGTAAAACTGTCCAGCAAAATGCTTCATAAAAATTCTAATGTGATTCGGTGTAGAGTTTTATACCAATTTTGCGGTATAAAATGCTCACGCAACATGTTTTGAATAAAAAAAATACTACGTTTGGTGAATAGAAATCCATATCATGTTCATTTGTGAGTAAAAACTTTCATGCAAGTTTCACATAAAAATTTCTATGGCCTATAAAAAATTAAAACAAAAACAAATAAAATGTGGAAATTTAGTTATTGTACCCGCTTGGTAGTGTGGAGGAGCTCAGGGGGTATTTTGTAGAGATCTTCGTCGACAGGCTTGGGAGGTCTTCTTGGAACGGTGTCGCGGTGGTGGTGGTGGTGGTGGTGGTGAGTGCGATTGGGTTGTTGGACATGGAGTTGATAGTGATAGGGTTTAGTTGGCGGTTCGGTCACGTCACAGACTTTTGCCACCTTCGATTGCTGCCTCTTTTGCTCCATAACATGCGCACGCTGCCCTCGCTTTTCCCTCCCTCCTCCACCTCCTCCTCCCCCACCAACTCCTCTTGTTGCCTGCACCAATAATATTCTATGTCTCACTCTCACATGTTATATCATCATTTAATTAATTTCATCAACTAGTTTTTTTCACTCATATTAAATGAGGCATATGCTAACGTGTGACAATAACACAAATATAACAAGTCAAGTCTCTATGTGTGTTCAAAATAAAAATAAAAATAGGAAGGACATTAAACTGACTAGAAATCGTATTTAATCAAGGGATTCGTGTTCAAGTTTTTGTTTGTGTTTATTTCTAAATAAAATTAAATTTGGAATAAAATACAATCAAATGGTAAAACAAGAGGGATTGTTCAGTATAAATGAAACACCATTAAATTATGTCATGATTTCACACAAATTATAACACTATTTTTTTATATACTAATATGTTGTAATAAGTGGGATAAATCAACCACGTTGTCTCCTAAAAATTATATAACATGTAAAAAAATACACCAAATAACAAGTGTTCCATGTAAACATATAAAAATTTATAGTAAACAGGCACCATGCTTTTGAAAATGAGCTGCCTCACCTAAGCTGGCTAGCTTATCATAATTAGCCACTCCAAGACATAAAATAATCTAAAAATCCGGTGCATCACCGAAAAAGAAAATATTTTCTTTTACACTCACTTGTACCAAAAATATCCAAATCATACTACTAAAAATACAAAGGTAATGAAAAACAAAAGCAAAAATGCTCAAATGAAATCATAAATTAAAGAAAAAGCAAAATATTTACAAAAATGAAGATGTGGGGGCCCCCCGGGGGGGGGTGGCCGGGGTTGGGGTGGGGTTTGGGAAGGGTTGGAATTTAAGTTAGAACCTTTCGAGAAGGAGCAACATTGCGAGAAGGCTTCTTGAAGTGATCGACAGGAACAGCATACAAGTCAGGACGCATATTGTAGGGATGATCAGCACTTTCACCAGAAGAAGAGCTGAATCTGATCAAACCGACTTGTCTCGCACACTCGAAATACTGAGTGATTGGTAGATCGTTTGCATAATCCCAGTCTCCAAACGCCGGAATCTGCCCACTCCTCTTGTAATAGTCCTGAATCACCATCCAAACACAGATTAAAACACAAAATAAAATAAAAAATAAAAAAAACAATAACTAGAAGAAACAGATCACTGATCGAGAAATTGGTGAGGAACTTACATCCATTGTGTTTGTGGGTTAGTTGCCGAAACCCAATAGAAAAGATCGGATTTTGATTTGAAAGAACAAGAACCCAATTGAAAGATTGGATTTTGAATGCAAAGGTGAAAGCAAGGTAGCAAATTTAAAGAGGTGTGGAGATTGGGTGTGAAGAACCTAGGAGTTAAAAGGAGGGGGTGGGGGGGGAGCAAAAAGGTGAAAGAAGCTATGGAGAATCCTAAGGAAAAGTCAGAGGATATAAATTATGGTCAGTGCTAAAGAGAGAGAGAGAGAGAGAGAGAGAGAGAGATGATCTCAAAGCTGCTTTTTTTTTTACTAGATTTATAGCATACAGAAGCAAAGGCTCTGAGCAGGTCTCAGCAGGAAAGACAGCTTATTTGGGTAGGCAATGGCAGTCCTCAGGGCCTTCTTTTAGGGGGATGGCTGCTGCTGCTCTGCTTCTGCTTCTGCTTTTGTTCTGCATCATATATGTTTACAGTTGCACTACTCACTGTACACACTTAAGAGAGAAAAAGAAGAGAGAGAGTTGGTGGTGGTGGTTGACAATTTTATCCAATCCTGAATCTAGTAATGTCACATTGCAACCATGCCTGATTAAAAGATTGGTTTCTTCCCTCCTCGCTTCACGCGGTTGGCAGGTGGGCCGCAGAAACTCTAGGTTTTCTCACTTAAAAACCGAAAAAAAAAAAAATGAAAAAGATTATTAACATTCTAAAAATCTTATTTTATATTTCAAATTTTTTATATTTGAAAAGAAAAATATATTTATGAGAAATGTGGAATGAGATTTTTAAAATGCCAATAACACTTTCTAAAAAAAAAATCTCCGAGAAATGTGAATTCTTTCTTTCCTTTCAACTGTTTGCAATGCAGGAGAAGACTAGCTGGTGTAGTGGGTGCGACTGTGACCAAATGTATGGCCCAAAGTTGAAAAAAGGCTTTGAATTTTTGAAAAAGTGCTTATGAATAAAATATGTAGGTAGGTCTGCTGCCAAACTTTGCTAATTGCTTCTACTGTGGGAGGAGAGGATTGTGGTACTAAAAGTGACTTTGGGAAGAAGCAATTTTTCGAGAAGTCACGCCCACCATTTTGGGATCCTTGTCCGTTTCCAGCACGAATCCAGCAACCATACGTCAACAGGACCTGTCATGTGGATTGTGAACAGCAATATAACATGATGAACCCTAAAAATACCATAGGGATACATATGGTATTGAATATGCATACAGATCACTATGCCTCTAGCAATGAGATCTATTTATGAATACAGGATGTATGTGAATAATAATTAGAATACGCATTATCCACTCAAATAAACCAACTAGGAATTCAAGATCACTTTTAGCACAATTTCGTTGATATTCTTAAGGATAGAACCATGTTTTAGCAATGTTTTTAGCCCAACTACTAGTTTTTTCACTTATTGATTAGTTTTTCGGCTTAAATATTCTATAAAAAAAATTTATTTTTCACAAAAAAACATGGATTAACACTTAGAATTTTTTTGTCGGTTATACAATTTTGTACAAAGTTCATTACAAAATCCATTTGCTTTCACATCTGTCTCACCATAAGTTTTTGAGTATTCATACAAGGATTTTCATTGATATTGTTAAGGATGGAACAATGTTTTGGCAATGTTTTGGGGCTCACTACAATTTTTATCACATGTTGATTAGTTTTCGATTAAATATTCTATGAAAAGTCAATAAATGGTCAAGCCAATTCTAAATGCCTTACAAAGTTTTTCCTAACCCTTATGGAAAATAACTTGAAAAATTAAAAATTTTGAAATTTTCACAACAAAAACGTGAGTTAACACTCACTAGTTTTAGTCAGTTTTACAATGTTGTCCAATATTTATCATAAAATCCATTTGCTTTCACCTTCGTCTCACTACGAGGTTTTGAGAATTCATGTAAGACTTGTCATTGATATTCTTAAGGATAGAACCTCGATTTGGCAATGTTTTGGGGCTCATGCACAATTTTTTCCACTTATTGATTAGTTTTCCGCGTATATATTTTTATGAAAAATACATTTGTGACTCAATAAATGATAAAATCAATCTCAAATGCCCTATCCTTAACACTTACAGAAAATATCTCATGAAAATAAAAAAATTGCGAATTTCACAAAAAATGTGGGTTAACACTCACGATTTTTTATCAGTTTCGCAATTTTGTACCAGATTCATTATAAAATTTATTTCTTTCACCTTAACTTCACCGTGAGATTTGAGAATTCATGCAAGATTTTTCATTGATATTCTCAAGGATAGAAGCCCGTTTTGGCAATGTTTTGGGCCTGCTACTATTTTTCCACTTATTGATTAGTTCTCGACTTAAATGTTTATACAATATGTGGCTCAATAAATGGTAAAACAAATTCTAAATGTCTTATAAAGTCTTCCTTTGTCACATCCCGGCCCGGGACGGATTACTTCCCCGGCCCGCTCCACCACCGTAGCATGATATTGTCCGTTTTGGACTTACCATTCCCTCACGGTTTTGTTTTTGGGAACTCACGAGCAACTTCCCAGTGGGTCAGCCATCAGGGGATTGCTTTAGCCCCTTTCTCGCTTAACTTCGAAGTTCCTACGGAACCTGAAGCCAGTGAGCTCCCAAAAGGCCTCGTGCTAGGTAGGGATGTGAATATACATTTAAGGATCACTCCCCTGGGCGATGTGGGATGTTACAATCCACCCCCCTTAGGGGCCCGACGTCCTCGTCGACACACTTCCGCCCAGGGATTGGCTCTGATACCATATTGTCACATCCCGGCCCGGGACGGATCACTTCCCGGGCCCGCTCCACCACCGTAGCACGATATTGTCCGTTTTGGGCTTACCATTCCCTCACGGTTTTGTTTTTGGGAACTCACGAGCAACTTCCCAGTGGGTCACCCATCAAGGGATTGCTCTAGCCCTTTTCTCGCTTAACTTCGAAGTTCCTACGGAACCCGAAGCCAGTGAGCTCCCAAAAGGCCTCGTGCTAGGTAGGGATGAGAATATACATTTAAGGATCACTCCCCTGGGCGATGTGGGATGTTACATCCTTCACACTTACAAAAAGTATTTCTTGAAAATAAACAATTTTCGTCTTTCACAAAAAAAAAAAGTGGGTTAACACTAATGGGTTTTTGTCAGTATTACAAATTTGTACAAATTCTTTATAAAATTCCTTTGCCTTCACCTTCGCCTCACTACGAGGTCTTGAGAATTCATGTAAGCTTTTCGTAAATATTCTTATGGATAGGACCTTGTTTTGTCAGTGTCTTGGGTCCACAACAATTTTTCCACTTATTGATTAGTTTTCGGCTCTAGTATTTTATGAAAAATACATTTTTGGCTCAATAAATGGTAAAACCAATTCCAAATGCCTTATAAAAATTTTCTTAACTCCTATAGAAAATATCTTGCGAAAATAAAAAATTTGCATTTTTCACAAAAGAAAAACGTAGGTGTTAACACTCACGGGTTTTAGTCGGTATTACAATTTTGTACAAAATTCATTATAAATTCCATTTACTTTCCCCTTCATCTCACTATTAGGTTTTGAGAATTCATGTAAGAATTTTCGTTGGTATTCTTAAGGATAGAACCTCCGTTTTGACAATGTGTTGTGTAAGATCCCACATCGCCCAGGGGAGTGATCCTTAAATGTATATTCCCATCCCTACCTAGCACGAGGCCTTTTGGGAGCTCACTAGCTTCGAGTTCCGTAAGAACTCCGAAGTTAAGCGAGAATGGGGCTAGAGCAATCCCATGATGGGTGACCCATTGGGAAGTTGCTCGTGAGTTCCCAAAAACAAAACCGTGAGGGAATGGTAAGCCCAAAGCGGACAATATCGTTCTACAATGGTGGAGCGGGCCCGGGAAGTGATCCGCCCCGGGCCGGGATGTGACAATTTGGTATCAGAGCCTAACCCTGGTCGTGGTGTGCCGACGAGGACGTCGGGCCCCTAAGGGGGGTGGATTGTAAGATCCCACATTGCCCAGGGGAGTGATCCTTAAATGTATATTCTCATCCCTACCTAGCACGAGGCCTTTTGGGAGCTCACTGGCTTCGAGTTCCGTAAGAACTCCGAAGTTAAGCGAGAATGGGGCTAGAGCAATCCCATGATGGGTGATCCATTGGGAAGTTGCTCGTGAGTTCCCAAAAACAAAACCGTGAGGGAATGGTAAGCCCAAAGCGGACAATATCGTGCTACGATGGTGGAGCGGGTCCGGGAAGTGATCCGCCCCGGGCCGGGATGTGACATGTTGGGCTCACTACGTTTTTTCCACTTACTGATTAGTTTTCGGCTTAAATATTCTATGAAAAATACATTTGTGGCTAAATAATGGTAAAACCAAGTCCAAATGGCTTACGATTTTTCCTTAACGCTTATGGTACAATATATCACGAAAAAAAAAAATTTGTGTATTTAACAAAAAAATCGTGAGTGTTATTCATCAGTTTTACAATTTTGTACGCAATTCATTATAAAATCAATTTTTTTCTCCTCCACCTCACCATGAGGTTTTGAGAATTCATGTGTTATTATACACTCAAATAAACTAACCAGGAATCCAAGAACTTTTAGCCCAATTTTTACATGTGTATATGTATAAATACACATATTATACACATAAAAATATAAAGAAATAAAATTGTTTTTCATACAATTCTCAAGCTTCAAGAATATCCATTTAAAAAAAAAGTTTTATACACATAGGATCAGTCTCGTATTTCACTAGCTATTATAAGTGAGTATTGATATTTGATAGGCAATGTTTTATAAACATGAACGCATGCATTAAGTTTGGAGTTTTAAAATTTTTCACATACTGTATCAATCACATATTTCACCAACAATTTTTTAGTCAAATTTTAAATGAGAATGAACATTAAGTAAACAAATGTTTTTTACACATTATTCCACTTGCTATCTTTGTTTTAGTCAAATCATAAGTGAGAATTAATATTGGATATTCAGATGCGGTGACATATATTTCAACATATTATACAAGTCATGATCCTTGGAGAATATTGTTTTCAATTAATTAACAAACTCTGATTAATTAGCACCAGCAGCAACCGTTAAAACGGGAAATTAATTAACATAAAAACGTATGGGTGAAAATCCCAGAAGATCGAATCACGTGAACAAATCCAATAAAAAAAATACCGACTTACAGCACCAAATGCCAGAAAATTCATGTGAACATGCCTTTGAATCTGTTGTGTGATTACAAAAACATCCTCAAACGCCATTGCCATTTGCCAGAGTTTTATTTTTTAACGTCAACTGCGGCAGGAGAACGCAAGGGGCTCCAAGAATCGTTGCCATCGAGGAGCCTAAAAGTTTTGACTCTTTTTTTCCTTTGTTAAACTAATAGTATAATTAGGGTTTCAATGTTGGAAAAAGCTTTGCTGTTGTAGACAACTTTGACTCCAAGGCACCACTTGGGGTTTGCGCAAATATATATGCACATTACAAACATATATATTGAGAGAATACTAGCAAAGGTTCTTATTCCAATTTTATTAATTTACTTTTTTACCTCTCGTTTTTACTTTCTAATGACACTCAATATCCAAATAGTCTGTATTTCAGGTCATTTACTTTTTTTTGCAAAGACAATGCTAGAATGATGTTACTCATAAACATTGAAATTTTGATAATGTTAATCAAATGGTAAAACGATTTTTGATTTAGCTAATTGTGTGTAGAGTTAATCTTATGATAGTAAGTTGTACGAATCATCAAGTAATATTGCATATTTAAAAGAAGAACCGAGACTCGAGTGAGAAGATTTGGCAGCATCCGCTTATTATACATGATACATTCATGTGAAGGGCTTGTAGCAACACAGGGCAGGAAGCAGGGGAACGGATCCGGACCAAGACCATAAATCCGGACCTTTGAAATTTAATCCAACGGTCAAAGTTATTATAATTTTTAAAGTAAGCTTCTGTTTATCGTTGTTGAATTAAATTTCAAAATCTCAAATTTGTAACTTTAATGGACTTGGTAGAAAAAATCTGAAGAGGCAGGATGCCAGACCAATGTACACAGCTTACACAGTGGAATATTTGATACATGCGCTGTTGACTTTAACCCACGCCTTCGTCTTCTCCCTCCTGTGGGCCCCCACAAGCTCCCCCTGCCTCCATTGCTCTGTATACACTATATACCATGGTCAAGACTCCGGACTCTTAGCTGAGCACTTCTGCTATCCACAGTATGTTAGCTGACCTGACACACACATGATATTTGTCCTCGGTGCATTTTCTTGCTAAACGACATTAGCAACCGACCAAAGAGTTAATAAATAGGCCAATACAGAAGAACGGACCAAACAGTTTCTTCTTCAAATTCATCCACATATTAAGGATGAAAAACTTGGCTAAGGTGTCGAGATCAACTTGCATAAAATGAAGTCTATCGTCACGGATGTTTTAATCTTATAATGCAAGCCAAACACATTATGTGAGGCGTTTATTACAAGATCACGTTATTTGTGAAGTACTAATTCTTGTTAAATACTTTTTTTATAGGGTTATTTTAACTGAACAACTCTATAAATAGTCTAACGTAAAAATGCTACACGATCACGTACAAATTTGTGTGATCTACAACGAGAGAGAGACTTACATGCACCTCTTAGAATATGCTACCATAGCATCTTGAGCCAATAAAACAATGTCATGTGTGAAAACATTTCAACAAGTAAAATACCCAATATAGTCCTCCTAAAATAGGATTCTTTGGTGAAAAAATGGGTCTCACTTCTCTTAAAATTTTAATCTATAGTATAGTCATTATTAAATTTATTAGGAAAAGAACAATATAAGTGAGATGTATTAAATTTGAATTTCGTAAATGACGAATTTGATATATTGTATAATAAATTAAAAGATTAAAAGAGCCATGTATAAATACTCACATTATAGCTAACATGATGTGCAACCTTTTTTTCTCTATCTTTCGCGTGAGGATGGAGATGGAAAAATATGGTACGCACCTTCTTGCAGATAAGTTTCTCCTTTTAAGGAGAATCCTATAGCTGCAAATAGGAAACCACTTACAAAACTTGGGCTAGAGACCTATAGCTGCTACTGATGACCCACTAAGGAAAAGGTTTTTTTGGGCTTTTTTATTTTATTAGAAAGCCTTATTTTCATTTGGGTTTGCATTGGGCTTGGAACATGTGTGCAGTTGTTGGGTCAATTTGATAACTGTTTCGCTGTTGGTTTTTGGTTGGGAAATATATGGAATACTTGCAGAGCCAGTATGGGCTCACAATGGTTATCTGATCCTTCTGAAGTTCTCATGCCTCTCTTTAGATTAGTACTAGTAATAGTGCCCGCGCGTTGCTGCGGGTCTTAAAACTATTGGACATAAAAGAAGAAAACAGTCAATGCAAACTTGTAATGGATAGTTTGTAATTAACAGGTTTTTAGTATGTTCATGCTATTTAAACACAGAAAATATAATAAGAAAAAGAAGTAGAGTGTTGGCAGAAAGTGATGTAAGTTGCGGCATACCTGTAGTCAAGTCTGTGTAATTGATTTTAGTTGTGAACACCGGTAACATGTACAACTCAGAGAACAAAAAACAGCAGAAACTGAAGAAGAAAATGATGTGCACATAGAACATACTGCAGTAACTATAAATTAAGGTTAGAAGTGTTTTAATAGTGATATAAATTTGTGGTGAAGAATTATGTATAAGAGGATAACTGCTTTTATGAGTGTGAGTATATAACACGTCAAAACGATTATTAATAATTAACGAAATATTTGAAGTAAAAAAATTTACATTTGATGTTGAAATTCGAGATAATAAATGTAGCTGTAACTTATTAGAAGTGTTTAAATTGGCATTAACCGGTCGATAACAGTTTGTTCAATTATATTGAATATGATTAGACCATGTTACGATACGATGTTATAGGAAAACGAAGAAAAACTTATATAAGCTATTAGAAACAAAATATAATTGTAAATATAAAGTTGTGTCATTTGATTCTAAATAAGCATGTATATACTGACAGCAAAACGAAATCATTAGGGTTTTATCCAAATTAGGAAAAATCTAAAATAAAAATTAAAAAACAACCTTAGATGAAAAAAAAAAACTAACACTGTGAATTCTTAGCCCCCCGACTATCCATTGCATTTGGTAATTTTTAATTTATACAAATAAAGAGTAAGTGAAATTGGATGCATACCTGGGATGAGAATTTGAATAATGTTTCAGAAAATATAAGTTTGTTGCAATTTAGTACAACAAAAATGAAAATTGATGTCTTTTGCAATAAAATATATTTAGTGATAGTGTTATATAAGACTTAGAAAAGTATTGCAAATCATGCTATGATTAAATAGTAGTTTATTTGGCAATATTATAATTTTTAAAACAAAGTTAAATGTTGGCGATCTAAGACGGATCAGATTTACGTAAATTGGTAAACTTAGGTTTAATTATATGGAGTAAGAATCATCATTTCCGTCTTTTCTCTTCAGAGGAATTAACTATTACCAATTTATATAGATACTTTCTTCTTCTAACTTATTGTGAATACATGGTTAATTATTTGTTTGTCTAGCAAAAGGTTTAAGGCTAACATTTGGAAGTATAAACAGACATCCTTCCATTAAAGATAAATCCTGTCCATATTTTGTAAATCTGTGAAAGAACATATTAGATTAAAATATGTGGACATGGTATATCTCTAGTGAAAATGTCTACTTTTATACTTTTGGATGTTCAATTTAGCCTTTCAATATGCAAACAAGTAATTTGTCATGTATTTAGATCATGTGAAAAGAAGATGGTTTGTATATATATTAGTAATAGCTAATTCCTCTGAAGAGAAAGCTTAGTAAAAATTGTAATTAAACGTAAAGCATTAACAAAACAAAATTAATAAAGTATTAATTAATTTTACATACCTTTGAATGTTTGCCTCTTCATTGTTTGAAAATGTATTTGTCAGCACTGTAAGCTCCTTGCTGAATTAGCAATTTTTTTTTTCCTTCCTAAAATTGTAAAATAAAGTGTTAAAAAAAAGTTTTATGGCAATTAATTATAATATATAATAATTAGTTGACATCGATGGAAAAATGGTGCCATACGTAGGAAGAAAGTATAAAAACCAAATTTGAATGTAAGAAATAAAAAACAATTTGTAATTCATTATCATGCATTGTTATCTGTTTTATGGTAAACATAAAAGATGAAAGGTTTAAGGAACTTTAGACAATTCTTCTATTACAACATGGAAATATTCTCATGGAAAAAACATAATTGAACCATGGAACTAATTATCTCACAAATAATGATTGTATGGATACCTAAGACAAAACTGAACCAGATTTAAAGAATTGTACAGAGAGATATTTTATAGCTTTCATACGATCATCAATTAAGTTTTGCATAATTATGTCCCATAATTTTTAGGAATGAAACAAACACATATAGCACTCATACTCTGAACTGAAAATATTCTTTAATTTCTTCAGTAATAACGTTGTTAAGGGAGAGAATGAAATTGGAATTTTATATTTTGGAGATTTTAGTGCACACATACATATCACATGTGCACGGAAAGCAGATTGAATTCAAATTGCAATTATATCCTCAATTGGCAATCTAAGATTTTACCATCTAAAAAAGTAGACTTTTACAAATTTATGCAGTTTATTGTTTTATGAACTGAAATCCCTGTCAAAAAAATGTAATGACGGATGAGGAATTACAATTTCATACCAACATGAGCCTTGAAATGTTACATCTATAAATTCTGAGTTGAAGGAACCCAAAAGTTGAATTCGTAGCTTTCAAAGAGATGCAAAATTTTTCCTAAACTATTAAAGGCCAGGCTCATGACACATAATCTCTAAGCAGCCAAAGAAGAAAAAAACTAAAAGCTAAGATATTGTAAGTACATTTCAACTACCTTAGGTAAAGCAATGACATAGGCCTGATGTTCCAATGATGCAAAACCTGTAAAGTTGGGCAATTAGAAAAATTAATTCTTTTGGTTATAAATATTCAATTAGATACATTTTAAATAAGAACCAGAAAAAAAATGCACATAAACGTGAGTTATGAAGATTGAGACAGCATAGAGGAAATGAAATAGACCTCATCAAGAGTAATACTACTGTAGTTTGTAGAAGGTGCCCAATCCTTAATGTCTTCAATTAGATTCATTTTAAATAGGATCAGCTGCTGCTATTTTTTCGATGTAGGACAATCGGTTCCTAAAGTTTCCCCAATAGAAAACTCTAACTCTAAAATATGATTATATATCAGAATTTATAAACAAAGTCGGAGGAAACATTATGATTATTGAGCTAGTATTGAATAATGGGTACAAAACTGAAACTTTTGGATGGTCAACCTTGTTTGCAGATGAAATTAAGCATCCCGAAAAACCAAAACAAATCAATTTAACATAAAAGTTTGTACTACTCACCTCAAATCGGCCGGAGAACTCATAATGGAATTTCTACCTCGCAATTTTTCCTTAACCTTTTCCATCTCAATATTTCTAAATAGGACATGGATTCTATAACATTAGTTAAAGAAAAAATTTATCTATACTACACATATGTAGATCAATTCCCAATAAATTAAGATGAAATCAAGGTATGGAATATATTAATTTAGGGTTGGAAAATCACCTCGAAATTTCAGTCGACAGAGATTGAGCAAGAAAGCCGAGAGACGAAGACATTGGGAGAGATGGAAGAGAGAGAAGTGATTTGTGAGATGAGAAAGTGAGAGATGCAGAGTCTCTGAACTGGGTTAATTTTCTTGTAAATTTTGTAACACATCTTTAAAAACAATATTCAAAGTACAGTTTTTAACACTACTCTCTACATTTTCTATTAAAATTTTTAAACCTTCTCTTGATGTCACTCTTGATAATGCTACATATAATTGGCCATGTGTAAAAACAGGTTCTGGAAGATATAAACCAACTTGTTTAAGAGATTGTCCTTGACTTTTATTGATTGTCATTGCATAACATGCTCTAATTGGAAATTGACGTCTTTTGAAGATGAAAGGCCACTTATTTTCTGTAGCTGTAAGAGTGATTCTTGGTATAAAAACTTTATGACCAATATTAGTACCAGTAAGAATTTTAGCTTCAATAATTCTATCAAATAATTGAGTAACAACTAATCTAGTTCCATTACACAAACCTGAAGACTGATTTAAGTTTCGTAGTAGCATAATAGGCATTCCTATTTTTAATACCAAATTATGTGCAGGTAAACCATTGAATTCAAGCTTGTTTAAAAATTCTGTGGGGTATATTATTTCAAGATTTTCAACATTTGCATTAGAAAACCATAAAGAATCATAACTCAAAAATGTTTGTTGTTGTCCAGGTAATAAATTAATTATATAATTATTCACATCTGTAACAGTTGTATTTCGAGGTGTTATAATAGCTCTTTCCCTTAAATAAGCAAAATTGTCAAAAAAAGTTTCAAAACTCGGGTATGTTGCAGAAAAAATTGAATGGATAGCATTTGTAGAACAATCAATTATCAAATCTTGTGGTATTTGAATCAAAGATGAATCCCTATCAATTGAATTATTCACATTGTTTGCATCATTAATTTGTCCATCACCAATTTGTAGAATCCAATTTTCAAAAGAACTAATTTTATATTTTTCTTCAATACTCAATCCATTTTTTGACAATCTCATATTTTCTTTCAAATGAAAAATTTTAAAATATGGCCATAAATAAGAACTATTCAATGAAGCATTTATTATATCCTCTTTAGTTCCTTGAGGAATAACAGGCAATATTTGTCGAAAATCACCACCCAATAAAAGAGTTTTTCCACCAAATGGAACATTTTTATCGAAAGCTTGTGAATTTGACAAAATATCTGAAAATGATTTATCCAATGCTTCAAAATAATATTTATGATTCATAGGTGCTTCATCCCATATAATTAAATCTGTTTTTTCAATTAATCCTGCAAGATGAGTTTTTTTCTTTATTGAACAAATTGAAGAATCAGTAATAATCAAAGGGATTTTAAATCTAGAATGGGCTGTTCTACCACCTGGTAATAATAATGATGCTATTCCTGATGATGCAACAGCTAGAACAATTTTACCGTCTGATCTAAGCTTACTTGTAATTGTATCCCATAAAAATGTTTTTCCAGTGCCTCCATGACCATAAACAAAGAATAGACCTCCTTTTTTTGCATTCACAGCATTTAAAACACAATCATAAACATGTTTTTGACCTTGGTTAAGCTGTGATTTCAAAAGTGCATGTTTCTTATAAAGTTCTTCACAATCATAATTTAATTCTTCTCTCAAAAGCCTATTTTGAATTTCTAACATTTTTTCTGCATTAGGCATGGGAAGATGATATTTTTTCAAAGAGGTAGATGCATTATTAAAAAGTAATTCTAATTCAAATAGCACTGAATTTTTTAATTCATGTTCTGGCACAATCATATCTGGAATTGCAAAAGTTTTTCGCAATTTATATAAAATGTCATCATACATGTTTTGCCAATGACTATCAAAAAGATTTTGAGGATTTGCTACATCACAAAATAAAATTATTGTGACAAACAATTGTCTCAATTGAGCAGATGATGCAATATGTGCAACACTTGATAAAGCCTCAATCCATTCTTTATCATCACCTAATAGTCCTAATGATTTGCATGCAGAATGGTAGGAAGAATGTACAACACCATTAATTGTTTTTAAATCCTCAAAACTAATGGCGCCTTTTTTTAAATTCAAAAGCATTCTCAAATAATATAATTCGCCAGATGCAGGATGTACATATGCTATTCTGCCAATTGATGCTTTATATTTTCTTGGCTTCCAAGTTTTTTTCTTTACATCATACAAAAATTTTGTGGGAATTTGTGCATAAGTTAGTTCACGTGCGTTAGGAAAATTTTTGTTCAATTCAAACCAACTTGTTAACATTGTGTTTTCAAAAGCTTTTTGATTAATGATTGACTGTAGTGATTGATCAGCTGTAAAAACAACATTTTGTTCTAATGGTAAACGAACTGGTAATCGCTCTACAGAAGGCTCTCTATGATGTATGAAATATTGAAATAGTCTCCAAACAGCCTCATAAGGTGATATATATCTACAATTGAGGTATGCTAAAATCTCATCATTCAAATTTTCTTGAAAAACTAAACGTGCTCTATCTGAACCTTTATTTACATATTTGAATAAATATTTTATAAGCATTGATTGACAACAGGATTCAACATTTATATGTGCATTATATTTTAGTAATAACTCTGCATTGTAAGGAACAACAAATCTATTATCAACTTTTATACCGTTTTTAATCACAAATTTTTCTTCATCTTCACGACGTTTATAAACAGCAAAACCATTTGTGTCAAAAATTGTTTCGCTTTTATATGGCTTAGGAAAGTTTTTAGAACATTTATTTTCTCGCATGCAAGGTGATTTTGGATTAATACAACCACATGGACCATGAATCATAAACTGATTAACAGTTTCATAAAGTTGTGGATGCAAATTTTTATCAGGTAATTCAGCAGAAATAATTGAGTCTATATCTGATGCGCAAAAACATTTCACATTTGGTTTCAGCCATATTAACATATGAGAATGAGGTAAACCTCTTTTTTAAAACTCAACTGTGCAAACATCTGTTCATGAGGAAAAAATGAAAACAAAGAAAAGAATAAAAGTAAATTTTATAATAAATAAGAAAACTAAAAAGCTTGAAATAAGTGCTAGAATGAGTTTTAGTAACTTACTTGCTTGAATTTCTCCAAAAGGCTTCCCGGACTTGATGAAATCAATCATATGATCAAGCTTCATTTCGAAGATTCTAGAAATTATATCAGGTCTATCTTCAGGTTTGAATCCTGGCTTATTCTCAAACTCTCTTGTGATTTCTGGCCATTTAACATTACATGTAAATGTTATAAACAAATCAGGATGTCCGTATTCTCTACAAATAGCCATAGCATCTTGATAATTATTTATCACATATCTAGGACTTCCAGTATATGAAGCAGGTAATACAATTTTTTGTCCCAAATTATTTGCATCAGTATCACCTTTTGAGAATGCATCATATATTCCTTTATAAACTTCACTTCTCAAATTTTTTTTGATTTTGTCTAATATAATCTAATCTATCTTCTTCAAGTGTTGCAAAAGAATCGACCAAATATTGTTGAAAAAGTCTTCCTCCTCTTAACAATGTACTTAATGGTGGTTCTCGTTCTTGAATTTGATAAGCAATGAAAGCTCTCATTGGTATTCTTTGTCTTTTAGTTTTTTTACCTTTATAATTTTCATTCCATTTTAAATCTGGTCTATAACCATCTTCACCATATGGAAAAAGAATTGGATATTGCAGAGACATAAATTTAGGATTCAACTTTGTTACACGTTTTAATTCGTGACTTTTAGACTCTATAATAATATCTCGATTAGAATCATACAATCCTATATCTCCAACTATCAAACCACCTATTTCATCAGTTGTAGGTTGCTCATATTGTTTGCTATCATTTAATTGCCTGCCTAGCAAAGTCATTTTTAATGAAGAAAGAGCATCGTTTTCAAATTTATCTCTTGCCATTCGAAAAAGTTTAACCAATTCATTTGATGCATCAAACATTTTGATTAACCCTTCTACAATTGTTGGATCTAGGCTTTGATTGTTTCCATTGGAATTAAAAACTTTAAGTCGATTTTCCACCTCATTATATGTATCATAGACATACATTTGAGCAAATTTTGGAGACTCATTATCAACAGGCAAAAGAGATCCCATTAAATGACAAACTTGACCACTGATTTTGAAAACATAAGGGCTTGATCCATTGTTAATTGAGTTATCAACTTTGGCTCCCATTGAAGTGAATGCAAACATTGAGTTATAAGTTCTAATATTTTGTCGAAATGATAAATTTTTTTGCCCTTTAGTTGGATCAAGCAAGTAATCTAAAAATGGTGGTGCTGGTTTTGGATTTGGAAACTTAATTTTTCCTTGTTGGCAACAAAGAGTGAAAACAGGTAGATCGTTTTTACACTTCGGTTTAAGAGACTCTTTTAGCCAAAAATAAGCACCACAATGAACACACTTATAACTTTTATCTCCTAAGTCCGCATATTCTTTAACAACTCCTACAAAAAAAGATACAAAAACAAAACAAAATGAGCGTAATATTATTTAGGCAATTAGAAAATTGAAATTCATGATATATCAAATTAATAGATGCATAAATTAAGAACTAACCTTTTCTATTCTTTTGAAAAAATGCTTGACCCTTGTTCATAAGATTATTATTCTGATCATCAAGGGTTTGTTGAGTATTTTTTGTAGATTGGTCTAATACATTGACAACCTTTTTTCCCTTTTTATCTCTTAAGAGAACATTTTTTTCAACAACAGTCATGCAATGTGATTCATTGATATTGGAAGAACTTATGTTTTCAACATCTTGTTGAACAGAAGATGTGCTAGTACCATCTTGGTAGTCAATGGCTGAGTTTTCCTGAATAATTGGACTACTCTTAGATAAGAAAACATCGACATGGTTTTGTATACAACTTATTCTACACACTCTTTTAAATTGTCTGTCATAGTCAGATAAAGCATAGGATTGATTATTGACAAACTCTTTCTCGTGTTCTGTATCATTAATTGTTAAAGCATTTGCAAGTCTTTTTGACATGATGGAATCAAATTGTAATACAAATTTGAAAACAAATTAGTGCAAACCACGCTGAAAAAAAGACAAAAAAATGAAAAAAAGAAGTATCAACAAACACATAATGTGAAGATTAAACAAATATATACTATAATGATTAAAAAGAATAGATCACCCAAATTTTAAAATGCGACTGGAAAAAAAAAGTTATAAAAAAAAAAAGATTAAAAAAAGTAAAGTTTAAAACTAAATAATTTCAAATTTCAAATTGCTCACCTTTAACAATTGAAATTTTAGAAAATACGATAGCCAATCTGTTCAAAAAGGCAAACAACAAACAATTATTACAATGGACAATAGAATTTAGTTCAGCAACAAATGGCAAGACACAAAATATAAAACAAATAATAAATAGAACTTAAAAAAATTTAAAAATTAACAAAGTAATAAGATAACTACATTCTTACTTCTTATAGTTCAGTTGTGAAACTATGCACTAATGCACCATGTAACCACAGAGCAAAATTTATTTTGTAGATAAGTTTTCAATGGGAGTATCACTTCTTACTTGTCTTATCCACGCTGTGGAAACTGCAAAGATCAACAGTATTAACAATGTTTATTCTCAATGAAACACAAATTACAAAAAATAAAAAAAGCCAATTGATTTTTACTAATACATGAATTATATAAATTGATGGCTAGATTATCAAATATATCGTGAGAAAATAGGAGCCCTAAAACTTTTTTAAACAATGGGTGACACAAAATTAACAAATACACATGTTCAAAGAAATGTATATGTTAACTAAAACAAAAATTGTTATCACAATAGAAAATTGTAATATCACTCCGTGATATTGACAGTTGTTGCAAACATCTAACTTTTTTAATAACACAGTATATGACTATAAAAAAGCATTTTACATATAATTTATCTATGATATTCACAGTTTTACTAAAAACGATAACACAGTTAACTACAAAAATAAAAACTATCTATGGTTCCAAGAATCATGATTAACACAACGTGGAACCGATGGGTTTAAAATGTATAAGCTAAAATTAAAAGTAACTTCTCAGATAAAAAGGTAATATACAGAGTAAAGGAAAAAAAAAAAACAAAAAGACTATACTGCATAGATAACATTGATAAAAAAAAACAAAACATTCTATTTTTATGATAATGTACTATCTAGTTATAAAATTATAACATAAAGTAGCTCAACATTATAACTTAAGTAAAGAAATATTTGAAAAGAATGATTTGATATACAATTTAGAGCCACAGTATTAACTACAATCAGACAATTGTCAAACAAAAGGAAGAAATATAATCTTGAACACAATATTAACAAAGTGAAAAGCACTTACAAACACAATCAATTGTCTGTAAACTTGACAGCTGAAAGCTAACTTGGCAGTTAAAATTAGAATAGGAATTGAGATGCAGCAAAGATTTTTTTTTTTTTTTTCAACCAAAATTAATCTGCAGATGATTGCAAACAAAGAAATAATTACTTCTCAAATAAATATAAAACGAATTTAAAATATTTCAAGGCTACTTTTAATAACAGCATAATAAAGATAAAGATTTTATCAACATGACTCTCAATTTTATGCAGGTTGGGATAATCCAATTTAAAAGAAAGGGATTTCTTCCCTAATTGTTGTGATAAGAATCACTTAAAGACAATAAGAACTACTCCAATTCATAATAGCAGAGTGTGCTCGTACATAAGAGATGCTTATGCAACCTCTGAACTTCTCAGAAGAAATGATGTTGATGCATTAGAGATTCATACAACTGGAAGGTACAGTTTCTTAATAATTGAAAAGTAAGCATACATGTTAACTACTATTAAGCTGATTGAGGGAAGAACTTTTACCACTTCTATGGATGTTCTATGCACTTTAATCTAATTGAGCTCAAAACTTCAACATTAATTCAAGCATAGGTAGTCACACTTTGCTAAGCCTTAATTTCTTCAAACACCAATATTTCCTGCAAGAAAAAACCGATTCACATTAGACAACGGCATTGAATACAGTAAAAAATCAACGAAACAGTCAATGCAATACGAAAAAACTTCAATATTACACCAACCAACCAATCGATCTACAAATAAAATAGACAAACCACCTAAAACACCTAAAACACCGCAATCAGCCAGAAAACCCACCTCTTCAGACGGCAGACGATCAACATGAACAGAGAAGCAAGGAAACACGAAGATCGAAGATGGAAAAAAGCAGAGAAACAGAGAGCAGGCGAAAGCCAAAAGCAAAGGAAGAAAATGAGAGAGGGTTCGAGCACCTTCCCATATGTAGACTCACTCTACCAAGGGGCAAAATCGCCAATTCATGTAGCATCTTTTAAAGGGCTGAAAACTGTGCGTTAGATCAGGAGCAAAACCGGATTGGCACTGTTAATGAACAGTGCCAATCCGCTGAGCTTTAGTATATACTTGCTCGCCGATTTCAAATCACTCTAATTCTCATGCCATTTAACGGGTTTTGAATTGCTACTAACTTCTACAATTCTCAAATCACAAAATTCCAATAAGGGCATATGCTGAAACACAAAAAAAATCCATACAGTGATCATTTAAAGATTGACATACAAAAAAAATCCATAATTCAAACTTTAAAATGCAGAACAGACAAAGAAAACCCAAAAGTTAAACATGGCCATTTTTCTTCTTTTAAATTCCGGACAAAAATCAAACCACAGATAATTAGAACAACCAAACCCAAAAATTTCCCCAAAAAAAACCTGAACAACAATAAAATTAATTAGTCTAAACCTTAAACCGCAGCCATATCCTTCCTCAACAATTTTTAAATTTTAATTAAAACACAAAAAAAATGAAAAAAAGGTTAAAGATAAATTATATAACCGTAGCCATATCCATTCGTCGGCAATCTTTCAATTTTAGTTAAAACGCAAAAATAATTAAAAAAAAACATAACAGGCACATATCACATAATCGAAAAGAAGTTTCGCAACTCATCCACAATAATCAACAGCTAAATTAAACCCAAAAATTAATCATGATCATCCATTTGTATAGCTGGAAATGTTTAGCCCTTAATTAAAACACCAAAATAAAAAATTCCTCACTCACAGTACAAAACCGAAACATACAAAGCAAAACCCAAAAATTAATCATCAGTATTCCTCTTTTTTTTTCTTTTTTTTTTTAAGTTTGAGGGAAAAATCAAAGCACAAACAAAAAAAAAAAAAAACACCAAAGAGATAAATTATATACCTGACCCAGAAAAAGCTAGGAAGAATAAAACCCTAAAACTTGAAGAAAAATGTTTCCTGCAACCGAAATGCAAAATCAGAGATAACAACCAGACGTAGAGCACGAAAAAACAAAGAAAACGCTGGGCAAAAAAGCTGAATAGCCCATATTCACAACAATCAATCATAAAATTTTCTTCCTAACCAAACAGAAAATAAACCAACACATGAATCAACATACCTGAACGGGAGCAATTCGTTTGTGCAAAACAGGGGAAAAACGCCAAACACCTTCGAGAAGATCCGATCGGAACCGAAATCAAAAGACAGACGGGAAAACTAAAGAGAAACGGAACGACTGAGAGAAAAACGAAGAGGAAAAGAAAAAGTAGAAGATGCTTCTGGCATCTTTCCTATAAAACGCAACGTGGCCAAAGCTCAACCAAAAACACCAAAAAGCACCTTTCAAACGGGAGCAACTAGGGCTGGGCAAACGGGGCCTGGACCCGCGGGTAGGGGCGGGTCCGAGCGATTCGGGGCGGGTACGGGGCGGGTCCTGTTTTTAAAATCCTGAAACGGGGCGGGGCGGGGCGGGTCCATGTCATTTGCGGGGCGGGACGGGTCTTAATTGCTGAGGAAACGGGTCCCCGACCCGAACCGTTTCCACCTCCCACAGTCGACACCCCACTCCCCAAATCTCCTCTCCTCTCTCGTCTCAGACCTCGCTCGAGCTCCCCATCTTCCCCCTCCCCCTCGTCCTCTTCCCCGGCGCCATCCTCCCCCTCCAGATCTTCGAGTTCCGCTCCAGATCTTCGGGGTTATCTACAATGATGCCGTCTCCGGCACCGTCGACGTTGGCTGCGTCGGCGAGGTCGTCAAGCACGAGCGCCTCGTCGATGACCGGTTCTTCCTCATCTGCAAAGGCCAGGAGCGGTTCCGGGTCACTGACCTCGTCCGTACCAAACCTTACCTGGTGGCGGAGGTCCAATGGCTCGAAGACCTGCCGTCGAACGACGGCGAGGAGGACCTGGAGGCGTTGGCCAGCGAGGTCGAGTTGTATATGAAGGATGTGATTCGGTTGTCAAATCGGTTGGGCGGGAAGCCGGAGAAGGATGTGCAGGACCTGCGACGAAACCTGTTTCCGACGCCGTTTTCGTTTTTCGTTGGGAGCACTTTTGAAGGGGCACCGAGAGAGCAGCAGGCGCTGCTGGAACTGGAGGACACGGCGGCGCGGTTGAAGAGAGAGAAGGACCCGTGGACCCGTACAATTTTTTTTTTTTTTCAAACAACCAAAAAAAAAAAATAAAAAAAAAAATAAAGGACCCGTGGACCCGGCTCGAACCGGCCCGTTTCAACTGGGCCGGGTAATGTCCGGTTCTTATATTAGAAAATGTAATCCCTGACCCGGCCCGCCCCGTTCTCTTTGAACCTAGGTCCGGTCCGGTCCCTTCAAAATTGGGCCCGGCCCGGCCCGTGCCCAGCCCTAGGAGCAACAGCTGCAAACAAAAATGAAAGAGGGGCAAAATAGACCATTTACTGCACAATCCCACCAAAGTACAAAAACCATGAATAAAATGAGGGTTAAAACCGGATGGGCACTGTTAATGAACAGTGCCAATCCACCAGCTTTTAGTATATATAGAATATATTATATAATAAGGATTTATTTGGAAGTGTTCTTAAAATGATTGAAAGTCTGGAAGCATTTTTGGGTTCTAAAAGAACTTGAAGTGGTACTTCTTGCAGGAAGTATTGCTTTTCCAGGATTCACTTGTATATTTACTAAAGATTAATTCTAAACACAATTTCTTTCAAAAATGCTTATAATCATTTTAAAAATATTTCCAAACAGATCCTAATTTATTAATTATGTACAATATGCTTATAATTTGCCCCTTGTGGCCCACTAAAACATCCTAAGCCCCACTTATTAGTCTTCTCTTTTTATTTACAACATTTATAATATTTAGGAAAATGTCAAGTTCAGACAACTACCCAATTTTTAGGAGTTATTCTAAAATGGTCTTAATTATTTAAAATATTTCAAATAAATATCTAAAGTTTTGAAAAGTGGATATTTGTTTGGTACACTAGCATTAAGTGATGATGTCGACAATTATTAAAGCAGGTTTTTACTCTCAAGCCATGTATGAAACTTTAAATTTCCAAATCGACGCAGTTTAGCAACACAAACTTACAACATATCTTAGCTTAAAGGAGTTGATTTGGGAATTAGAGCCCCAAAGGTGGCAATGACCAACTTTAGTATTTGTCCACCTCATCGTTAATATTAGAAATATCATCACTTAATGTTCGTAAAGTCATCACTTAACGCCGATGATCTAACGGATGTCTAATTTTAAAATTATTTGGTATGTTTTAAAATATTGAGACTAATTTGGAACCTACCTAAAAAGTTGGGTGGTTATCCATATTTAACCCTTTAGGTTCACTAGATAATTACCAAACCTAAAACGTATCAATTAGCAATTAAACTTTTAAACCCTCTCTTATTCAAAGTTTTCTCGTCTCCAACTCAGTGTAGAAAAAACAATACACCATTCATCAGTTCATCTTTTGGATTTCTTTTATGAATCAAAAAAATCAATTAGGTAATTCCTAATCCTAAATTTACAATTTTCTTTGGGATTAGGTTGTTTATTGGTAAGAATTATTATTTTTCTCTAATTAAAAATATTCTAATTTATAGAGTTATTGAGAGATATTCTAATTAAACTTTTAAAACTAGTTAAGACAAAAAAAGACAAGGTATCCCCATTGGTCTACTTGCTTGTGACATTGGCGCTAATCTTACTAGTTGCTACTACTAGTGTATAAAGAGCTTTTTATGTTATGAATATACTAACAAGTGATTTGTGAAACCGAATGAGAGATATGTGGTTGATAACAATATGGTTATATTTATCGAGAAAGATAGATAGATAATATTATAATGATGTGATTATGAGAAAATTTCAGACTATTAAAACTCCTCGAGGACAATTGTAATTTTATTAGAAAGTTTTATGAAACATATATACTAAGGATTTTTATTTGGGTTCTTTAGAGAAAGACCCTTGAAACTTCTATTTTCCAAACAAAAACCCACATAATATTAAACATTCAAATAAAACTCAAAATTCAAATAGAATACCATGTAGACAAATATATAACCAATTATTACAACATATTTACAACTTATGCCACAAAACCCTAATTATGTCAATAGATATTATTACTCACCCTAATTATGATTAGCAATTAACCCCATATGGAAATTTTACCTTTCTTGTATCATAAATATTAGTAACATATATATATATATATATATATATATATAATATTAATTTATCCATATTCATAAACAATTATGGCACATTTTTTCGTATGAAAAAAGAAAATCTTTTGTACAATTAGTTATTTTGCATCAAATAATATTGTTTGATAAAATAACAAACCAATTAATATTTTATGTTGTAGGTAACTTATTTTACATAGATTATTACATACATTAGACATTTTTTATTTGTTATTATATATGTGTGTTAAAAATAATTTATCTATATTTATATGTAAAATATAAGTAAATTAATTTTGAATCAAATAGAATTTATTTTGTAGGTAAATTAAAATAGTAGTTACATTGTTTTGGTCAAGTTAACAGTGCCTAAATTATTTCGTAAAAACTAAACCAAGACAAATTATCACCATTAAAATAAAACAGTAGATACATTTTTTTATAAGAATAAACAATAGGTAAATTATGTTAGTAAATTTTTTTTTTTTTTTTTAAAAAAGGGAAAATTGAAGGTAGTAGATATATTATTTTTAACCAAATTTCCTTTATTTTTAGGTGAATTATTTGCATGCATTATTACATATATATTGGGCACATTTTACTACTAGATAAAATATAGATAAAATTATTTTGAATCAAATAACATTTCTTTTATTTTATAAGTAAATTATTTTGCATGTATTATTACTGAGCAAATTTTATAGTGCCCTTTCATATTTTCATTTGGTAAGAAAATAACAAGATTAAATTAAAATTGTCTAATTTTATGCAAATTTGAAAAACAATTACGAAATCTTAAGGAAAGTATAACATTAGTGCTCTTTTTTTTTTTTTTTTTTTGCCAGAAGCAATAATATACAATTTGTTATGATATATTAATATGCAATGATTTTAAACATTAATGCATTTTTTTTCATTAATCCCTCCCTTCAAATTTGCATAGAATAAAATGTATACATTAAAACCGTAAGTAGGGGTATTTTAGGCATCTAAAATGCAAAATGTGTAAAGGCAAACATAATTAATGAATTTGCTTATGTGGAGCCTAGTCATTGGGTTTTATTCAGGTAAAAAGACTATGTCGGGTTTTTTGTAAAGAAGCTTGAGTTTCAGGGGCTAAAGTTATATTTTCAGTTTTTATTTTTATATGAGTTTTTCTTATTATCTTTTTAATCTTATAGTTATTTAAGGTTGATACAACTTCAAATATTTTTGCCTGCGCTACTGATATGGAAGAATTGAGAGATGAAGAATTGTATGGTAGAAAGGGGAAGAAATAGAGAAGAATGAGTGAAAACAAAATCTTGGAAGTGAAAACAACAAAATAACTTTTTATTTTTTGTTTTAGTTTTCGTTATATAGATTTCCTTTGACATTTCTTCATCTCTCCCTTCTTCATTCCTCATTTTTCTTGTGCATTTTCCTTTACCACTAACATAAAAATGAAACAATAAATAGAAATGGAAGTTTTAAAACAAAACCCTAAGGTGCTCATAAGCTAATTTTTTTGATACTTCAAGAAAACTATGAAACAATTGAGCCTAGATGATTGCCTATAATTTTTACGAGATTAAACACAATATGGTAGTTCAATTTATTCCTCTTCACTTTCATATTTCTTTGGTTTATTGAGATTTTGATACTATATATATGAATCACACATCAGAAACGTAAAGCTTTGCATACGAGTTAAATAGTTTTAGCCCTCTTCCCTCATAGCTAACAAACTAATTAATGGAACAATTTGTTATATGATTCTTTGTTATTAATTATGTTCTAATTAAGCTGTATAATATATTAGAATGTTTGCATGTGGGTTGTAGTTCTCACACGACTTGCATATGGTTACGATGTCGTTTTCAATGTCACCAGCCAAAGCTTCCCAGATTCAAATCCAGTGAGACAATAGAGATGAAAATTGCAGGGACTATTAAATATGCGTGTATTTATGTCATAGCCATCAAGGTGGCTAGTTATACAGTTTGAATCAGAGGGATGCTATTAGCACTTTAAAAATTTATTCTATACTCCTTATAAGTATATTTTTCTTTCTAATTATAGAAAGTTTAGAGTAAAAAATAAGAATTTTGAGTGCCAATAACAATTCCATGTGAGAATTTATTCAAACAATAATAAATCAAGTTGCTGACTACGGTTTAGGGCCAGGCGATTTTATATAGTTTTTTATTTTTTGGTCGAAAAGGCCATTTTATATGGTTGATGCAGTCAATATGTATATGCATGCAAAATTGTAAATCGCATAAGGTCCAATATCCTTTCCATGCCTTTCAGTTTCGAAACTCCTCATCTCTTAAATTATTGTAATAGTTTCGAATCCTCTCCTCTCCTCTTAATAAATAATTAAATTAAAAAAAATGTATACACATGCAAATTTAATGCAAATGCATGGTCCTTGACTCCTTACGCCTTTACTTCTTTTCGTGGACCGCATGCATAATAATTCATGCAGATGTATGTTATACACATATATGACATTGGAGCAATTTCTTAACAGGACTCCGTTTTACAGAAGCCAAATTAAACGTGGTAGAAGCCATGCATTCACCATATACCCATGAACTTATATATGTTTCACTTTGTACTCAATTTTGTTGCTCTACAACGAGGATCCTATACGGTAAAGACATGGTATCTACGGAGGCCCTATCATCCCCTTTTTTTCTATAATAAAATATAATCCCTGTATTGGTGCCATAACTCCCGTTGCGAGTGTTTGAGAACTCTGTGTCAGCTTAAGCTTATTAAGGGTGCCTTTGGGAGGCCTTCAGGCTATCTCAAATGAGATTTGTTATTTCAGATGCACAATGTTGGCCAAAACTAACAGATTGATTGATTGTTTGTTATTAGTTAGGTCGTTTGCTTGCGCCACAAGTAAATTGAACTTCGTTATCACGGGACTGTGCAATAGAGATATTAAATCTATGTTAAGTTCTTTTCTATGCCTTGTCCCCATGGACTTTATTCTTTGTGTTGGTGCCAAATAAAAGACAACCACAAATTGATCCAAAATGGCTCCAAGTCAGTTTGCAATTCTCATGTAAACGTAAAGACAGAAAGTAAGACCGTTTAGCTGGAAAAAGGAAAAGACTGAAAGTAAAGTTAATGAAAGACTTGAGTGCTTGTTAAATGTTTACAACATATAAATAACTTGAACAAAAAGATAAGTATTTGAAGGTACAAGATAATAAGGTAGAGGGGAATGTGAAACACAAGCATTTGGGAAAGCTTGAACCTGTTCGGGCAAGTCCACGAGCTGTTCGGGCTAGTTCATAACACTGAAATGAGTGTTTTTATTGAATTTGAATACAGAAAATCGATACTCCATGAAATATAGCAAAGCTATAAAAGTATAGAGGGTGCTGAATGTATTGAAAAATACTTGTAACAAAATAAAAAATCTGACTGCGAAGAGCAAAGTTTTTTTATTTTTGATTTGAGTGTCCATGTCTTCAACCTCTTTTCTGCTTTTAATAGAGAGAGCTTGTCATTGATTTGAAGTTCGTTTCGGATCAAATCCCCTTGAGTCAAGTTGATGACATGATTGGAATCAGAGAAGAAGACGTTTATCTTTTCAACTTGGTCTTTCGTTCTTCCAAAACCCCCCAGAATGCCACTGTAAAGTAGTTTTTCTCTTGTGAAAGTCGACTATAGTGCTCTTACCGTGACCGGTTGTTCACCGACTCTAGTGTCAGATAAAAGCACTTTTGAATTTGTTTGGGCTCGCACCCCCGGCCTTCTCGTTTATGAAAATGAATAGTCCATTCAGAAAGAAGAAATAGTTTGAGCCTAAAACAAGCCTAATGCTTATTTCCAGTTCAAACACCCTGCTAAAAGGGTCTCTCAAGCGCAAACCACACGTATATATATGGTCCCTCTCTTTGGCTCTGATCCGTCACATGTGCCATATATATAATAAAAAGAGACGTATCAGAAAGACATAATAATGTTGCCTCAGTATAAACACGTATATAGTTATAATCACGCAAACAAATCGAGCATGAGAGACTTTAATTAAACCAGCGCATAAATAAATAAATAAAATATGAATGGAGTTGTCCCACTTCTATTTAGCTAGGCCAAATTTTGAAAAAGATGTATCAGGAAGACATAATAATGCTGCCTCATTATAAACATGTATATAGCCATACTCTCGTAGAAAGAATATGGACCATTCACCATGTAATTCTAGTTTCATGTGAACGAGAGATTTTTTAGTGCGTTCAGGACATATGGAGCAATATATACATCACATGTCATTATACAAGTGGAGTAAAAAAAATTTTCAAGTGCCCCTCCAATTGTATAATAATATGTGGTATATCCTCCCATATTCCGAACACATTGAAAAATCTTTTCAAGTGAACATATTTCATGGTTTTCCTGTAATGCATTAAATTAAGGACGGTGTTATCCACACACACCTTTTTATCTCGCACATACATTGCTCAACTTTCGGTCATCGGATCAAATGAATTGAAAGTTGATCAAAGGATAGAAATTAGCAAGAGGTGTGTGAGAGGTCAAAATGAATGTGTGGATAGCACCATCCTCAATTAAAGTGACAAAAATGAAGATCAAAAGTACAATTTTATTGTAATTGAGTGGATATATATAAGTCTCTGGCTGCAATGAAATTAGATTCATCAGAGAGTAGTGTAAGAGTGTAAAGGATCACGAGGAGAGATGGGTGGCTTTCCATGGACTAAGGAAGAGGATCAATTGCTCAGGAAATGCATAGAGCAGCATGGAGAAGGCAAATGGCATCGTCTTCCTCTCTTGGCTGGTATTTGCTTGCTTAACTTCATAATTTGCCATCAACTGAAGGCTGCTTCTATATTAAAGATTTTTTAAAAAGCACTTCGATTATAAATAAATCGATTTTTTTTTAAAATTCAAGCGTTGTTTGGAAAAGCACTGACTCTTGAAGAAACGCTTATTAAGGAACAATAAAGAAATATTGTGAAGTGCTTTTAAGTTTTTATGCAAACCATACTAAAAAAAGGTTTTTGATTGTCAGAAAACACATTAGCTATTCTAGAATGCAATTTCAAATGGATCCTTAGATTCCTTAACTATTTTTCAATGGCATCTTATGAGCGATTAATTTCTTTTTTGACATGAAAATAGGACCCCTGTGGCATGTATAACACTACTGTATAAAGGGCTGAATATATTTATATTTAATATATTGAAAAAGTTGAGCTTTCATCATAAACTAAATTGACTGTATTGATAGTAGTTCAACTTCTTATAATTTCATGTATGATATTTTCTCTCATCAATGTGGAATTCCTTCTCAGTATATATTTAGTATTGTTCTCAACTTTCTTATCAAGAATAGAACTTGTTAGGATATTGATTTTCACACTCTCAGTTTCTCATTCTGCACTTTTTCTTTTGATTTATTTAACTCTAAGAAGAGATAGAACACGTGAAGAGGAAAAAAAAAATGCGAAAATCATATCCTCCTGCTATCAATTAACACTATTTTAAACACTAAATTTCCCTATAAAAAAACAATAAATTTTATAGTAAAGAAGGAGATGGGACCAAAGTGGAGATTAAAAGGGTGGGTCATATCACTTCCATATCATTTCAGACATGCTATTGAAATTCTACCCCATATATAGGTTAGGTTAGGAGACAAAGATTGTTCATTTTTGGTTACCAATCTCATGTATACATTTCAACTTTTCATGGAAAACATGCTAGTGGGTCATACACACCCTTTAGACTAGGCATCTCGTTGGGTTCTTGAAGAAATTAGTCTACCTCCATATATATGATTATTGAATATATATATACATACATACATACATACATACATGGATGGTGTTCCTAGTGATGATCTAGTTTGGGGATACTACTAATGACTCATTTATGTTTAGAAGTGTTTTTACTACGATCTTTTAATAGAAATACCATAAAATTTTAATGGCTTCATAAAAGAAGAAAAATGGAAATGCTTCATAAAGAAGCATTCTACCAAAAAATTCTTTCACAGACAAACCCTAATTAGTTGATTAGAATTAAACAAGCTATCTTAATTGCTAAAAAATAAATAAATTATGGCTACTCTCAGTGTCAAAAAGCATGTTAATCCCTCAAACATGGATATTATTGCTGTGAATTAAGGTCTAAACAGGTGCCGAAAGAGCTGTAGGCTGAGGTGGTTAAACTACCTCCGCCCAAACATCAAAAGAGGAAACTTTGAAGAAGAGGAAGTCGATCTCATCATCAAGCTCCACAGGCTCCTGGGAAACAGGTAAGTTCTAGTTAATAATCACCCACAAACCACACATATCTACTCTTGCGCATAAACCCTAACAGTCGATTTTTTTTGTCAGGTGGTCATCGGTTGCAGCTAGACTTCCGGGAAGGACCGGTAACGATGTGAAGAACTACTGGAATTGTCACTTGAGCAAAAGGCTAAACGCTCAACAAGATCATCAAAGTGAATATCATATTAATAACAAGCATGATGCAGTAAGGAACATTAATAATGGTGTAAAAGTCATAAGATCCCAAGCTTCAAACTCTGCAGGTACAAGCAGCTCAAAGAGGCCGTCATATGCACCAACTCCTCATCAACCAGTTATTGTATTTGTACAAGACGAAGGTAGCAGCACAGGGCCAATGCCAAAGCTATGCAATTTTAATGGAAATGGTCAGAATAATAATCAGATATTTGAGAATAATAATAGTACTGGTATTAATGCGAGTCACCATCCAATGGATGATGACCTTCCACCATTTGATCAACAAGTTAAAGAATATCATCAAGGTAGCGATGATGGTGATCAGGTCAACAGAAAATGGGAGTGGGACGACTCCATCTTCGCCGACATGGACCTCTGGACTGATTAATTTAGGAACTTATTATGAGAGGGATTTGCTTAACTATTAATTAGGTGTTCGTCATTATTAGTATGATATAATTTTAATTTATGCATCAACATGTACCACCGAATGTTAATGAAATTAAGAGGTGATGTGAATAATGACCCATATAGGGAAACATTTGTCCTTTCAGTTCAACTTAAATTAACCTAAGAAATATTCTATCAAGAGACAGAGATTAGTTTGATTTAAATCAATAAACATGAGAAAATGGAATTTCTTGTGGTATAAAGTACAATGTTTTAACCTCCTTTATTTTCTTTTTGCCTTGCTACGATTTTAATTTGGGAGTTTTAACGAAAAACCTGCGGTACTGTTTACTTTAACGAAAAACCACATTTTTACACTAAAAAGTTAAACCTAGTACTATTTACTTTACCATTTATTTTGTCCTTATCGTTAAAACTCAAGGTTTTCAAGCCTTTTTCATTAATTTTCCTTTTTAATTTTAGGCACAAGTTCTGGTGTAATGGCTTACGTCCCGCCCCACAAGAAGCACATAAAGGAAAAGGCGAGGCCGTTACCAACGCCAGAGCTGCTTGCTCCCCAGTTCAAGAAAAATTTAAAATATGTGAAGCCATCTAAGTATAGTTTTGATCCAAGATTTCTTTATGCATATGCAAACCATGCTACATCGAGATTTTCTAATTTCTACTATTGGTTTGAATGATCAGAACCAGTTTCCGTCTACCGCGCGTTAAGCTTGTGCCCATTTCCTTGGAATCTGCAGAGAGGAATAATGAAGAAAAAACTCTAGCTCTGATAAACACTTATCTAGATAATGGTAGCTAGTATAACATTTTGTTAATTAGTACATTGATTTATATCTTGTAAGTTTGTTACTTGGATTCTATAAGGAAATTGCCAAAGACTCCTTGGGTATCTATAGCAGAATGTGCTTGAGGACCTTGTTTCTTCATTTAAAAATGCAAGGAATGAAGTCGAGAGTAGTGTGGAAATAAGCTCGAAGAATTTTGTCCGAATTTGGTTGCTAGTGGGAAAATTTCTATTTCATATGTTTGGTTTCCTTCTTAATTAGTGAGCTCATTGATTTGCCATGCATATATTGAAGTGTTGAACAATGTAAAAGTCCCACATGGGAAACTTGACACAATTAAGCTTATAATGGATGGTTCTACAATTAATTGTATCGAAGTCTTTTGTATAAAATCTACGACATATTAGATTGCACAGTTGAAACTTTGACAGAAAGCATGTGCTATATTTTTAGGTTTGATTTCTTTCTTTGTAACTCTCAGGACTCCTTGAATGAACCTGGAATCCATAAGTGAAAGTTTGGATTCTGGAATCTTTAGACAATGGAAGACATCATTTTTCACAAACGTTCTGGTGTCATATAAGGAATACACTGTAAAGGAAGTTGTCCCGAAGGTTGGACTGGAGTTCAAATTAAGGGGAGGAAGAATTATACCATGAAATGTTGAAGTCGGCTCGATTTCTGATATGCTGCAGGAAAATGTGAAGTTGATATGGGACAACTTCTTGTGCTGTAAACCTTATTCTAACATGAAATGAAACTACTGCATGCCAGCTGCAAGCCTTTCACTATTGAAATAACTAACCGTTTTCTGCTTCGTTGTGAACCTATGTGGTATTAGTTAAGTGCTTATTGTGAGAGTGATTTGCTTTGCTTAATTTTATGATATCAGGATATCAACCCTAACTTCTAATAAGCTAATGCAAGGTCTTTTAACTTTTTGATGACGAACAACACTCAATATCACATGTTAAAAATCCAAATTTTTATACGTTATTTTTGTCCTCTAGTGTGATTCTTAAACTATGAGAGGGCTCGTACTTGTATAGTTTATATATGGTTAGTTAAGGACAATTTCCATTTCCAAGTTTAATTCTCCTCCCTCAATTGCAGTTTCCCTTACACTATAATCCATTTGCTAAGAGTTTGTACCTCGAATGGTTAAAAATATAATGTTCACTCTTTCGCTCGAAGTTACGTAAACAATTCTCCCTTTCTTGCACAAAGCTAATTTTTTTTCGTTATCAAAACCCTCCAGCGAGGTTAATTAGCAAAAAGGATTCCAAAGAAAAAACCCTGCCGCAAGGTTTGTCACAAAAAAAAAAAAAAAAAAAAAAAAAAAAATATATATATATATATATATATATATATATATATATATATGTATGTATCTATAAGTACAACCCTCCAGCAAGGTGTCTCTAAAAAGAAAAAATGGAAAAAGCCCTCCAGCAAGTTGCCATTTTATAAAGGGAAAAAACTTCAAAAGGCAATGCAGAGAGTAAATATATATAGTGAAAGAACTGCCGATTGATCACCCCAATTCTTCATCTTCATCCCCATTTCTGCTCCATCTAGATTTCAACTTTCTATCTACCTCTGTGTATTGATTAATGGGTAAGCTCCCCTTTCTTCATTTTCCTCTCTCTCTCTCTCTCTCTCTACTTATAAATTGTTTGAATTATGTCTGCTCTCTGTTCTGTGTTCGTATCAATTCCAATATATGTTTTGCTCCAATAAAGTGATAAATAATGATTACCCAGTTGATCAATTTCTTAGGAAATAACAGATTCTCACTTTATTAGCTCAACCCTTCTTTTAATTTTTGTAATTTTTTCCGAATACAAATGAAAGATTTCAATTTTCTCAGAAACCAATTGGAAGTAAATGGAATTAAATTAACCAAGAAACTTAGAGATAAGTCTGATATTCTTCAATAAACATGAGAAAGAACACTTCTTGCTGCATAAATGTGAGTACTCTGTTTTAAGTCTTTTTTTTTAGGAAAACTAATGAAAATTGTTTGAAAACGTTAAGTTTTAACGATAATGACGAAATAAATGGTAAATTGAACAGTACTATGATTGACTTTTTAGCGTAAAAATGTAGTTTTTCGTTAAAGTGAACAGTACCGAGAGTATTTCATTAAAGTTCCCCCTTTTTTTTTTTTTTTTTTTTTTTTTTTTCCGGTTGGCCTAATTTTGATCTTTGATTTTTTAGGCATTAGTGCTAGTTCTACAATGGCTTACATTCCACCACACAAGCGGTACTCGAAGGAACCGGAGAGGCCATTGCTGACTCCAGAGCTGCTTGCTCCTCAATTCAAGAAAAACTTAAACGTCAAGCCATATAATAAGTCTGATGTGGAATGGACTGTAAAAATAGTTTATGCAGATCATTCTACATCGAGATGGCTCACCATTGGTTTGGATGACGATAACCAATTTCTGCCTTCTGTTAATCTTATGCCCATTTACTTGGAGTCCACTGAGCCGAAAATTGGAGAAAACCGTCTAGCTTTATTCAATACTAGTCTAGATAACGGTTGGTACTCTAATATTTCTTTTTAGTGCATTTATCTTGTATGTTGTTACTTGGGTTGTGGATATGTTTGGTTTTTTTTTTTTTCATGCTTGATATGTGACAGAAGGTGGTGAGGTCAAATGGAATTTGCCAAGGAGCCCTGGGGTATCTATAACAGAAAATGTGCTGGAAGACTTGGTTTCTTCTTTTAAACACGTGAAGAATGAAATGAAGTGCGCAAAGCTCAAAGAAGTAAATCCTACTTTGATTGCTAGAGTGGGGAAAGTACTTTTTCGTAGGTTAGATTTCTCCTTATATGATTCATTGGTTGGCTATTGAGCCTATTGTGCCATTCATTTAGTTGATTGTTTAACCCGATTATGCTTTTTACCTTTATGTTGTTCTTTTATCCGCCTCAGAATACTGGTTGAAGTAGAACAAATAATAGTCTATACTATGATAAAATGTTACATTTGGCATTTTAGTTAAGAAGGTAGGATGCCAAGTTGGACAGTGAAGCAGGATTCTAAAACTCTGCCCTTGGTTTTCGATACCTGATACAATATTATTTGGTATTGATGCTTATTTTGGTATTATTTCGATACTTGTACACTGACAGATGTATAACAATTTTTGTTGAAATCTTTGAATCAGGAGCCCTTCAATTGACATGGAATCCATCAGAAAAAATTTGTGTCCTGAAATCTTGAAACAATTGAGGAAATCATTTTATACAAACATTCCTGTTTCATATAAGGAAAATATTGTGAACGAAGTCGTCCCAAAAATTGGAGTTGATTTCGAAGAGGAGAAAGATACATTCCAAGTAAAGGTATTTCTTTTAGACACATCACCTTACTGAGTTCTGAGTTTATGCTTTCCACAATTCTGACTTTGGCTATTGAATCACTCATCTATGTCCTCCTCGTATAGTTGTCTGATTCCACCAGACCAGATGCAACTCTCTCCTGCAAATGCCGTGTAATGAAAGAACATGGAAAGCTACAACTCTACAAGGCAAGTTTTTTTATTCCTGCCAACTAAATTGGATGAAATGGTATATAGTGATTCAGTTTCATGATTGAGTTGTCATGATACTGATTAAGTATAATCTACTGTGCTTCTAAATATTAGGGTTTTATAACAAAAGTAAACGTTAAACGGGTGAATGTGATTAAGCTTTCCAATTTTTGGAATAATGTGTGAACACCATTTCCGCATCATTAATGGTTCCTTAACTCTTCCCTCTTCCCTGTTGCTTGGCATAGCGTATGTTTACTAAGACTTACATTGCAATGCCAAATTTCTTTATTTTAGATTGAACTGAATCAACTGCGTAACATGGTGATGGACATTTCATGCACTACTAAGAGTCTGGACCTGAGAGTAATGCTATGCACGAAGAGACTTGTAACAGATCTGACTGTAAGCTGCTTCACCCAGTACCTTTTGGAAATTTACATTTCTATTCCTTCTTGTTTCAGCAAAGCAATTTAGTTATAACCTATTTATCATGGAACCACAATCAAAACAAAGAATATAAAATTTTCTGTAAATGTAACCGGACGATGAGGTTTAACCATGGATCAACTGCTGAACTTATGCAGCTTGGAATGTGGTTATGTAATCAGATTCATATGAATTGTTGGTATTTCAGGATGATGAGATGCAAAGCATTAGGGATCTGATTAATTCGGCAATTCTCGATCCATATGTGAAGGGTGGGTTGAGGTGGCCTCTGGGAAAGGAGTCTTCTGGAGATAAATATAAAGTTGTTGGGGTTTGGCACGTAATAGCTAATATGTATAAAAATTCATCACTGAGACTGAAAGTAAGACATGCTGATCGATTCGATTTTAGAACCTTAACTGGGGAAGCTACTTGGGAGACAAGTCTGATGCTGAAAAAGGTCATTTCAATGTTGCAGGTAAGAGTTTCCCTTTCTCTGGGACAATTTTTTTTATTTCATGTACTGAAAGAAAAGATTTATTTGAGAAGGTTTATCGTGTACCGAAATCTCCCTTTCTTTCAATTTTCAGGAAGAGAATGTTGAAGTCAGCTCAATTTCTGAGGTACTCAAGGAAGATGTGCAGCTGATATGGGATAACTTCTTGAGCTGTGAACGTTTTCTAACAAGAAATTGCATGATGTAAATCAATGATCACTTTCTATGCGACGTGTACATATCTGTCTACATCCTGAGTTTTATGTTCAACTTTCGGCATTGTTTGATGAATAATTAGTAACTGTTCTAATGATTTCTTGCAATCCTGCTAGCTATGTGTATCTGGGATAGTTGATGGTTAATGAAATTTTTGCGATTTTACATTTTGATGACTTCATTGCCAGTTAATGCTTCGGCTCAGGTGCTTTCTTACAACACAAGACATTTATATAAAAGAACTAATCTACTTTTTGCTATATGATTGTTCAGGATTGCACACTGTTGAAAATATATACAAATAGACAGGGAATTCGTTTAGGTTAAACTATCAGAATTGACAAATTTCGGACCACTGTCTCGCCTTGCTAGAATGGAACTTGTAGGGAGAGATTTGTGCGGGGAAATTCCACTAAGGAATTTCGGCTAGGGAAACTAAGGAATGGCTGCTCTATTTCTCTACTCCTAACCCTCCCCATATGGCCTCTATTTATAGTGGCTGTAGAAGAATATGCTTGCTCACCAAGCCAATCCCACCATCCTTGGCATATTCCAAGGGAGAATATCTCTTGGTTGTCAATGATATTTCCTTAGAAATATTATTCCAATCCACCTACTAATTTGGGTGGATATTTATTTAATTAATATTAAATAACTCTAAAACATACAAGACACAACCAATTCTTCACTTACACCTACACAGCAAGGCTTCTATCCCTAAGGTTATTACCATTTACTGTTTTACATATGAGAGATACACTATGGATAAACAGAAAATTAAGGCTAGAATTATATGAAATCTTCAATCTTTCTTGAGCTGAAACAGTGGGAACTATACGTGTTCATCGTTTGATTCATAGACATCCGTAGTCTGCTTAAGTTCATCTGATCTTGGATTTTTGCTCACACTGCCCGTCAAATTTGGACGGTTGGTGGAGCTCAACTTCTTCATCTCCATAGTACTCTTTTTCGCTTCGACATCTTTCCCTGAATTCTTGTATGTCATGTATAGGATCATTTGGGCGACGCCAAATAGAAACCCTAACACGTTTGGTAACTGCGCTCATCCGATAAATGTTCGTGTCAGATTTCAAAAATTAGGGCTACCTCAAAATTCCAAGAAATGAAATTGGAAATTGGTACTTACTGCAATGTAGTAATCCTTTGTGAATAATCCGTAGAAGAACCACATGGTGGCACAAAGTGTCAGGAAAAGGGACAAAGAAAATGGCATGAATTCCACACTTTTGGTTCTTATTACCTGCCTCTGCCGGAATGTAAATACATGTCAAATGATAGTGATTGCCATAATTCTAAATTAAAGGAAAAATAGAGATTTATCATTTAACTAGTTAATTAAGTACCATAATGCTTAGAGGAGCAGCAAATACAGCAATGTTAAACACGGCACAAATCCATCCAACAGCGCAAATGCGCGCTGTCCCTCCAAGAAGGAAGACGGTGACTGCCAGCACCAACCCGAAAGCGGCTACATTTACTAGCAGGATCAAACTCAGTGTAGTAATCTGCCAGCCATGATCAAAGTATAAGCATATATCCAATTTAAATAGCATACATATCTGCATATGTGTTTTCTTTAGTACTCCCTAACAAACAATAAGACAAAAAGAGCCATGCAAAATGTATGCCTCTGACCTTGTCCTTCTTGGATGCGTATACAATGTAGAGGATGAGGTAAGTAACTTCGATAACGATTCCAATGCCGTTGATGCTGACGATCAAATAAGCATTTGTCTTGAGGACTCCATAATACAACAATAGAGTTGCACTGAGTAGGGCAACCACGTAAGGTATGGATTGGAACCCTTTCGATGATTTCTTCTTGTATATTGTGTAAAACGTTGGTCTGCAGAGAGAGAGAGAGAGAGAGAGAGAGAGTTACGCTAATGCAACTTATTCATAAAGATTTGAATTAGGGTTTAAGTACGTGGTTGTTTGTTTAGAGTAAAAGGGTCTTACATTGGCGCCAAAAACACCATGAATGATACAATGTTACCTGTGAAACCATGACAATAATCCAAAGCTTGTGTCAGAATTAGATAATAGGAATAATATCATAAAACAACTTGAAAATTTTAGATTTTTAAAGAACTTTTTAGAAGAATGAAGTTTGAGTGAGCATTTTAATTAATTACCTACTTAATTGTATATAACCATATCTGAATAGAAGAGAGAAAGAAAATTGATATACACAATTATATATTTACATACCTAAGAGACCGAATATGAAAGCCAGTTGTTCGGTATTCAAGAACTGCATTCTGCTGCTGATGATTGATGAATATTTATGTTTTAAATTTGTAGTTTTTTCCCTTCTTTTTCTTGTGAAGCTTTTTTCAGCACCTTTGTTTGCAGTAGTTAATTCGACACCGCAAAAAAGCTTAAGGATTCCATTTTTCAGGTACCCTTTTATAGCAAGGTATAAGTTAAAAAGTTAGGCAACTCATCAACTACGTGACAAACTGAGACTGAAATGAAACTTCCATCTTCGTTCACAGCTTATCTATGATGATAAGTAACTAATTATATGTGATTGAAGTACCTAACTGGGAGTCCTAAACCATGTAATAGGTGGCTTGGTTATTTTGCATGGCATCCATGAGTTGCCCAGATATTGATGTTGCATATGGGAAATGAAAATACCCACTGATCATACCGTTTTCAATTAACTAACTACTAGCCTAACACACAATTAGAAGTAACATAACTTAATATAAAATTATAATTTACTTTGTCAAGTATCCGATATGTGACTCCGTACATTCTTCAAAAATGAAAGCTTAGAAAGATTAAATAGTAAATACCATCTTAATTACGGCGTTGCTCCATTTTTTTTTTTTTACTTTTGATCCTTATGTTTTTAGTTTGGATAAACTTTATCATTATGCTATCCATTAACAATCTTGGTCCCTTTTGCTTAGCTACGCCTCTGCGTGCTATGCACGTGTAAAACAACACTTAAGTTAGACAAAAAGAAGAAAAAAAAAAAACCAAAATAGTTAAGGAATTAAAACACAATGATTGAATTGGATAAATTAAAATTTTCAAGTAAAACGTATAGATTTAAAAGATATTTAATTCAAATTAAGAATAACATTTTGTCCACTATGCACATAAATGGCTCGTATGTAAAGTATTTTTAAATGACTGAAAGTGCTATTATATAAAATAATTTTGAAAACAACCCTTAGTAAAAATATAATTTAATCTTAGAAAAGCACTTGAAGTGCTTACTGTAATTAAGAAGCACATAATTACTGTTTTTTGCATAATGCACTCAAATACTTTTAGAATCCAAAAATATTTTCTTTAAAAGTACTTTTAATCATTTAAAAACACTTAATAAACGAGCTAAAAGTATTCAACAACACCATTCTCTCTAAAATTATATTTAAATATCTTTAAATTTTAATGATTAGGGAAGTGTGATCTGCAAATTTTAGAGGACACTCTTCTGCATCTTTTATTAAAAGGGATGTGATTTTCATACATCTATTTTTAGTTCTTACAAACTTTTCTAATTTTCAATCGTCGAATTAAATAAACTGAAGAAGATCAAGCAATAGCAATTAAAAAAAGTATGAAAAAAGTGAACAAGAGCGTGCTAAATTAGGAACTTTAGGTTTACACAAAGATGGGAACCTCCCAATTTCGACGCAAATATTGGATCCTAGCTAGCTAGGAAATACCTATGTATGATGTGACAGTTGAGAGACTACCAAATTTTACCAATCAACCACTACGGGTCGAGGCTTCTTAATTGTTTGGTCTGCCCTACAATTATTTTTTATATGCCAGGAAGTTGTGGTAATATTGAAAAGAGGTGCGATATTCACACATTATTTTTTATTTCTCACATATTTTTTTAATTTTCGGTCATCGGATAGGATGAATTGAATAAAATCAAAGAATATAAATTAATAAGAGGTGTGTGAGAAGTAAAAAGGGATGTGTGGATAGCACACCCCTAATATAGTTCAAATTATTTATGAGTTTATGTAAAGTTCACTTCTTTAGTAATGTGTTATTTATTCTCAATACGTTTTTTTACGTCTGGTGAATTTTCAAATTTAATATGAGGACAACACAAACAGAGTGACGTAGAACATGTGTGGCCGTTAGGCTTCACATCTGGAACAACCTGCTCTGATACCAAGAAGAAAGTTAAGATTCTACTATAAAAGTAATTGCCAATATGGGAGTAGCCTAATTTATGTATAAACTCATGTAAGGTCTCTCCTCCCATCAATCTGAATTCATTCTCCACACACCCCCTCATGTATAGTGTGTTGAGTGTATGAATCCCACCTCGGGTAAATTAAGGATATTGTATGTGCTTATAAATAATTGAGCTACTTCTCAGATTGCCAATTGGTTTTATGGTGAAATCTCAACTTTTCATAATATCAGAGTAAGTTGTCTCACATGTAAGCCCTAATGACCACACGTACTCTATGTCACCCGATTTGTATTATCCACGTGCTAGGCTTGAAAATTCGCCACAGTTAGAGGGCATTTTGAGAATAAATTCTACATTAATAAAAAAATGAACCTTACATGTGTTTATAAATAATTGAATTACTTCGTATAAAGCTAATTATTTTATGGTGAAATTTTAACTTTCATCACTGATGGAACAGTTCGAGGCTTCTAACCAAGAGATACCATCAAACGACATCTCAAATTAGGCCAAAAGTCAAATTTGTACTTGTACTTTAGGTTTTGTGGTTTCAATTTTGAAGCCATAATATACTTAAATATAAAATTGGTACAAAAGATAAATGTACCGCAATCAAGTTCTACAAAGATAAATTTACAGAAATGAAAAGTACTAAAGAAGAAACAATTACCATTGGGAATTAGTATTTTAAAATTTTTACTATGCACTTCAAACTTTCTGTAAGAACTGCAAAATAAAATTTTTTAAATGTCAATAAAAATTTCCATTAATTAGGCCGTCCATGATGTTTTTCTTAGAAGCTACATTGCATACACCTAGATGATCACTCAATATCCATTTCCATTTAAACACAGAGACGGCTTTTACAACACTTTCTATAACTGGGTTGTTTGCTTGCCCTCAACCTTTCTGTCATTTGGTAACATAGCGTGGAATTTTAAGCACCACACACACTCATGCATCTACGTATTAACTAGGTTTCAAATAAGGGGTTAATATTTGTGGGGGATAAAATTCGGTTTTGACAAGGACCCATCGCAAGTTATCCAAATGCATGGATCATGGAAGGTCACTATAAGGTTCTTTGGCATAAGTCCAAGAGCGGTAGGCTAAACCAAAAGACAAGTGATTAGTGGCCCACCAATATCATCAGTCTCACTCTCACACTCCGTGCAAGACGTGGAGGGACAAACAGTTAACCCACGTGCACCATCATGTTGGTGACTCCTCGCTCGCGCACGAGAGGAAGGAGGGGCAGAGCGAGATGAGCAATGAACTCCCCTATTGGAGAGGGAGAAAGAATCGAGGGAGTGGTACTTCCTCCTCAAGCACTGAGTTCTGTAAAAGGAGAGATTTTTTTTAATGTGACTGGAATACGTAGCGTTTATCATGTGTTACTGTATTAACGGTGAAATATATGTGTTAAAAAGTTAATAACTTAAAAAATACAATTTCCTACCACTTATATAAAAATATGTGATTTATCACCCATGTTCCTGTTACAATAAAAAATTTCTCCTGTAAAAGGCCTAGAGTACCAACAAGATGGTAGGAGGAGAGAAGTATGAGACCGGCGATCGCTTTATAATGAACTGTAGTCATCTTGAATAAAGATATTGATTTGAGTGTTGGAGAACCTTTTGCAGGTACATCCCCCAAACAAAAAAAAGAACATTTAATAAGCTTAGGAGTGGATGTTTGGAGACGCATCTAGACGAGAGATTCAACCACTGTGCGGATCACAATCAACAAACCTGTGAAGGTGTTTCTTCTTATGAGAAATTTCGCTCCAACAAAGATAAATGTACCATAATCAAATCCCACGAAGATAAACTTATAGAAACGAAACCACAGTACTTAAAAAAATTACCATAATAAATTAATGGCCGTCCACGATGCTTTTTCTTAGAAGCAACATTGAATAGACGTAGATGTTTAATCTGTCCATTTTCTATTTAAACACAGAGACGGTTTTTACAACACTTTCTATAACTGGGTTATTTGCTCTAAATCTTTCTGTCATTTGGTAACATAGCGTGGAATTCTAGGCACCACACACACTCATGCATCTACGTACTAACTAGCTTTCATCCTAAATGAGGATTAATATTCATGCTAGACTCACTGGGGCAAACATGCTAGACTCTCATTGGGGCAAACTTGCCAGCTATTTGTAGTGCACTACATTGCTCGACTCTCAATCTCGACCACACATTCAAACAAGAAATCGCATCGATGAAATTGTTCTATTCCCAATCCAATAACATATTACCATGGACGCGTTTTTCCGGAATACAAGATTAGAGATGATGCAAGTACTTTTTTGGTCATAATTAAAAATCCCGCTGAAAGTTGCCTAATTGCTTAACAATAGCTCATATGTTGTCAAAGTTTAAGGAGTTCTCTTTGATCAGCTTGGAAATCTTTCTTCTTTCTATTTGTGAAAAGGCATATTCTATATATCTTTCTTGCTTATGACAAGCAATGATCAACGGATAAAAATATGTACATCACAGTGATTTGTAGGATAGCGACAACAACTAGTCTACTATGCAAGTGGTAGTGGTAAACCCTTAGATTATATTACATCTTTATTTCCTAATAATCAAGATAAATATGCCCAAATGAAACCGTATACAAACTTTTAATTAAAAAGGAACTCAACACGATAAACAAAAAAATACCATATATGAACCATAATTTAATGTCCCTCCATTTTTATTTGTGCATATTTTCCGATAATTAAACACCAATTTTTTCTAGGCCGAACAAATGCAGAAAAGACCCAAAATTAACACCAAGCCAGAACCTTTGTTGATCATGACTGCAAGTCAGACTAAAAACACATCGGAAGATGTAGACAGTGGTGTTGCTGATGAACTTATCCCTTTATTAATCCTTGCCTTCTGCAATCAAAGAAAAGAAGAAGAGTTATCAATACAGCACATCCACAAATGAGCTATAAATTTTGAGGGTCCTAACCATGTCTGCAAGAGTGTTCTTCCAAGCCTTGTCCATCTCTTCGAAGACAAGATCGATCGTAGGGCGGCCTTTGCTTGATTTGGCAACACAAAGTACTGCAACCTGCAGGATCAATTCAAAGTCTGCCTTGTTGACATTTCCATTCATTCTTGGGTCCTCAAGATCCTCAGGTGGGCGTTTGTTCATACTTATATCCTTCGCCTGCAAAAAAGTAACTAGGATTGTAAAT